TCGACACATACGGCAACGAATTCGTTATCCCCGACTACACCATCAAGGAGCTGCGCGATGCCATTCCCAAGCACTGCTTCGAACGCTCCGCCCTTCGTGGTCTGGGCTACGTTGCCCGCGACATCGCCTTGCTCGCCACTACCTTCTACCTGTTCCACAACTACGTGACCCCCGAGACGGTCCCCTCTATGCCCCTCCGCACCATGCTCTGGGCTGGATACACTGTCTTGCAGGGTTTCTTCGGCACTGGTCTGTGGGTCATGGCCCACGAGTGCGGCCACCAGGCATTCTCACCCTCCAAGGTGATCAATGACACCGTCGGCTGGTTCTGCCACTCCGCCCTTCTCGTCCCATACTTCTCGTGGAAGATCTCCCACGGCAAGCACCACAAGGCCACCGGCCACATGGAGCGCGACATGGTCTTCGTTCCCAAGACACGCGAGGTATACGCTACCCGTGTCGGCAAGGCGGTCCACGAGATCTCCGAGCTGGCTGAAGAGACCCCCATCTACACCCTGCTCCACTCCATCGTCCAGCAGCTCGGTGGATGGCCCATGTACCTCGTCGCGAACGTCACCGGCCACAACAACCACGACCGCCAGATCGAGGGTAAGGGCAAGGGCAAGAAGAATGGCGTCTTTGGCGGTGTCAACCACTTCAACCCCTCCAGCCCCCTGTACGAGAAGCGCGACGAGCACCTCATCCTGCTCTCTGATCTCGGTATCGGTCTTACTGTCGCTGCTCTCACTGTCATCGGCAAGACCTACGGCTTCAACAACCTGCTCGTCTGGTACATCCTCCCCTACCTCTGGGTCAACCACTGGCTTGTGATGATCACCTTCTTGCAACACACCGACCCCACCCTCCCCCACTACGACGCCGACACCTGGACCTACACTCGTGGTGCCGCTGCTACCATCGACCGTGAGTTTGGCTTCATCGGACGTCATCTCCTCCACGGTATCGTCGAGACCCACGTTCTTCACCACTACATCTCCACCATCCCCTTCTACCACGCCGACGAGGCCACCGAGGCCATCAAGCCCGTCATGGGCCGTCACTACCGCTCTGACACCAAGGATGGTACCGTCGGTTTCCTCAAGGCTTTGTGGAAGAGTGCACGTTGGTGCCAGTGGGTCGAGCCCAGTGTTGGTGCCGAGGGTGAGGGTAAGGGTGTTCTATTCTTCCGTAACCACAACGGTCTCGGTACGCCACCCCAGAAGCTCGATGCTCCAGGAGCCAAGAAGGCTTCCAAGATGGAGGTCGGCCCTGAGAGCGACAACGAGTAAGCGACGATTACGACTGTTTATGTTTTAGAGCGGATTATTCTGCCACGGCGTTCGGGAGCCGCCCGACGAGGCTAGGCACTTTGCTTCTCGGTGTGGCGCATGGACTAGACGGGCCAGTCAAACATGAGCCTGGTGTAGTTTGTAGATTTGTTGTAGCAGACCCTTGAGGGTTCGAACAAGTTCAAAAGTTCATCATCAACCAGAGATAAACATGCTTTTTGTGAATGTTTGTGAATGTCAAGGAGTGAGATGGATAGCTTGGGTTTCCCCGCACATGGTGTCCGCGGTGACCCGGCGTAATCGTGACTATGGCAGAGCCGCATCTATGAACGGACGTGAGCAGCCTGTCGACGCACGCAGAGCGAGTTTTGCACATTTTAATACCAGTGACGTTGCTCTAGGTTGCTGTGGATGATAGCTCGTGTATCACTGCCAGATTGCAAGCTTAGTAACGTTGGAAAGCTCTGCTGCACGCACACACCGCCTAGATGCAGCATGGAGAATTCGACAGCATGAGAGGTATCACACGGCCAAAGAATGCGCATGGTGTATTCTTCAGCAAGAGCTCTATCGCATAGCAGCATCACAGCTTGTGGTGCGCTACCCAGGTACCCCAAGCTCCAGACACAAGCAGCTTCTTCAATCAAAATGTAGCGACGTTGGTAAGGAACAAGATATCATCAGAAAACCTCGTCTGCTCCAGCTACCTCGCACGGTGAGTCGTGCTATAGGGCACGTAATAGAGGATAGCTAGGTAGAGTGCCAAACTTTCCTACAATAAATTGTGCCCATAATGAGTGAAGAAGAGAAAGTCGGAGAGCGGCCGGCGAGAATTTTGTGGAAGGCGCGGGCGGCGCTTTGGCCAATCACGGGTGGATTATTCAAACGCCAAGCCATAGCGCTCCCATCGTGAACGTCAGTTGAAGCTCCGTAGCCACAAGTCCATCGCCATCGCTCAGAGCCTCACAATGCTGCGGCAACAGATGATCCGGTCGCTCAAGAGGCCTGCTTTCCGCGCAGCCCTCAATGGCAGCCGGGCCTTGAGTGCCTCGGCCCGCCGACCAGCAGACATTGAGCTCACTATCGGTTTGTGCCACTCCCCATTGCGGGCGGCGAGGTATGCTAACGGCCTTTGCAGATGGAAAGAAGGTGTCAGTCGAAGGTACGAGGCCGGAGCCAATCCCCTTGTGACGGCAGAAACAGTTCTAACGCGCTCTTACAGCCGGCTCGTCCCTCATCCAAGCCTGCGACCAGGCCGGAGTTACCGTCCCCCGATACTGCTACCACGAGAAGTTGATGATTGCTGGATCATGTCGTATGTGCTTGGTCGAGGTGGAGCGGGCGCCCAAGCCCGTCGCCTCTTGCGCATGGCCCGTACAGCCCGGCATGGTTGTCAAGACCGACTCGCCTCTCGTCCACAAGGCGCGTGAGGGTGTCATGGAGTTTCTGCTTGCCAACCACCCTCTAGACTGCCCCATTTGCGACCAGGGAGGCGAGTGCGATCTCCAAGATCAGTCAATGAGATACGGTGCCGACCGCGGACGCTTCCACGAGCTCGAGGGAAAGCGTGCGGTTGAGGACAAGAACGTTGGACCATTGGTCAAGGTAGCCTCTTACAAACTCTCTCGTCCCAAGAAGCATGCTCACAAAAGTAGACTTCCATGAACAGGTGCATTCACTGCACACGTTGCGTCCGTTTCTCCAACGATATCGCTGGTGCACCTGAGTTTGGATCTTTCGGCCGTGGCAACAACCTAGAAATCGGCACATACCTCGAAACCGCCCTCGACACCGAACTGTCTGGAAACGTCATCGATCTCTGCCCCGTCGGTGCTCTCACCTCCAAGCCCTACGCTTTCAAGGCCCGCCCATGGGAGTTGTACAAGACCGAGTCCATTGACGTTCTCGATGGCTTAGGTTCAAACATCCGCGTCGATTCCCGTGGTATTCAGGTTATGCGAGTTCTCCCCCGTCTCAACGACGACATCAACGAGGAATGGATCAACGACAAGACCCGTTTCGCCTGCGATGCTCTCAGCACACAGCGCCTGGTCAACCCACTCGTCCGTGTTGACGAACAGTTCCAGCCCGCAACCTGGGAGCAAGCGCTCGTCGAGATTGGCAACGCATACAAGAAGATCGCGCCCAAGGGTAACGAGTTCAAGGTTGTGGCTGGCCACCTTGTCGAGACCGAAGCGCTGGTCGCCATGAAGGATCTTGCCAACAAGCTCGGTTCAGACAACCTGGCTCTTGACCAGCCCGGTGGCAGCGAACCCATTGCGCACGGTATCGATGTCAGGTCGAACTACGCTTTCAACTCCAGGATTTACGGCGTTGAAGATGCTGACTACATCCTCCTTATTGGCTCCAACCCCCGATGGGAGGCTGCTGTCCTTAACGCTCGTATCAGGAAGCAATGGCTGAGAACAGACCTTGAGATCGGCTACGTTGGCGAGGACTTCCAAAGCACCTTTGAGTACGAGAAGCTTGGAAATAATGCCAACGACCTCAAGAGCGCTCTCTCCGGAGAGTTCGGAAAGAAGTTGGCCAACGCCAAGAAGCCCATGATCATCGTTGGCAGCGGTGTCACAGAACACGTTGATGCTAAGTCGATCTACGAGCAGGTCGGATCTTTCGTCGAGAAGAACAAGGACAAGTTCCTTACTGAGGAGTGGAACGGCTACAACATCCTGCAGCGAACTGCTTCCCGAACTGGTGCTTACGAGGTTGGCTTCACTGTTCCCTCGTCCGAGGTTGCCCAGACCAAGGCCAAGTTCGTCTGGCTTATGGGTGCGGATGAGATCAACGAGGCCGACATCCCCAAGGACGCTTTCGTTGTCTACCAGGGTCACCACGGTGACCGTGGCGCACAGTTTGCTGACGTTGTCCTACCTGGTGCCGCATACACCGAGAAGTCGGTCACATACGTCAACACTGAGGGCCGCGTGCAGATGACCCGTGCCGCTGTCGGCCTCCCTGGTGCTTCAAGAGAAGACTGGAAGATCGTACGTGCAGCATCAGAATATCTCGGTGCTGAGCTACCCTACGATGACGTTGAGCAACTGCGAGACCGCATGGAGGAGATCTCGCCTGCTCTCAGAAGATACGACCTTGTTGAGTCCGCGTCGCTACCTAGCCTGAGCAAGGTTCAGCTAGTAGACCAGAACCAGGGTGCACAAGCGACTGGTCAAGCGCTGAAGAACCCCATTGAGAACTTCTTCTTCACAGATGCCATCTCGAGAAAGTGAGTTACATCGACATTCCCCATCCGTCTTGTTACATCATGCTAATAACTTCACAGCTCACCAACAATGGCCCGTTGCTCGGCGGCGAAGGCCCAGAACAACCCAAAGACAAACTTCATGGCACCTGGCGAGCCATACCCACAAGTCGGATATGGACCTCAGGTAGCAGCGGCAGCGAACGTATAAATGTGCATTCGGTCACGGTAGAATTTTGGGCTTTATTGGGATTGTAAATAAGCATTGTGAAACGTTTTTCTCGAATTTGGCACGTGACCTGTGGAACGTAGAGAATCAGAGCGCTATCCGCGCCAAATTGTTCAAATTTCTGTACCGTTGCAACCAGTGAACGATGAGGCATTTAAACTCAGAATACCAAGCCTTAATATGGCCTTGGACAAGCCGTCAGCCAAGGCGCTACGCGTGTGCGACCCACGTTCGCCTTCCTTGTGAACTCTCCAAGATGTCAACGCTCCCCATATTTCCACTTATATGACTGCCTATTCACCTCTTGCGAGATTCAAGCTTCTCGTCATTATCAACAAGCTTTCGCTGCTGTTTGTCTTGCGGTGAAGGTATTGCAGACCGCCACGATACCATTGCGCCGAATCACCCCACAGATCAGCGGACCATCTGTACACCAACGACGGTTATCATCTTGAACGAAAAAGAAAAGGTTGCAGTCGCTCTCGTCGGCTCCAAGAGCTTCGTGAAGCAGAAGAGATATCTGTTAAGCTTTGCCGTCAAGCCTCGCCGAGAATTCAGCAGAACCAGCGAGGAAGCCGACATAGCCGTTAGTCGGGTTTGAGGATCCGATCTAAGGACGGTGGCCAGTCATGCCTACCTTGGCAGTTAACAACTTTAACATTGTCTGTGCATCTTTGGGAGGGTTTATCACGCTTTTCGGGCTGGTTAGTTATTTGCTGAAAGAAAAGTATTACCTGAGCGAAGCTTGTAAGTCGATGTCCTCTGGTCCTGCCTCGGGACATATTGGGTAGGCTATTTCACAATCACAGCGTGTACTAACCAACTTGTTACAGTAATATCACTCATCGCTGGAGTCGTTTTCTCACCACATGCCACGAATTGGATCAAACCAGAGGAGTATGCGTTGAATGATGTTGAAACACTTGATACCATCACCCTTTACTTTACGCGCCTGGTGCTGGGTGTCCAACTTGTACTTGCGGGTGTGCAACTACCGTCAAAATACCTAAAGACAGAATGGAAGAGCCTGTCTTTGCTACTCGGTCCGGGTATGACGGTTATGTGGCTCGTGACCAGTCTACTCGTCTTCGCTTTGGTCCCACACATCAGCTTTCTACATGCGCTGGCTGTAGGCGCTTGTGTCACACCCACGGACCCTGTCTTGTCGAACTCCATCGTCAAAGGAAAGTTTGCAGACAAGAACATCCCGAAAGAATTACAGAAGATCATCGTAGCTGAATCCGGGGCGAATGATGGACTTGGTTACCCGTTCCTCTTTCTGCCGCTTTACCTCATCAAGCATATTGGTCACGGTGGGCAAGGTTCCGACAACAGTACCAGAGTTGCTGTCGGACTGTGGTTTGGCGAGACGTGGGGATATACCATCATACTAAGTGTCATTTATGGAGCTGCAGTGGGATGGATCGCAAAAGAATTGCTTCATTGGGCCGAAGAGCGGAAATACGTCGACCGCGAAAGTTTCTTGGTTTTTGCCATCACTCTGGCTGTAGGTTCCCAGATCTGGTCTGTTATGTTCGAATTTCACTGACATTGCATGCAGCTCTTCATTGTGGGTACATGTGGCATGATCGGTAGCGACGACGTGCTCGCCTGCTTCATCGCCGGCAATACGTTTACTTGGGATGACTGGTTCCGCCTCGAGACGATGGATGACTCTTTCCAACCAACCATCGATATGCTGCTCAATGTCTCTATATTCATCTGGTTCGGTGCCGTTTGCCCTTGGCGCCTCTTTGCGCATTCTCCGGTCATCCCCATCTACCGACTCATCCCATTGGGCATCCTGGTATTGCTTCTCCGCCGGCCACCCATCATCTTCGCTATGCATAAACAGATCCACCAGATCGAGCAAAGGCGTCAAGCGCTCTTCGTAGGCTTCTTCGGTCCGATTGGTGTGAGCGCCATCTTCTACCTATACATCAGCCTCGAGTTTCTGGCTGAGATCAAAGTCGACGGTGAAGTCAGAGAAGATGCAGCATTTCTTATGGAAGTCATGAACGTGGTCATCTGGTTCCTGGTAATCTGCTCAGTCGTAAGTGCACTTTTCTCTTCAATACTTCAGTATTCCTTCTAATATCGACTAGGTTGTTCACGGTCTCTCCATTCCATTAGGCAAACTCGGCTTTTTCATTCCCCGCACCCTCAGTACAGCGCTCTCCTTTGCTCGTACTGGATCTACCTCTGCCGACGAACCCGAACCAGCTTTCCACATCGAAGGTGCCGATGGCCCTACAACTGACGCTGAAGTGCGTTTACGCCGCCGTCCTGGCTGGTCGCGCAACGGCGGCGATTCTCTGCCCAACCGGGTTGTACGCATTGGCAGGACTTTGATCAGTTCGGGGACTACCTCGGCGAGTACATCAAGAGCACCTAGTTCGGCACGCGCACCTAGCCAGATGCCATTGCCTATGGGAAATGTCAATACCGCGGCAAGGGATGGCGAGGATTCGCGAGTAGATGGTGGAGCCAATAGTAATGTGCCGGGTGCAGATGAGGGCGTCATCCCTGGACGTACGATTCGTTTCCATGATGAGCAACAGAAGGCCAAGATTGCGGAAGACTAGTAGCAAGCGGATAGGTGAGGTTTTTGATTGTACTGATATAAAATTATGTATGCTTTTGCATGTCGAGCTGCATTAAGCATATGTCTAGCATCTTAATAGCGAGATTGAGAGAATGCATACAAGAAAGAAACTAGACAGATACAGAAATAATAAGCTATACCCTGCAGCCTATAGCCTGCATTATCTTCTAATAAGAAAACTTACAAAGATTAGCAGTATTGTAGTCTTCTAGTAGCTCTGAATATGCTCTTTTATAGTAGGAACGAGCATTCTTAAAGGGGAAGTTTGTTTTTTCTCTTTGATACAGTGGCTATGCTGCTCAAAAGACATCGTCAAGAAGGTGGTTCTACTATGGTACTAGCCTAAAATTCTTCTTCATCATCTTCCCTAGCCAGAGCCTTCTTCTCAGCCAACTCCCTAATCTTCTCCCCAAGCATCTCACGCCCATACCTACTCGCCACTTTACCTGCGAGGTCCAGCATCTTGCCATTTGCATCCCTCATTAGACTAACAATCTCCAAGGCCTTCATGCCATGGTCCTCACCCGCCAGACATTCCAAGCCGAGCAACTGGAGCAACGCACGGTCAATCGCCACTTCCAGCGTGCTCAGCGCGGATTTCTGCGATGCTGTGGGACGGGTGTGCAGCAGTGTTGAAGAAAGTTGTGAATGCAACGTCGAGGCAAGGACAAAGGCTTGTTCATGATCTTGCTGCTTTTCCTCGTTACTCTGCGGCTTATCGTCGTCGTCATCTTCATCTTCCATGTCACTCTCCTCGCCTCTCTTATTCTTCTTGCTCTTGGCCTTGTCGACTACACTTGTGAGTGGGATTTCGAAGCCAAATTCGGAGAGATGCGGAACAGGAGCTGAAGGGTATTGTTCTCGCCCCTTGATGATCATGCAGTGGAATTTCGCGCCTGTACCATCAGAGGATGTGGGGGATGAGGCAACACCGACGGGCCAGTATGATTCTTCTTTTCCACCGCCGGCACGTCGCGAGAGAAGCTTTGTGTCGAGCATAGGTACCCATCGGGCTTGACCAGTATTTCTCCAGCCAAGGAGGGTCAGCAAGACGCCGTCAGAGTCATAGATGTACGGGTCGCCTTCCACAGAGAAGAAGACTGAGGTTAGCGTTGTGCCAGGAGGTAGAGCGAGGATGTCAGAGTCCTGGTACACGATGTCGTGCTTGATGTTCTCGATGGTGTAGAGGAGTTGTGTGCTAAGGTCGTTCTGAATGGGTCCGTTTCCAATGGTCAGGATGTAATCGCGCCACGCCGCACAGGTAACTGCTGGCGAGCTCTTTTGCCTGTAGACGCGTACCGGCAGGCCGAAGAGAGAATATATGCGTACGTAGTTCGCTGACGTAGTTACGCAGACATATGAGTCCGACAATGCAATGGCGGTGACAGACTCCCCAGTGGGGAGATTCGTCCGCCACTCGGTTCTTGTCGTCCAAGTCTCATGCGGCCGGTAGTATATGATCGCAGGGTTACCGTCCCCAGTGCTGTTGGGCTGGCAGGCAAATAGTGTACCATTCTCGTTGAGGCAGGATTTGTCATATAGGAAGATGTCGGTGAAGTGGAAGTTGCGGAACGTATGCTCGTCGTAAAACTTGACACTCACTGTATGGTGTTTCCCTTCCTGTTCCACAGTCTCGACGTAGCCAGTCAAAGAACAGCAGAGTAACCGACGATTGCCACGCCATGGTGTACTGCCTGGTTGAAAGGGCTCGTGGACTTGAGGACGGAATAGGGCAGAGCTGTATGCGCGGCGTTTGGAGGCTGGTTCTACGCCGCTGGTAAGATGTCCATTCGGACGTTTCTTCGCTGCTGTGACCGCGGGGACGTATCCAGCACCATCATCGTCGATAACAAAATCCTCCATCTCTTCGTCCCCATCCACTTGGGCTTCGTCATCTTGGAATTCAGGGCCCAAGATATCCTCTAGAGAATCTGGTGTCCCGCTTCTTTGCCTTGGCCGTCCGGGAAGAGTCTGTACATTGCCATTTGTGAGCTTCGCTGGTTGTGGAACACCAGCTCGGCCTTCTGACGGGTCGTGGAAGAAAGGCGCGGAAACGGTAGGTTTCTGCAGTAGAGGAAGATGTTCGTCGGGCACGAGGTCGGTATGGAGGAAGAGTTCGCCTTCGTTGTTGGTGTATGAGAGAATGTTCTCTGTTGGATGCCATGCCATAGCCAGGATAGTAGCTTTGACATCGTCAAGCTTCTTGAGTTGCTTCTGTGTCTTGGTATCCCAGAGGCATATGCTCAGGTCGCTCGAGGTAGTCGCCAGCAAGGCTCCGTTAGGTGACCATGCCGCTGCCGTGATATCAGCTGTATGACCTGTCTTGAACACTCGCTGTCTCTCCCAATCGGCCGTTGACATGACCTGTATTTGACGCATTGCCGTGGGTGTAGCGAACGCTCGGCCATCTGGATGCCAGAGGACTTTGGAACTGGTCTCTGCATCTGCCTCTAAGCTTTTGATCATTCCCTCTACCTTGTTGACCATTTCAGGCTCATCGCCATCCAGCTTGTACATATAGAGGTGACCGTCGGTGCAGGAAACGGCGAGTTGTGTTCCGGTCTTGTCAAAGGAAACATGCTTTACGGCTCGTGGCTGTTCACGCAGTGTTTTCATGCTCTTGTCTTTGGTGTTTACGAGGTTAACGACGAGTTCACTGTGGCTGTTAGTGACAGAGGCGCATAGCTGAAGCCATATACATACTCGCTCGCAACAGCGATCCAGTTCCCGTCCGGACTAAGAGCAACGTCTCGTACCGGCAGCGTGGTCCTGACCAGTATCTCTTCGAACTTTCCATTCTCTAGCGAGAACCTACTTACTGTGCCGTCCTCTGAGCCTGTTATAAAGTAACCATTCTACGTGGAGAATCAGTGTATTGCCTCAACCCCGACCGTGCGATACTACGTACACCAGCAACCACAGCGGTGTTGTTCTCCTGACATTCATCCACAGTGACCGGTTCATCGTCGGATCCAGTAGTGAAGACGCGGCAGTAGTTGTCGACTCCGGCTGTGACGAGTTTCTTTCCGTTCGGTGTGTATGCGAGGTAGGTTGCGCCGGGGGCATCTGAAAACTTCCATTAGCGTGACGTATCTAGACCATGGATCTAGTTTACTTACGAGCCTGTCGAGCACGTAAGCGCTGTGTTGTAGCCATTGTGGTATTGAGTGATGGTTGCTACTCGGGAAGTTCACCGCGTTTGGGTCGACGCGACCGCGTAAAGTGGGTGAGGCTAGCGCGCTTTCGAGGCGCATCCCCGCCGTGCTCCATCATCTCTACCATCACGATGCACTACCTGCGACAGGACCATGCCCGATGAGCATTTAGTATCTACTGGTTCTGCATAGCTCAAATCACCTTGAAAGTTCATTACTAAGTGTGTATCTACGTCACTCATGCCGAGTTCGTGGCTGTCTCAGGTGTGCACCTTCCGATTCTTAGAAAACCTAGAAGACCTCAATACTACTAATCTTTATAAGTTTTCTTATTAGGAAACGTAAGCTTTAAGTTAGAGCTTGTTACTTCTATATCTGTCTGTTTTTTCTCTCGTATGCAATACCTGCTCGGTTATTCCTCAAGAGTCTTTCGTAAACTCTGAATGTTGTCGCCACTTCTCTCCAAATTTGAAGATCGACATCGGAATGATTGCCAAAGACAGGCTCAACGCGCCCAGGATGCTGAAACCCAATCCATATCCGAGAGCATCAGACAGTGGCCCGGTGGTCAGTGGCAGGAAAGTACCCATGAGACATCTGGTGACAATGACGCCAGTCATAGCCGAAGCAGAGTACATGCCACAAGCGTCAACGACGTAGGCAGATAACGGTATGACTGTAAGAAGGAGCGAGAATCCCATGAGGGCGACAGAGGCAAGAAGCAAGAGTACAGGGAGACGATGCTCAGCGATCCAGCCATACGCTGTTACGGAGAAGGGTAGCAGGATCGCACCGATGATGGAGAGAGGAAGGCGATATTCTGGCTTTCCTTTTGCACCATCTGGACCACGAAGCTTGACATATATCCTATCGAGTGTGAAGTTGCAGACTAGGACACTGCAGAAAGATCCAACGCCTGAACGTTCGTTAGCTACTGCGATGAGAAACATTTGGGGCCACTTACTGAATGAGATGAATGTAGTACCAATCATGGCGAGTCTGAAATCATACTTCTCGATCAAAATAATCGGTAATGAAACACTGACGACGTAGAAGAAGCTGAACGCTACGGAAGCGAACAAAGAGAGAAGCATGAGTACGGTCGACCCGAACAGTACCGCGAAGGGCCGGGTCATCGAGTGCCATAGCTTCGCTAGATGCTCATGTGTAGTCTTGGATTCGGAGATTTCTCCGGTTTCCTGCATCGTCTTTGCTGCTCTCCTCCTCAAGATAGTCATCTTGTAGGTCTCTCTGAAGTAGACAAGGAACAGGACCTCGCACACAATGGCCAATGCCGCGGCAATGGTCAACATGCGACGCCACCCTAGCGTCTGCGCGATTGCGCCCGAGATGGCAGGGCCGATGGCCCCTCCAATTAATGGTGCAAGCATGACCAGAGACATTGCGGAACCACGTTCTTCGTTCTCAAAAATGTCTCCAATGATCGCTGGGTTGAGAACATTTGAGGCGACGCACAGGCCCGTGAGCATCCTGGCAGCAATGAAAACGCCGCTGTTCTGGCTTAACACTGCTAGAATAGTTGCAGCGATGAATCCGATGTTACAAGCGTTGAAAACAGGATATCTTCCAAAGATTTCTGACATTGGTGCGATGAGCAGAGGTCCGGCAGCTTCTCCGAGTTCCCAGATAGTAACGAGTAAGGCGCTGTTCGCAGAGCTTGAGTGCTTTCCATCGAGATCCTCAACAATCGTGCTAGCCACCGGCACAACGCCGATGCAAGTAAACGTGCTGCGAACATAGTCAGTCTCCATGCTTTCGTAACGACCACAATTCTGATCGGATGTGCATACACTGTAAATGCCATCAGGGCAAGCAGAAAGACGTTTCCCCATTTGAACGTTTTCGACCAATTCCTAGGGTTTTCAGGGTCCAAAGGTTCAAAATCAAGCGCGTCATTCCCGGCTTCTTCACCATCGCGCTCCTGTTGAATACTTTCGTATTCGTGTGATATAATTCTGAGCAGAGGCTGCTCTTCGTCCGCAAATACCATTGCGTTTGCTTTCCAGAGAAGTTCAAGATGAGATTGTTGCGAGGTTTACCAGGCCCAGGAACTTTTTTACAGGACGAGGCGGCGTATTGTGACTAATGAACGCCCTAAGGCGTGTTTAGGTATGGGGTACATTTTTAGTGTCGGTCGACTGTGATAGCGGAGAGGCTCGCATGTGTTGAGCCGTCCATGTCCGTGCATCATGTACCTAGGTATGTATCTGGGCTCGTATGGCGTGATTGGCCGGTACATAATTATCCCGTCACCTTACAATATCATTGGACCTATCTCATATTGAGATACAGTCAAGACGAGTGCACGCGACTCTTTGATTTACCATGACCGTAACTGTATCGAGAACTTCATATTTCTTTCTTTAATGTCTCTAACAATCCTTGGCCCTACTCAACTATGATTATGACTCCATCACTCAAACCACGCCAACAACTCCCTTTTCTCCAACCTCCCTCCTTGCAATATCCTCCACATCCACAACCGTCCCCTCCCGAGCACTCCTCTCCAACTCCTCCCTTTTGATCGCACACTTCGCACTATATGTCGCCTGGTCTCTCTTACACTCCTTTTCCCAGAGGAAGTTCTCGCCCCAGCAGGACACGCCGACCAACTCCAACACCAGCACAGACACAACCAAGCCCGTAGTCGTTGCTATCAACTGCAGACTATCGAGGTGCGCAAGAGGCAGAGTTATTATGACTATAGACACACAAACGCGGTAGGCGAGACGAACAGGTTTGCGGAGGCGTTGATTAGGGATCGTGCGATGAACATGTGTCGCAGAGATGATAGCAAGACAGAGGAGAGAGATACCCAGACCGCCGCAGTAAAACCATGCTAGGCCCTCTGAGATGTGGTCTTCGGAACGGGAGACGAAAGTTTCGGATAAGGAGTCGAGAGGTGCTGAAGATATGTCGTGAGCACGAACTAGGACGCCGAGGGCCGATGCAGATAGGACGAAAGACATGACGAAGGGTAAGTGAACGGAGAACCATGTCAATGCTTGTGGTAGTCAGCAGTGTCGCCAGAGAAAGATGGGTTGGGTTATGGGGAGAAATCGAAATCTCACTTACCAGAGTATACATGCCTCCGAATCGCATGCGTGTGCAGATTGAAAGAGTCCATCTCAAAGTAGATCCAGTTAAACACAAAGGCCTGTATAAGTCCCAAGACAGCTTTGCCGAAGAAAGCGTTAATACCCATCTCAACATTGCTCTGGTACAATAGACCCAGCACGCAAGATCCAAAGACCAACGTGACGAACGCGTTCGTACGCTCAATCCGATGCTCGATGTTCGTCGCTGGAAAGAATTCCAGACTTCTCTTAATCCAACCGGGAACGAACTTGAATACTGGCGATCCAGGCCGTTGAAGCAGCACCATGCCAAACTGGCCAAACAGGTCAAACACGATAGCCGTCCAGATGACTCCCTGTCTTGCTGGCTCCTCAACATGTATACTGCCAATCCATAGTGCCGCAGGAATGAGCATGATAATTCCATTGCCGAGCATGGTTCCTCTGACCATGGGAATGATCCACGCGTACCACAAGAAGCTCGTTGCTACAAACAATCTGGCTGCCAGATAGAACGCTACGAGTGGCGCGTACGTCCTCTCCCATGCTTCAACCATATTTGTTGTGAACCCCAATAGGCAAGTGAGCAAGAAAAGCACTGAAAGCCGCCTCACAACGTCGTCGCTATCGAACCACGAAACCAGGACACCAATATCTGTCCAGAATTTCCATCCCATGATGAAGGTGATGGAAAATTGGAGTAGAGACTGGCCTGTTGGGTGTTCAGCCGCAGAATCACCGGTGATGGCAATAATTCCTACGTAGAAGAGGTCAATGAATAGTTCATACGAGGCGACTTCTTGGGCTTCTTTTGCGCGCCATAGAAGACCTTTGTGGAAGTACTGGCGTACTATAGGCTTTTGGTAGAGACGGATGCTAGCGCCATGGTGGCGGTCTGCATGCCATGTTTCTTTGTCAAATGAGAAAGAAGAGGCAGATGAGTCTGTAGGGTCTGCTGTGTTGAAGTCTTCTTTGGTGCGAAGATGGGCCGAGTAACCGTATTTGGAAAAGTTGGCGTCCAATTGCACGGCGTGTGAGGTCAGCATGTGTAGTTCGGTAGATAGGGCGTCAAGATCGCGTATTACACGCTCAAATTCTTGGGCTAGGTCGCCGTGGTCCTGATGGAGCCGGCGGCGGTGCGCTGTGTGGTGGGCGTGTGTATGGCGGAGTGCTTCAATCTGTGACATGTGATCAGGCATCTATTGCTTCCGAGGAATGGTTCCCAATCTCTGTCCACTAAGACTTACATGTTCGGGAGATCCATGGACGACGAGATCGAAATCTTCCTTCTCCTCTGCAGCGCTGAGTTTCCTCCTCATGTGGTTTGCTTCATCGGGCGAACTCGCAATGTGTACTTTTCTTCCATCGGGTCTGAGGAAATGTCTCAATCTCTTACCCGTGTGGTGACCGTGATGCGGATGATGATGCTGGTGAGATTGGTGCTCTGCTGTCATGCCTGTTGGTGCGTCGGTGCCGGTATGTGGAGTATCTGCCATCTTATGAAGGGAATCCGTATCTTCTAGGTTATACTCCTAAAATGATACCTAGCTACATGCAACCCCAAGGGCACTTCTGGTACCTTACGCTAGATATCTATTGAGATAGTAGTAGTGCATACTTCTGTAGGGTACAATTTGATAAAACGAGCTTCTTCGCGCTTATCACGAGGCGGAAGGAATCCTAGGGCAGTCAAATCAAACGACAAGAGAGAATCGACCCAGCGGGACTATATAGACACCGCGCCGAAAGTTTAATGATGCTGCCTCATTGGCACGGATGACTGATGCTTGCCTGTATCGGGGCTAACAACTACCCGATTGGCTAGGATGTGTACCAAGAGCGTGAATAAGCAGTCACCACGCTTGGGTAAGCTGCGGGGCGGAAGCCGATTGAAAGTGTTTTGCTGTTTCGTATAGCAGCTTGGACATCTAGCAAAAAGCCTCTGTGAGACAAAATGCTTTGAGTTTTGCGTAGGCGGTCCAGCTTACTAGTATAGCTCCGGGAAGATTAGTCAATGCTCATGCATTAGGGTGGCTAATGGCTAGACAAATGAGTAGACTTCATGTGAAACATGGTTTCCCCTATATTGTAGATTTGTCCCGTAGGTCAAGAAAACAGACCTGAGGTGATGATAGTGTGTATTGTTCGCTAGAAATGTACGAACGTACTCTGCCTCGGACCATCTCAGCACTTTGCTGCTTTCCGAAGCCATGCGTATCCGCCACCTATCGTTTCTTGGCTTGCCCGGCAGGGCTCTGTGTACGCGCGCTCGTGCTGCCCGAATCCGTCTTGCCCGCCATCCATGAAGCAAGGTCGAAGTTCTGTAGCTGCTGTGCGGTATTGGTGGAGCCGGAGCCGAGGACGCCTTGCTTTTGCATCTCTTCGAATTCTTCCTTCATCTCGGGATCCACTACATGATTGTCAGTAGGTGTCTGCATGTAATGAACATTCCAGAGACTTACTGTTCTCCATCAACTTGGGCATGCCGAAGATAAGGCCCATGGAGACAACGGCCATAAGAATCATGGGGTTCTTCAAGAATGACAAGGGCGAGACTGGAGTATGTTAGCAAGGTCGCCGAGCAGCACGTGGTCACAAATGCCGACTTACAGCCCTGTCTCTCCTGGTAGAAGTACTTGGTTCCCACCGGGCGGGCCTCGACCACCAAGCCGTTTCCCCCCTCACCGCGACTCTCTCCCTTGTTGTCCCATTCATTGCCCAAGAAGGTCTGCCATGCCCTGATCATCTCCTTCTTCTCCCCGCTGCCCTCAACCGTCTCCTCCACGGTGACATCAATCCTCAGTGGCTCGAAGGCATAGTCGCGGCAATGCACAGTAGCCAGGTAGCTGCCGGCGCTCACGTTGTTGAAGTTGAATGTGTTGGAGCGCGTGAGGTAGGCGTCGATGGGCGGGCCAGAAGACTGGAGCGTTGCATGCGTCGTCGAGGGGAGGGTGGACGGGTTGACCAGGACCGTGTTTGGGATTTGGAGGAGCAACCGTGCAGCGCTTGTGAGGGTCGCAAACGAGGACAGTGAGGCGAGTGAAGTCTTCATTGTCGCGTGGGTTGAGCGGGTCGTTGGGTTGGCGATGTTGCCCTGCTGGTGGGCGTCCGCTCAATGCGCGAGAACCTCCGCGCACGGGCCTACGTACGTATGCGAAATACTACTCTACATAGGGCCTGATTTGGTCACTTAGGTCCCGCGTTTAGTATGCCCGTGTAGTAATAATGCTCGTCTTCTCGACAGTAGTGCAACATTCATCGTGGTTTTGATTAACATCCTTCTCTCCACCCGATCATCCTTTCATCGAATTGATCACCATATGTGGTCAGAAAGGGATAGAAAGTAATCGAGTCACCGCGTAGTTCGCTGCTCCGGATTATCGGCAGGGAACGACTCTGCCAAGCTTCCCCCGCACCCAGATTAAGCTTGAGAAGCATCGTTGCTGTCTTGTATGCCAACATCTAGCTCATCTCCGCGCTGATCCCATCGATCTTGAACTGGAAACTCCTGATGTCGTTGTCTTATACACCGAACGGCCGAACGGCTCCATACCATCCCGCGTATGCAAGGCATGTATTCACGCAGGGTGTCAGATCCTCCTAGTACACCGGGTTGGAGTTGAGGGCTCGAATCCGCAGGATCGTCATACCTGCATCAAATTCATATATAGGTGTGAACGAAGCTTAAGGACGGAACTCGTATTCCCTCTGTTCAACTACAGTAATTGTCAACATGCAATCCAAGTTGTACCTCTTTTCAGTGTTTGCCGCATTCGCTGCGGCATCCACGACTAACAGCCACCATCTCCCCAAGCGGCCAAGCATTATACCTGCCCCGTATGACTCTGGAAAACCAATGCCGTGTTCACCGGCACGAGAACCCAAACGCTTCTGTTTTGTTCAGCCGGGAACAGCCCCAGACCGCGATGACGCAGCACATATCCTTGACTCTTTCCACAAGTGCAATGATGGCGGTACAGTCGTGCTCGATCAATCTTACCTTATAGGTTCACCTCTTGATCTGACCTTTCTCAAACACATTGACGTCGTCATCACCGGCGAAATACACTTCGACGCCAGTGACGTCTACTATTGGGCGGAGAATAGTTTCAAGTACGACTTTCAGAATCAGTCTGTATACTGGAAATGGGGTGGTGAGGATGTGAATATTTACGGCGACCTGAGCAGGGAGAAGAGCGTTATTGATGGACATGGTCAACCTTATTGGGAGGAGATTCAGACCAACAAAAGTGTGAGTAAAGACTTTCTTTATAGCGGTAGAGATATTGTCTCAAGGACATGTATCTGACATTTGTTTATTGCAGTTGCGACGACCTATGTTGTTTGCCTTTGATGGGATGGAGGGAGCCACCATGTCAAATCTGCGCATGCGAAACTCACCACATGTAAGGACAAGATCTCACCTTACATCTCCTGCTTATGGACGTGTCATAGTGGTTCAACATCATCGCAAATAGTAGCGATATCCTCATAAGTAACATGGACCTACGAGCAGAGGTAAAGTATCCTTCAATGTTGCCCAGCCACTGGACTCACAGCCATGCAGAGTTTGAACGACGTCGAGATCGCAAACTCCGATGGCTGGGATACTTACCGCTCAGATCGCGTCGTCATCCAAGACTCATACATCATCAACACTGATGGTAAGAATCTTGGGTTTCCTCCGACACACCCATACTGACCATCGCCAGACTGCGTTTCGTTCAAACCCAACAGCACCAACGTTGTCGTTCAAGGCCTAGACTGCACGGGTTCCCACGGGATGAGTGTAGGCTCTCTGGGACAATACGCCAATGAGACCGATATTGTCGAGAACCTTTACATCTACAACGTCTCTCTCACAAATGCTAGCGACAGCGCCCGTATCAAAGTGTGGCCCGGTATTCAAACAAGCTTCCAGACGCTGCTGAACGGCGGCGGCGGTCTTGGACGCGTTAGGAATGTTACATACGACACATTTCGTGTTGATAACAACGATCGCGCGATTACCATCACGCAGTGCTATGGGCAAAAGAACCAAACGCTGTGTTCAGAACATCCGGTAAGCAGGGCAACAACCAAGCTGGAGATATCGTATCGAAGCTGATGAACTCCACGCAGGCAAATTTGACCATCTCCGATATTACTATCAAGAACATGTATGGAACTACATCCGGTAAAGAAGATCTCGAAGCAGGTACCTTGGTTTGCAGCGCGCCGGATGTGAGTGCAGTCATATTTAGATCAATCGTGAAGCAGTACTGACGTATCTCATTGTAGCGATGCAGTAACATACGTGCCGAGAACATCACCGTCCAAGTACCTAGCCGAGAGCCGCCGGTTTATGAATGCAGAAACGTCGATGTGAACCTGCTGGATATCAGTTGCATGGCGACCAACGAGACAGAAAGGGACACCACGCAGGGCTGAGACGAAACTGGTATTGTACGAAACGAGATGATGCTACATTGGATGGTGTCACGAAGGCCTGTTGCTAATAGCAGCTTCACTCTACGCAAACGATCATCGCTTTGACGTAATTCATCTTTACACCGCGTCATAGTGCGTGCATATTGACGAGAGAGTTACAGTTCGGCAGAATTGATTGTGTCGTTCCAGGAGTGTGAGGAAAGAAAACTAGTAATGATAAGGAAAGAAAAACGCTAGTAAAGCACCATGAGCAGCAATCCTACTTCCCCAACCAAAATGTATGGCACTCACGTCTGAGAAGTGTGACGGGGTCCTCGACTCTCACTTCCTCAAGCCCAAACTCTCTGAACACTAACCTTTGAACAATTCGAATCCAATGGCTCATTGGTCAGACCCATGTTCCACATCAGATATTTGGTACATATATACCAATTCGAGGCCTTGATTGCCGGTATGGAGAAGGCAGGTGTGCTACCAGTGTCATTGAGACTGACGCTAATGTACATGGTACTGTAGCTGCTGTTTCTTTGTTCAAAGTACACATTCTGATGACTCGCCTTCCCAGGTGCAAAGATCATGCTCATAAGGTAGGGTGTGGCGGAATACCGGAAGGCCATGGCAGAAGACGCGATGCCCTCACCGTTGTTGTATCTCAGGGGCCAATTGAGGATACCTGCCGTATCATTTGCGTTTTTGGGGTTGTCGTGGTTGTAAGAGGTTGTGTTGTGGTAAAAGGTAGTGGCATATCGAGCTGGGTCGATGATCGTGTCGTTTGTCAGACAAAGGCTTTCCTCAGCTGCGCCTACATGACAAGGGCCAAGTGCGTGGCTGGTATTTATTAGTTTGAAATGTGTTCAAGCGAGCTGAATCTTCTTACTTGTTATAGGCGGAGTTGTTGGTTCGTGATTCCAAGACGAGACGGAAGCCGTCTGACTGGACGTTGTAGGCTTGGGCATCCGCCTGAGCCAACAAGGTCGCGAACGCTAGGATAGCGAATTTCATGATGAATATAGGTCTTGACGCTGAAATACGTGCTCGCGGCTGGATAGAAACTTACAGATGTTGATAGTGATGGTATCGAGGAAGAGTTGAGCAAGGAGGAATGAGATATTGTAGAAAGGGCAGGCAACGTGTAATCTCATCGAAGCTGCTGCGCACACAAATCCCCAGCAGAAAAACGCGATTCGGGAAACGACATATGGAGATATGGTATGCGTGGCAGGTGCAGCCTGGAGACCTTCAAGAAATTTCTAGCCTTTGGAAGATTTGTGAAAACTATGCTAGGAGATCTTTGGGGTTTCTGCTAGAGGTAAAATCGGGCTGATATCTAAGGCTGGAAGATACCAACACATCCACTCATGGGAGAAAATATTGGTGCCAAAGCATTCTAGATTATGTTTGCTCTTGATGACCCTCCCACATGTTGGGCAGGACATCTCTTCCACATTTTGACAACTGCTATGATCCAGAGTCTGAACGTATGTGTGTGTGTTCAACAGCAAGCACGAGAGTTTGTACAAACCCTGAAGTGACGAACTTTTCGACTCCTCTGGGCGACAGCACTAAGAGCACTCTTTCCTGCTAAAAAAGAGCATATCAAGAGCTATATAGATGTAGATTTAAAACCTAGAAGACTACAATACTGTTAATCTTTATAAATTTTCGTATGAGAAGATGATGTAGGCTGCAAGATAAAGCTTGTTATATCTATACCTGTTCGGTTTTTCCCTCCTATACAATGTAGCGAAGACTTATTTGCGATTGCTGATTCACGTAACTCACGTCAGTCATACACATATCCAAGTCTTATCAAACAATCATGTGAAGGTGCCATTCGACAATTTATTGGCATTACTAAAGGTAGTAGTAACATAGAAAGAGGACAATTGATCCCAAATCGCTTCATGTATGGAGAAGAAGGTACGCTAGCAGCTCTCCTTGTAAACGCCGTAGCTCGCTATTGTCAACCTGGTGTCTGTCTCTCTTCAGAAGCGAGGCTTTGAACAGGAAACACTCCAATCAACAATGCAGAGTAGATATATGCTTAATGCAGCTTAATATACAAGAGCACATATAACTATTTATCAGTAAAATCAAAAACATCATCTACTCGCTTGCTAGTCTTCCGCAATCTTAGCCTTCTGTTACTCATTGTAGAAATCAGTCACGAGCTCGCCCTTGTATTTGCTGCTATGCATCTTCGCAAACTCACCGCTCGTAGTTCAGTTCAATCCACCCTAGGCCTGTAGGTGGTAGAACGTAGTAAGATTGTTAACACAGTGCGCCATGTCAGTGTAGGCCTAGGACATAAGTGCGGTGGACTGGAGGTAGTGTCGGAAGAACTGGCGCATGTCGAACTGGCGCATGTGGTCGAAGGGCAGAGCACGAGTTGGCAAGAGGCTGGCATCGAGGTTAAGCACAGCTCGTCGAGTGGGGAGAGAGGGAATCTGTTAGTCAAGTCGCTCTTTGAGTGTGTCTACGCGCTTTAGCAGTGACGACACTTCTGATGGGACAGGATCGAGGAGTTGGAGGAGAGCTCTGAGATCTGTGTATCGTGCGCGCGGCATCTCCCACTTCTTGACAAAATGCGTCATGCCAGCCTCCCACGCTGACATCCCAAAGTCTTGAGAGACGCGCGGTACTTCCTAGGAAGGGTCTTGTGCGCGCCCAAACCCAACTATGGCGGGGAGGGCGGGGAGGTTCGTATGTTCGTCACCGGGGGACTGAGAAGATGGCAGGTCCTGAGCGGCGGGGTCACTCATCTCGACTTCGCCATCGGAGCTCTCGTGATCAGTATCGTCTTCAAACATCGCATCTTCAAACTCGTCCTCTTCCTCACCAGCTGTGTCTTCAGCATCCATCGGCTCAGATGTGTCATCCTCGACATCGTCATATTCGTTTATCTCGGCCATCTCGTCATCGACACCAAGGTCGCTCTGAAGTATCCCGCTGAGGATGTCGATCGCGTTCTCGGACGGCCCTTCCGTAGACTGGACCGGTACGTCGGGGTCTAGGTCTGTGTCGTACTGAGGGCCTTCACGGTCTTCTATGGGCAGACCGTCTGAGCCACCAGAGTCACTGTTGCCAACTACATTGCCTTGTATAGGATCATCGTAGTCGTCGTTCTCGTCATTGTCGTCGTCGTCGTCGTCGTCGTCATCGTCGTTGTCGCTCGAATCAGACCCTGGTTGTATGGGCATCCATCGAGGATATGTCAAAAATATCATGGTGGGCGGAGGCGTGAGGGGAACATTCACGCCCAAGGGATTTCTGTAGTCTATGCATCAATTAGCCCAAGATTCCAGAGGTCAAAAGTTCAGAATAGCGGTCCAGAATGCAACAGAATGCAAACAGTGACAAGAGCAGATATTCCCAATTGGCCAAGGAGCTGTTTTGGCGGCCCAGAATGCAACGGGATGCAAATAGGTATAGAAGCAGACATTTCCAGGTTTCCAGGGAGCTATTTTGGCGGCCTAGAATGCAGTAGGATGTGAACAGGCATAAAAGCAGAGGTTTCCAGGTTTCCAGAAAGCTGATATAGCGGTCCAGAATGCAGCCCAGTGCAAACCCAGAAGAGAAGGTTTGGTATGGGCGGGGACCTGAGCAGACCTGGGGCTCCCTAGGAAGATGAGGCATAGGAGGAACATCCTTGGTATACCAGATCTGGGGGAATCTGTCCTCCCTTGGGTCTCTGATAGACATCCTGACATCCTGGCAGAATCTGGACATGCTCAAAACCAACCTTCGACTGCTCAGTATGATAGGAGCATATGGTGTGTGACAGCCGTAGGACATAGACGAAAGTGATGTGTTTGGTAAGACATCCGGATGTTTCGCGCCCCGTCTGGCGGTGACGGTGGTGGTGGTGAATGTTTGGGTATAGGCGAGTTTGATGGACTTAGTCAAATTCGTGTGGCAGGTGTCTGTGTACCGCGATATCTACGTTGGGGTTTTTCGTTGTGCCAGATGTACTAATATCGTAATTCCAGGCATTACAGAAGCCGACAAATGAACACACGATGCAAAACTTATATTGTAGAGGGAGGACGAGTTTCTACTTGGCCTCTGGACTGTCTCTGGCTTGTGCGACGCCGCGGCTTGTACAGGAGAGGCGCGGTATCAAAATAGGAGGGCAGGACGAAGCGATGTTGCAGTCGCCAGCAGCAAGATGGAAGTAGACCGTCGTGAAGTCGCAGATGATGCAGACTGGATGCGATGTCGCGGATGTCGTGGGTGGTGGGTTCGCGATGCATCTGGAGGGCGCGTCAAAGGCGGGGGGCACATGTGGGGGAACTGCTGTAGCGGGTGCACGGCCCCTGCGCTAGCGGCATCCAGGCATCAGGCCCCACCCAACCTGCGCCCAACCCGCCTCCCATCTCATCACCACCACCACCGCTTTCCTCATTTCCTTCACACTTGGCCGTTGATGTATTCCATTCTTGTTGTTTTCCGCTTGCTCTCATTTCAATTGCCACCGAAGATGCCTCATAATGGCAATACAAATGGCGATTCATCTAAGTTGGTCACTACCAGTGATGGCGAGCCAGTCGTATTGACTCATAGCAGGACAAAGAGAAGAACCTCATCAAGAAGCGCCTCGCCTTCATTCAAGGCACGCGAGAACATAGCCCAGCAACACGAACAATCACCGCTACGTGCCGCGACGAACAAGAGAGCTCACAACAACAACAATCGCACTCAATCTCAGACCAAAGCTACAACGACGCAGTCGAACAGCCAGCCGCTCTCCAAGCGACAGAGGACAAGCACAAGCAAGTCAACAAGAGGATGATGAAGAAACTGAGGATGAGGACACGGCGCGCCACGATCGACCCGTGGCAGAGAAAGCAAAGAAGAGGGCCATACCGAAACTTCGGCCTTCGACGCAACGACACGACAAGAATGCTACCACCGACTCTGAAACTAGGAGGTCGAGAGCTCCACCGGTGGAGAATTATAACACGTCGGCCCAAAATGAACCTCACGATGACCGTCGCACACACAAGTCAAGGGAAGAGATCGACAAACTGGACACACACAGCCAGCATCCAGCTAGTGACGAATACGATGAAGAGCACGAAGATTCGACCGAAACACCAACTCAAGAACTGGCGAGACTCGGGTTGGTAGCACAGGACAATGTCTTCAAGGGTTTAACTCTTGAACAGCTGGCGGTTAGAAATGATGTAAGTCTAGGTCAACTGCTATGTCTTATTAGATGTTAACTTCTCTAGAATCTAGATCCTACAGCTCAACCCCGCCGCGGTAACACGAGGAGAAAGCTAGCAGTAATTGCTAAAGAGGTCCATCCGCGCGTGAAGAGACCCGAAGACTTGACACGGTTAGTTTTCCTGGCGACCCTCGATACTCAGACGTGCAGGAATATCGTCTCGTACATTGTCCCAGAGTTCGTCACGACGCCAGGGACATCGTGGATCCCGGAGATGGCTGTTAACAAGGTGCGGACAAACAACAACCGATAGAAAAGCAGGATTGTCAAGATGGTCAAGGCATGTTTTCCATGCTCAGTTTGTATTTGCTCTGCTAACTATGTTAGGAGTACGTCTCTCTCTTGCCGAGTTCCTGGTCGTCCTAGGAAGGTGTGCACCTTCTTTGAGCAGGTGCACACCTTCCTCGAGCAGGTATGCACCTTCCTCGTGGACGAGGTCCACCAGCGCTCACCTTTTCTCGACTGCTGACCTTTTCTTCTCTTTTCAAGTGCCCAGCTTCTCTTCTCAAGTGCCCAGCGTCTCTTCTCTACTGCTCGGCTGTTCTCGACTGCTCTTTCGACTGCTCTCTCGCCTGAACTTTCGCATGTCCTCCTCCTCATCATGTACGGCTCATGGATGTTCTTCGCTGTGCTGATCTTTCGCTCGATATCTGCCGACGTTCAGACTCCCCTTTTTCGTATTCGGATCTTTTCTGATCTTCTCAACATTGTCTCTCTGCTCCAGATTCTGGGCTGCGTCTTCGATGCTTCACTTATGCCAATCCTTTGCTCTGGCCGTCCTCCAACTATCTCACAGATCAAGGCAACGACCAGTATCCAACGAGGCGACTTGTTATGGCGCAACAGATGGGGCGTTTACATCGTTGTCCTCGAAAAACATGGCTTCAGACCGATTCTCTATGTTGGTTCTTCCATGAATGTCCAGGACGGTATTTACGGGAGATCTTGCGACTACCGGTATGTTGCCTTTCAAACCTCTTTGTCTAGACTTACTCTTCTAACTCTTATCCTCAGTTCTAGCAACAACCGCAATTTACCTAGATATGTACTGCGTGCTATCAAAAAAGGCTACAAAATCACAAACTTTTCAGTACCTTTTTTCTTCACTAAGCCAACAAACCCAGTGTTGCTAGGGTTCGCTCAGACACTCGTGCTCGCGGTTGAACACACCCTCACCTTCCGACTCTGGACTATGATTGGAACCTGGAATAACTGCAAAGGCCTCGCATTGTGGAAGAAAGAAGATCAAGAATACGATGGCGCCAACTCACATAGCTGCATGCACGAGAGTCGGAGTTTGGAAGAAATAAAGCCAGAAGAAATTGCTGAACTACTCGAAGAGCGAGCGAAAAGGAATAAAGCAAAGCACGACATCTACAGAGCAACTCACAAGAAACAGATTAGAGCGACACAGAAGATTTGGGACGAGGAAAATAAAGAGCATAGGAAGGAAGGGAAGCGGCAATGGAATGAAGAAAATAAAGAGCACATTAATGAATACGCGAGGAAAAGAGCGAAGACAGCCAAGGAAACTGCACAGTTCCCTTGCAACGACTGTGGTCTGAACTTTGCCAACAAGAAGGAATTAAAGAGGCACAAAGATTCGGAAATTGCGTGTAAACCAAAGAGAGATGCGGCTAGAAGTGCTAGGCTGACATGTGGTGGTTGTCAGAGGGAGTTTGCGCAAATGGCAAATTTGGAAAGGCATATCGCACAGGGAACTTGTCGAACTGTGCAAGAGATGTCCTGCCCAACATGTGGGAGGGTCATCAAGAGCAAATCCAATCTGGAAAGACATATGGCCACTCACAAGTGAGCCTTAAAGGACATTTCAATGCTTATGTACAATCCAGTGGCACAACCAGGCCTGCATGGACGGAATAGCTAGATTAATGACCGGGAAATAGATACATCACTGCGACTTCCACGTATAGATATCGTTCATCTCGCGCCCACACGTGTGCTCGTCGTCCACCACATCGTCGAGCCTAAAGTGTTTCTGTGTCTCTCGCTTAGAGATTCCAATGGCAGGCCCTACAGTGCCGCTGGTTCCAGGTCCATAACCGTATTTGACATTCGGAATCGTTCCCAACACGGACAGGAAACAGCGCTTCACCACTTGTTTTAACACGAGTAGACATGCGCAGATAATGCCCAAGTTCGCTTCGATCATGGTCCAGATGCCTCGCTCGATGAAATTCCATGTCAGGTCTTGTTGGTTGCGTACGCTATTGGCTACAGCCGTGACGCGTAGGATAGATGTTATTGTGACACTAACGAGGCTGTTAGTAGACGCACAGCATATGCTGTTAACGCAATCGACATATATGGCAATGCGGGAAAGACTTACAAACTACCTAACAAGAATACACTGTGCAGCATAATCTTTTCTTGAAGTTTCAGCTGGAGCTTGGAGACCTCGCGGATAGGCAGTGCCAATACGATCACATCTGTGAAGATATTCAGCACCGCATTGGCCAGCCAGAATTTCGAGCTATCGATGCAAGTTCCCTCGACATTTTTATCCCAAGACCGCTGTAGTGGCACACACTGGAAAATGGTCGCGAAAACCGTCGCGATCCCTGAGCCAACAACAATTGCGAGCGCGCCACAGCACAGCCATCGAAAGTGACGCGAGATGAAGATACGCATGTACAATAATATAGCGGATACTTTATTCAAACACACCACGATCTTATAGGGCGTCTGCGCAACCCAGAAGAACTTGAGGCATGTATGCAGTTCTTCGGTCGAAAGGTCAACCTTATGCTGTCCATAGCCATGGGCTACGGACAACTGGATGGTGATGGACAATAAAATGGAGAACATCTGAGGCATGTCAACCGAAATCACTTGTGTGCATTCGTGTGCTCGACTCACCAAGGACGCTATAATTGTATAATCGTCAAGTTGTAACTTCACACCGATCTGGAGTCGTATCACGACCCTGGCAATAACGATAAGTCCAGCGGCAAGGATCATGATTAGAGAAGTCAAGTAAAGCTTCCATCCTTGATTGTCTTCATCTTTCGACGGAAACCCCATGGTGGAGAACATCTTTCAGAAATCTGGTGTCTCTCAAGATGAGTATGCTGTTCAAGAAGCATCGCTATGTCAATGTTCCGAGTGGAGAAACATCATCTAGGCGCCTACTTTCCATGCTTCTGTTTGCCACCATGCTTCCCGTCCTGCAGAACCCAGATAACATGTTTCATGTCGTTGTTTCCGCGATTACAATTTCACTGGCTGTTGCAGCATAGCATACGGCTCACACATGGGGCATTCGTGGTGGTCTTCGGGACATACTAACCCAATGGTGTTGGTGTACCCCCATGGATACATGTAAGCGACAATCCTTCACACATTGGCCTTCCATTCGCGGAAAAGCGCCAAGGGAGCTGCCGTGCGGTATGTTATACGACCCGTTCTCAAAGACGGGTCGGAGCATTGCCCCATCAAAGGAATATCTAGATAATTCCCGCAAGGCTTTAATCTACGGTGAGATTGCGGCGAGCATTCCCGTCGCCTCTTAGATTGTCATAGTGTATGGACTGGGCGAATACCAGCCTCCATTCATACATTTCGATCGAGACTCGTTCCTTCTGCACCACGGCGCCATTTCAAGATGCATAGTCTCGCGGCGCTATCGTTATGGCTCTGCGCAGCTGGATTATCCCTGGCCGTACCGAACACATCTTCCTTCGAGAACGTCGAGACAGAGAATGGACGTATCACAGGCCATCGCTCGCTTGAGGCAAACGAGGTCTGGGAATACTTGGGTATCCCGTATGCACAACCGCCGCTCGGAGCATTGCGATTCGCTGCACCCCAGAGGTACAAGGGCAATGGAACATACATTGCAGCCAATTTCGTAAGTACCTAACAGGAATTACCGTTGTATCGAGCAAAGGCGGCTGACAATTGATACAGGGATAGTAGGTGCTTCATGTAGTAACCCTGTTTATCATTGAGCTGACGATACGCGCGCAGTGACTGCCCGCAAATCGCTGCCACCCAGCCTGCATTTCCTGGTTTCACTGATCAAGCCTTGACTATACTTAGTGCCGGTACGGGATAGTATGCTCTCAACTACAGACTGAGCTAACATTCTGTAGTACGTGACCATACATCCCACGAATCTACGATAAAATACTTACTCTGTACCGCATTTTTAGTTTACCGCTGGTGCAGGGACACTTCGAAGTGAGGACTGTCTCACTTTGAACATATGGTCAAAGCCAACATTAAAATCGGTCAAGGCGAAGAAGCCTGTTTTCGTTCTATTCCATGGAGGACGTAAGTCATCTACCGCCCGCTAGTATGCTCACGTTCACTTGCTCATTCTACAGGTTTTGCTGGCGGTAACACCAACACACCATTCGCAAATGGCCAATACCTCGCTAACAACGAGGATATCATTGTTGTCTCCGTCAACTATCGACTGAACGTTTTCGGTTTCCCTGGAGCACCAAACGCAGATACTAACCTTGGACTGCGTGACCAACGTCTGGCGGTGGAATGGCTCCAAAAGAACGTTGCAGCATTTGGCGGAGATGCAAAGAAGATTGTTATCGCTGGCCAATCTTCTGGCGGTGCAGCTGTCGACTGGTGGTCTTATGCTTATCAAGAGGATCCTATCGTCCATGGTCTCATGTCCACATCAGGCAACACGTTCAGCTTCCCTATGAACTCGCCAGAGCGACAAAGGTCTAATTGGGACAACATCACTTCTCTAGTAGGCTGCGCTTCCTCAAACGACACAATGGCCTGCATGCGCAGCCAACCCTGGGAGACGCTCTCAAAAGCCGTAACCAAGATTGCTCCCAGTCCGGGTGGCAGTCCAGTCCGCTCAACGCCACCGTTCTACCCTCTGGTTGACAACGAGACGGTTTTCGCTGACTACATTTCTCGCTCGGCATCTGGCGACTTTGCCAAGTTACCTTATTTCCATGGCCATAATGATCACGAGCAGGGCTACTACGTCATACCAGCTTTTGCTCAAGGTCGAAACGTTACGGAGCAGCAAGCCAGTCAATTCCTCCTAGAGTCTTTCGTTTGTCCCATCTCCTACGAAGCTAGAGCACGTGTCGATGCTGGTGTTCCCACGTGGGTTTACCGGTACTATGGTGACTGGAACAACACACGTCTATACCCTACATCCGGTGCATACCACGGAACAGAACTACACATGATCCTAGGGGGCTCTGCAGATGCCAGTGGCCTTCCTGAAACGCAAACTCAGAAAGATACTGTCAGACTTGTGCAGCGCGCTGTTGCGGCGTTTACTGAGGATCCGAAGGAAGGGCTGACGAAATTGGGGTGGCCGGTTTTTGACCCAGAGAAGAAGAGCTGGGGCGAGATTGCCGTGAATAACAAAGCCAAGGTGACGTTTGCGAAGCCCGAGAAGTACGACGCGCAATGTGGTAACATCACTCTTGGGGCTTTGCAAGGTATGTCGTAGACAGTAGAGAGGGTTGGTTAGCGGGTTCGACCAGGCCGAGTGGTTGCTGTATATATCTACTCTTCAATATACATATCTATATATGTATCTATGCGTATGTGCCAAGAATAGCGAGTTGCTGAGCATCCGAACCCTGCTCATGTGCCTTTTGTGACGCGTGGAAGAAGGCTCCCCAAATATACGCCACTTATGGGCTAGCGTGAATAAAGTGGGAGCATCGGTCGTGGACGCGTCGCGTGCGCCCACACTTCTCTAAGTCGCTCGCCAGGGCAAGCGTGAGAGCTTCAACACTTTCTGCACATCCCGTCGCCTGCTGCTCTATCTAGGTCTGAATTATGTCGCACTCTTATCTGCTCCGTCTCGTGGTAATTTGACTCCATTGTTGACCTCACACGTATTGCTCCGAGTTTGAGCCAGGCGTCTCTAGCTGCTTGAGCTGAGCAACACAGCACCATGCACGAACGCCTCATGTCGCAAGAGGCTTTGTTTTGGCTTCACTATATCGTCATTCAGTGCGCTCTAGAATCTTGCTATCTCGTCTGACTCGTGCGAACAGATTTCCCAGACACATATGTAGACGTCGCGACCAACCCTATATAGATGCAGCACGACAAGCGCATTCGGTCACCAACTATCCCGACATCACAAACTCTCTTATAGCACTTCAAATTAGCCAATATGTTTGCAAACACGACGTCTCCGATAACGCCACCACAGTTCTTTCAACCAAATACCGTGGGCTGGCCTTCCCTCTTCTTTGGTCTACTTCCCTTCGCTATAAACTCCATGACCCAGCCTGCGGGCATGGTATGCGGAGCCAATGCAGACGTGGGTTTTTTACTGAGGAGCTCACCTATCATATGCATCCTCGATGCGTTTCTAGTCCTCTGGGACCTCTTCTCCATTTACCGAGTTCAAGGATCGTTTTCGAGAGCCCAGGACGAGATGATACAGCGCCGTTTCCGAAGTGAGATATATCGTGGATTCAAGAAGGCCAAGGAGCTAGACATATTGCGGAGCAGCGAGCAAGTCTTTCGCGTAGTGGCCTTCTTGCTCAGCGCATCGCAGATGATCAAGTTATTTGGGTACAGTGGGTTGGTCTGGGCCAAGATTATCGCCGCGGCGTATCTGATGTCTTTCCTCATCATTGAGATGTTGGTGGTATGGCCTGTGGCGAACAAGAAGGCCATCAAGGATGCTAAACAGAACATATCTGCTGAGCGTACTTCCATTGCGCTGGCAGTCATCTTCTTGCTTCCGTTCGCAGCGATGGCCTGTAGGGACATTGTTGGCTGGTCGGATCATACGCTTCTGCAATGGGTTGGTATTGTGATAGGAAGCTTGGGATTCATATCGGCTGTGCCTGCCATGGGATACTCGTATTGGCATCGCGAGCCAGGCACCAGGAGTGAGATCGCAACATCGGCAGTCATTCTTGTCCTGGTGCTCGGGACGCCTATAGGATTCTATTTCACAGGACGAATCATTCCAGAATCTATGCCTGGTATCTGGGTCAAAGTTTTGTGTGGGGTGGTCGCGTTTGTGTGGGGTGGAATTGCACTTTTGTATGGCACTAAGACTACGGAGTCTGTTAGGCGACCGAAGAAGGAGAAGCAGCGGAAGACGGTCGAGCAGGTGGGGGCATGGTATTTCTTCCTTCTTCACCTAGTGACGTCTCTGTTATATTACATGTTTAGTTATGATCCCAGTGGCACAATCAGGCCTGCATGGACGGAATGGCTAGATTAATGACCAGGAAATAGATTATAGCATCCCACGCTCCGAGGCTACCTAGTATTCAACTTCTTCCAAGTCAGATATGCCGCCAAAGCTACAACACTTATCCGACCAACTAGTGCTGTAGCCACAGCTCTCCTGACTAACGGATAATATCCCTCTAGCATTGAATTGACCGCAGCTCCCCGAGCCATCATCTTCGCTCTCCCACTCTGTCCCCAACCTCTTCCAACGCCCAAGCCAGCTATACCGACCTCGCCTGGCTTCTCTTCTTCCAGAGAACCGATCGCCTCACTGCCAATCCCAGGGAAGTCTTGCGTAGGCAATTCGGTAGTGTCTTGAGACGTCGTTGTTATACTAGACACAGCTGTGCTCATCTCTAGAGACTTCTGCTTGCGGAAACGATAAGACATCGCCCACATCACGAATCTCACATCCCAGTTGGTGAAAGTAGGGTACGTCCACAGTTCCAGGGCATTGTGCGGTGGCATGTGCTCGAGGAAGTCGCTCACAACACCTAGTGTCAATCCCCATAGCAGCAAAGGAGGCCTACGGTCCTTTGATCTCCCTTCAGCGCCCGCCAATGCCTCTCTAATAGTATTCACCACACCGTGTGGCGCTGCTTCCACGGGTATAAAGTCTGGAATGGTTGCGCAGTGCGTCGAGTTTGCTGGCACGAGTTGTATGGCAGCAAACATCATCTTGCTTAACATGGCTTGTAAGAACCAGCGCTTGATGCCCAATTCAGACTTTGCCAAACGCGCTGAGACATCGGCATATTCGTGTGTACGGAGGGCTGGGCTAAGAAGCGCGCGAATGGGTACCCAGTGTGAGGAGGCTACTTCGGTAGGCTGCAGGCGTTGCTGTGGATAGGCTGGGGAGGTGAGGAGGTAGATGTAGGGGCATAATACCATGAGTCTGCTTGTGATCAGCCTGAGTCCTTGCAATGGTACTTTTCATGTTCTAGGACATGGATCTCGTATCCGTTGAATGTGAAGACGTACGGTACTTTACCCCAGCTCGTCGTGACAATCCGCTGGGGTAGATTGCCGACTGCAATAGCATTTTCGGGGCTCAGATCAATCCCGACCTCTTCCAAGGCTTCTCTCGCAGCTGCAGCCTGATCGTCCTCGTCCTCTGGGTCTCTCTTTCCACCTGGTAGCGCGACATGTCCGTTCCATTTGTCGCCCACTCGTGTAGCTCGTTTGATGAACAATAGCTCTGGGTCCCCATGCTTCACCCATTCTTGTGAAAAGAAGTTGCTTAATGAGGCCTCAAAGTCGAACTCGGCATTGGGTTGTGCGACAGAGGAGCGTCTGCGTCGAGCTGGTACGGGGCTGTCGTCACTGTCAGGCCAATGCGAATAACTTGGCTGAATGCGCAGTATGAGCGCTACTGAAGCGCGTTTCGGTAGGTTTGGCGGACACGCGACATCTGGATAGGGGTTCGCGTTGAGCTCGAGGAGAACGGATTGCAGATGACTAGTGAGGTCTTCAGTATTGGTGTGCGCCGTCATGGTTTCTACAGAGGCTCAGTGCGCTGGCTACGCGATGCGATGTGATATCGGTGATGATGGACGAGAGGCCCACGGCACGTTGTGAGAGGTGAGTTGTCGCGGGTGCTGCGTTGCATACAAATGACACAAAAAAGAAACGCGTATGTTTGCGACGACGTCTGAACACTAGAAGATGTGATTATTCAGAGACACATAGTCAGCGATATCGCTATCGCAACGGAGAACCGAGGCGCGAGAATTGTCATGACTATAGCGATTGGCTACATGGCTAAGCACCACGTCGGGGAGCTGAGAATCGGTGAGACCATTTCAGAGTCGGAACAGAACACGAGTTCGAGGAGACAAGCAACCCACATCGGAAGTAACGTGTGTACCAGGCGGACAATAAGTGAAGCCGCTTCCTCGCCGTCGCAATCGCATAGCGGAGACAAGCTTTGGCCAATCGGGTGTTCGCCATGGAGGGGCAGGCAAATGAGGTCACCCGTGAGCCCCGCGATGCCAAAAAAATCTCCACATGTGTCGTGCGCCATTGCTTTATACCCCAGGTCACTGTCTTGATTGACTGTTCCTTCTCAATTGACTTCTGAAATTCCAAAACATTAGTCAAAATGGCAGGCCAAAAGACAGGTAAGCAAATATTTGAAGAGACTTGCAGTCTACTACTAATCGTTTGCGACAGCGATTCTGTCAGTCTACGACAAGACCGGTCTTCTTGATCTGGCCAAGGGACTCCACGAATGTGGTGTCCGACTACTCGCCTCAGGCGGTACGGCCAAGATGATCCGCCAGGCCAACTTCCCTGTTGAAGATGTCTCTGCCATTACCAAGGCACCTGAGATGCTCGGTGGACGCGTCAAGACTCTTCACCCCGCCGTTCACGGAGGCATTCTCGCGCGCAACCTCGACTCGGACGACTCAGACCTCTCCGCCAACAGCATCGACAAGATCGACTTCGTCGTATGCAACCTGTACCCCTTCTCCGAGACCGTCGCGCGTATCAACGTTACAATCCCCGAGGCCGTTGAGGAGATCGATATCGGAGGTGTGACTCTGCTCAGGGCCGCTGCGAAGAACCACGCGCGCGTCACCATCATTAGCGACCCCAACGACTACCATGACCTTCTCACCGAACTCAAGAAAGATGGCGAGGTCTCAGAGAACAGCAGGCAACGTTACGCGTTGAAGGCTTTCGAGCAGACTTCGTCATACGACACTGCCATCTCCGAGTTCTTCAGGAAGAAGTACGCAGGTGACGGCGACCAGTTCCTCACCCTCCGATACGGCGCCAACCCCCACCAAAAACCAGCGACAGTATCCATGCCAGAGAAATCTCTGCCCTTCAAGGTGCTCTGCGGTTCACCAGGATACATCAATCTGCTTGATGCACTCAACGCATGGCCCCTGGTGCAGGAGCTGACCAAGGCGCTCAACTACCCAGCTGCGGCCAGCTTCAAGCACGTCTCGCCTGCTGGTGCGGCTATCGGTGTCCCTCTCAGCGAGGTGGAGCGTAAGGTATACATGGTCGATGACATTGAGGGCATTGAGAAGTCCGGTTTGGCACAAGCATACGCCAGGGCGCGTGGTGCCGACAGGATGTCAAGTTTCGGTGACATGATTGCTCTGTCAGCCGAGGTTGATGTCCAGACCGCAAAGATTATCAGCCGTGAAGTCTCCGACGGTGTCATCGCACCTGGCTACAGTGCTGAAGCTTTGGAGATCCTTAGCAAGAAGAAGGGCGGAAAGTACCTGGTTCTCCAGATGGACCCTGAATACGTTCCAGGCCCTGAGGAGACCAGGACTGTCTTCGGCATCACGCTCAAGCAGCACCGTAACGACGCTAAGATCGTTCCTTCCGATACCTTCAATACTGTCATTGTGCCCAAGAACTCTGGAGCTCTGCCCGAGTCGGCTCAGCGAGACTTGACTGTTGCCACTATTGCGCTCAAGTACACCCAGTCTAACAGTGTCTGCTACGCGCTCAACGGCCAGGTCATTGGCCTTGGAGCTGGTCAGCAATGTAAGTACGACCAATCTTGCTTGATGCATAATCACTGATATCTGTACAGCACGCATCCACTGCACTCGCCTGGCTGGTGACAAGGCTGACAACTGGTGGATGCGTTTCCACTCGAAGACGCTGAACCTCAAGTTCAAGAAGGGCACCAAGCGCCCCTCAAAATCCAACGCCATCGATCTCCTGTGCTCTGGCCTTGTCCCTGAGGCGGGCATTGAGCGCGATGACTTCGAGGCCAACTTCGAAGAGGTACCCCAGCCATTCACCGCAGATGAGCGCAAGGAGTGGCTCTCCAAGATGGAGAGCGTCGCTATCAGCTCGGATGCCTTCTTCCCATTCATCGACAACGTCTTCAGGGCGCACAGGAGTGGTGTCAAGTACATTGCTGCGCCCACTGGAAGTCAGAACGACGGCGCAGTAATGGAGACGGCCGAGAAGTTAGGCATGACCTTTGTTGAGCAGCACATCCGGTTGTTCCACCACTAAGAGATTGATGACGAGGAAGTTTGGAAATGATACCTGGCGATGACATTGACGTGCAATGAACTGGCTACATGAAAAGTCTTGATGAGACGAGACGAGATTACGATACCTTCAAAATGTGGATACTTCAACATTCCAACTTGGCAATTTTTGAATCTTGTGCCGCGATGTCAAATGCATGTCCTTCGTTTGTGTTCAGATGCCATCAACAACAGTCAAACTTGACAGCGAATGGATGTTCATAGAGCGCAAATGTTGATGGTCGAGACCACGCGCGCTAATGTTTGCTATTTGCTGTAAGAAGCAAGGGTTGGCTAGGGGATCGCCAGACTAAACCCCTTGCAGCAAGCCGCAACGGAAGGAATAGATGGACAGCGCTTCACCTCGACTTCTTGCTCTACACCGCTGCCACAAACAACAATTTACCAACCTCTCAATCGCACCCGAACCTACTACCCCTCGCTACCGCGATTCACAAGACTCTTACACAAACAACCACCATCTCAAACATGTCAGCTCAGCCAGAGAACCAACAGATGGAGGGCGTCCAGGACCCCGCTACCGATGTCAAGGGCAAGGGCAAGGCTCAAGAGGGCGAGACTGTCGAGGAGTCCATGGACGACGACTCCAGCGACGAGTCTGGTGCTGAGGACCAGGTATGTTCATCGCGCCTCACCGCTACAACTCTATGCGCAAGTAGCTAACACAATCGCATCTAGGCCGGCGAACGTAAGCTATTCCCGCGAAAACCATGCGATTGAGCTTTCAAACTGACAGTAGAATAGCCGAGGAGCCTGATGAGGATAACATGGAGGAGATTGACACGTCCAATGTCCTGCAAAGCCGCACGCGCGGTAAGAACATCGACTTTGCCAAGGCCAACCAGGAGCTCGGCGACGAGGACGAAGAGGATGATGACGAGGACTTTGTCGACCCCGATGACCAAATGAAGGACTAGAGTGGAGTTGCATCGTCAACTTCTGTCTTTCGGTACGTTTGCAGCCAAGCCAAGAAGAGCCCTTTGTCCTCGATGAACCCCGCTAATCAAATCGCTTTGTTACAGGACTTCTTCGGCGCGTTCGACCAAATCTTTGCGAGCTCCGTATTCTGGCTAGGGTTATGATATACGCACAAAAGGCATTTGGGTAGCGGGGAAAAGACTCTTACCGACGTTGGAGTCGCGGCGCGACTTTTCGCGATTGAGGCAGCTGGACATGGAGCTATGTGCACGTTGATGTGTAACATGGACTGTGGACTGGATACCTCGCGCATACACAGCACTGGCATGCGTTATGAATGAAAACAAGAATACCCATACTTTTGACCTGACTTGCATGCACCTACGACGTGAACATGGCACATGTTATGCAGAAGGACAAAGAAATCCCCAGCAGAGATCATGCTGATCATATTGTTGGCCTGCATAGCTTCGTCCGCCGAAACGTAAAATCGCAAAAGAAGAATAAAACCACCCAGACATCTCAGCACACACCTACCCCGCCTTTCCCTGAAGATCTCGTATCCCTTCCACGAGCATGCAGGGTAACCGATGCGATGACACGAAAACAACACGTCGGTACCAAGGTATCCCACTTAGATCATGAATCTAGGGTCCAATGAACTAGCCAGTTGCAATGTGCATGCAATACAATATCTGTGACATTCTCTTTCGGACATCGGAGCTTGGAAACTACCGAAGATTGCTAGATTGAAAGGGTTGTGGGTGATGTGCGAAGCAGACCCTCGGGAAAATTTACGTGATACCGGACGGACGTGATTCCAGTGGTGCTTGTCGTTACTGAAAACAATAAGCAACGTGGTAAGATGGGTAGTGATACATAGGAAGCGATCAGATATCCAGAATAGTGCCTCGACTGAGGACGAGAGGAAATGGAAAGAGAAGCGAGAGTTCAGGGATTGTAATCGATGAAGTTAGGATGTGGTGGATGTAATGTCCACTACGTCCTGCACCGAAACCATCCTATTGGCGCCGACATCCAGCGAGATAACCCCATCTCAGACGGGCAAGAATGCTGTTTCTCTAGATCTTTCGGTGGGGCGTGTCAAGCAGAAAGGCCGAGTTACAATCACGGGCGAGGTAAATGGTGAGTACGATCCTCTAGAAGAGCCAGACTGCCTACAGATAGATGTAAGGTCGCTGGAACAACATCTGGTTGCGTCACGAGACCAGCGATCTCAGGATGATCTTCCTTGTTACGGATATGCCTTGTCGCAAGGTTCCATTGCCCAGATCCCCATGGCACCGCATCGAGACCCTAGAAATTGACCCACGTAACACTTTGTATATCTTAATTCCGGGAAATGCTCGTTGCCTCCCATTCTTGCCATTGATGACCCAACGCGGAATGTATTAGGTACACGAATCCTACGGAAATTTTTGTTGCATGCATACCGGATTGGATTGCTAGCTCAGGGTCTTGAAGCGCACTGCCTGGAGTATCCGCCGCGGGCTTTGCACAGCCAGCGAACAGCAAAAGAGGCGACATCGGCCTAACCAGTAATCCTTAGAAACGGGCTCGGCTGGACTGGCTACGCGACACGGATTTGCGTGGATTTGCCTGTTCTCGTGACTCGTCTCCCGCTACGTACTGCCGTCAGCTAGGCAGGAGCGTTCCGGTCTTCTCCGAAGCATGATGAGGACATTGATGTATTGTCGCCTGCCGTGGCGTGGCGGGTCGCTAGAATCGCCCAATTCTCGAGGGTGAGCTGTGCGGGAGGCAGATGAATTGGTTTTTGAGTTTGCGGCTAAGCAGAGGATAATCACTGCAAGTCCGGGTCCGCGATGATGTCGACGAGTGCGCACCTGGGAAGCCTCAGCGACGCTCCGCTGCGAAATGGCGGGGTTATATGATCTCCCGTCCAGTGAGCGTCAACACGAAGTATTCCGTAGCGCGACAGTCCGCCCTGGGCCGCGCTTGGAGAGAGATAAGGCCTGAGATGACCCTCTCAAATTACGACAAAGAAGTCGTGTGTTGCCGAGGCGAGGCCGCCGGGCCAATTGCACACGTCGCTTTTCAGATGATGCGGCGTGGGCTGCAGCGGCAATCTAGCCGGTGGAGCTATGGTAGAGCGGAAACACATGCAAGACCTGGTCATCAGATGTCAAACCGACCTTCGGAGCCCAGGATAGGGTGCACGGCCGGACTGCTGCAGGGCGGTCACGGCCAAATAGCCAATAATGCCCCGGCCTTTGGTCATGGAGTGGCAGAAAAACCGTGGGGTAGGCCAATTTTCCATGCGCAACACGCCGCAGGAGGCAGTGATGCTGCGCATACGCATACGAGCATTGGTAGCAACACATGAAGAAGAACATCACAAGAGCAATTCCATGTAGAGTGAGCGCGACTGCACATCGACAGACACGCAATCGTCATGTTTCGTCCGGAGAGACGGCGCGTCAGGTGCCACTCCAACATGCCCAACTTGATATACGTGGAAATAAAGTACCAAGACCACCTCCAAGACCGGGCAGTTCCCAGTTCGCAGCGGTAGACAAGCGGAGATGGCCTAACTGACAGCACGAACGCCTCCGTCGACGCGCTTCCAGACCGGTAATTGGACAGAGGTGAAGTCAAGTTGTTAGCGTATAGGGAAAATAATCCACCCCACCAGGAGCCCTCCGCTCTCTTATTCATAAGCACGCCCGCGAAACCTCCCGCGACCCTCTGTCTCTTCTTGCACTCTCGACACAATCGCTACAAGCTGCTTGCAGGAACATCGCGAGCCCAGCACAAGGCCTGTTCCACCAGCCCTTCTAGCAAGTAAGTAGCCCTGCCTCCCACATGTACACCCGCTGCACCCATCCACCACCCGTGGCCAAACATTGTGCTTCTCCACCACCCGTCCTGCGTGAGAGGCATCAGCCACTTTCCTACTGGTCTGCGCCTGCCACCCCGCGTTAGCCTATTCGCTGCCTGCCTTATCTGCCGATTTTGTGCTTCGAGCAGCTATCAGTTGCCGCTGGAGATGGGGGGAGAACGTCATAGCCATCAATCGCCTATATCCGGCCGGGTGAAGCTGGTGACGAATCCAGCCCATCTTTCTGTTGGCTTTGGGCGTGATTGACACCGGCGACTCCATCTTCCCACCAACTGTTCCCCACCCACATTCTTTGCTTTTGAGCTAGAGCCCTAGGCGCATCCGTACCAGAATATCATCGACACTCGACCCTTGGCCCGCAGTCAGCGACAAACTCTTTACCAGACCTGAAAACTAATATCCGCCTCCAGACTTGATTCAAATACCAGAGCAACAGCTCCCAAGTTCACGCCTCGAGCGACCCCGCCACTCTCCCATATCGATACCGCAACCCCACTACTACCACCAACGAACCCAGAACTTCGGCCTTTCGCCGATATAATGGGTCGGGTCTCGTTCGCCGAAGATACAAAGTTGCCCCAGGAACCCCAGATCGAAGAGGAGCAAAGCACGGTATTTGCTTATCAAGATGGCCCCGAGAACAAGTCTTGGGCAGGCGCACTGCCCTTGAAGCAAGGTCTGTATGACCCGGAGCTCGAGAAGGATGCTTGCGGTGTCGGTTTCGCTGCGTGAGTCATGGCAATTGGTTCGTGTGGGAGATGCAAGGGCTGACAATGGCGTAGTCACATCAAGGGCAAGGCCAGCCACAAGATCGTCTCCGATGGTAAGAGCGAACAACTCAAGGAATGAGTAGACGAGAATGCTAACGGATATCCAGCCCGTTCGTTGCTATGCAACATGACACATCGAGGAGCCGTTGGCTCTGACGCACGCGATGGTGACGGTGCCGGTGTAATGACCTCCATCCCCCATCGCTTCTTCCTCAAGGAGTTCGAGCGCGAACAAGGCTACAAGCTACCATCGCTTGGCCAGTATGCTACTGGTAACCTTTTCTTCAAGCCGGACGCCAACATCTTGGATGAGACCAAGACCATGTTTGAGGACGTTGCAGACCAGCTTGACTTGAGGGTGCTCGGATGGCGAACAGTGCCCCGCGATTCCACACTTCTTGGACCCGCGGCACTTTCACGAGAGCCCATCATTCTCCAGCCGTTTGTCGTCTTGAAGACCGCCTACGGCGACGCCCGGGAGCCCAAGGCTGACTTCCAGGAGAAGTACGACAACGCATACTTTGAGCGACAACTGTATGTCATGCGAAAGCGGGCTACACACGTCATTGGCCTCCACAACTGGTTCTACATTTGCAGCTTGTCAAACAAGAACATTGTCTATAAGGGTCAACTTTCTCCTGTTCAGGTCTACGAGTACTACCACGACCTGCTCAACGTTGACTACGAGGGTCACTTTGCTCTGGTGCACTCTCGATTCTCTACCAACACATTCCCCAGTTGGGACCGTGCTCAGCCTCTGCGATGGGCTGCTCACAATGGTGAGATCAACACCCTGCGAGGAAACAAGAACTGGATGAGGGCCCGCGAGGGTGTTATGAAGTCCAGCCTTTTCGGCGAGGAGCTTGATCTCCTTTACCCCATCGTCGAGGACGGTGGTTCCGACTCTGCAGCTTTCGACAATGTCCTTGAGCTGCTCACCATCAACGGTGTCCTGTCACTCCCAGAAGCAGTCATGCTTATGGTTCCAGAGGCATGGCAGGGCAACCACACTATGGACCCGGCTAAGCAAGCCTTCTACGAGTGGGCTGCCTGCATGATGGAGCCTTGGGATGGTCCTGCTCTCTTTACTTTCTCCGACGGACGTTACTGTGGTGCTAACCTCGACCGAAACGGTCTTCGTCCTTGCCGTTACTACGTTACTGACGACGACCGCATCATCTGCGCGTCTGAAGTTGGTACCATCTCTATCGAGCCAGAGCGCGTTGTACAGAAGGGTCGTCTCCAGCCCGGTAGGATGTTGCTCGTCGACACTGTCGCTGGTCGAATTGTCGATGATGCCGAACTGAAGCAGACCGTCTCAGAGCGTGTTGACTTCCGTTCCTGGATTCAGAAGAACCTGCTCACTCTTCCCAAGATTGTCGAGCAGATCAGCGCAAAGGGCGTTGATCTTTCACACTCGCTCACCGAGACCAAGCTACATGAGGACCCTCGTCTGCGAGCATTCGGCTACTCTCTTGAGCAGGTCAGTCTCCTTCTTGGTCCTATGGCTGCCGACTCAAAGGAGGCTCTTGGATCCATGGGTAACGATGCTCCTCTGGCTTGCTTGGCTACCCAGCCTCGTCTGCTGTACGAGTACTTCCGTCAGCTTTTTGCCCAGGTTACCAACCCTCCCATCGATCCTATTCGTGAGGCGATTGTCATGTCTTTGGAGACATACGTTGGTCCCCAGGGTAACCTTCTAGAGATGGACGAGTCACAGTGTGGCCGTCTGCTTCTTCCATCGCCCATCCTGACCCTCGAAGAGTTCAAGGCGCTGACCAACACGCACACTCTGCACTCTGACTGGACCGTCAAGTCCATCGACATCACATTCCCCAAGAGCGAGGGACTCGATGGCTACATGAACGCTCTCGACCGAATCTGCGAGGCTGCAACCGAGGGCATCAAGGCCGGCGACAACATCCTTGTCTTGACCGACCGCGCTGCGTCTGTTGACCGTGTTGCCGTATCCGCTTGCTTGGCTACTGGTATGGTTCACCACCATCTCGTCCGCAACAAGTGGCGATCCAACGCTGCCCTTGTTGTCGAGACTGGTGAGGCCCGTGAGGTCCACCACATGTGTGTCTTGGTTGGATACGGTGCTGATGCCGTCTGCCCATACCTTGCTATTGAGTGTATCTTGAAGATGCACCGCGAGGGTGTCATTCGCAAGAAGATGAGCCCCGAACAGCTCATCGATAACTACAAGCACTCTTGCGATGGTGGTATCTTGAAGGTCATGAGTAAGATGGGTATCTCTACCCTCTCATCCTACAAGGGTGCTCAGATTTTCGAGGTTCTTGGTCTTGATGACTCTGTCGTTGACCGATGCTTCACTGGAACTGCTTCCCGTATCAAGGGTATGACATTCGAGTTGATTGCTTCCGACGCTTTCGCTCTCCACGAGAGGGGTTACCCATCGCGCGCCATCGTCGAGGTTCCCGGTCTTGCTGAGACTGGCGAGTACCATTGGCGTGACGGAGGTGAGCCTCACGTCAACGACCCCACTGCCATGGCCAACATCCAGGATGCCGTCCGCACCAAGAACGACAAGTCGTACGAGGCATACTCTATTGCTGAGTACGAGCGCATCAAGGACTGCACCCTCCGTGGTCTCCTTGACTTCAACTTCGATGACCGTGCTCCCATCCCCATCGACCAGGTCGAGCCTTGGACCGACATTGTGCGCCGCTTCGTCACTGGTGCCATGTCCTACGGATCCATTTCCATGGAGTCCCACTCTACCCTTGCTGTTGCTATGAACCGCCTTGGCGGTAAGTCCAACACTGGTGAGGGTGGTGAGGACCCGGAGCGCAGCTTGCGTATGGAGAACGGTGACACCATGCGCTCTGCGATCAAGCAGATCGCTTCCGGACGTTTCGGTGTTACCTCCAACTACCTTGCCGATGCCGACGAGCTCCAGATCAAGATGGCTCAGGGTGCTAAGCCTGGTGAGGGTGGTGAGCTTCCTGGCCACAAGGTCTCTGGCTCCATTGCTAAGACCCGTCACTCCACGCCTGGTGTCGGTCTCATCAGTCCTCCTCCCCACCACGACATTTACTCCATTGAGGATCTCAAGCAATTGATCTACGATCTCAAGTGCTCCAACCCCCGCGCTCGTGTATCCGTAAAGCTTGTCTCCGAGACTGGTGTTGGTATCGTCGCTTCTGGTGTGGCCAAAGCCAAGGCTGACCATATCCTCATCTCTGGTCACGACGGTGGTACTGGTGCCTCTCGATGGACTGGTATCAAGTACGCCGGTCTCCCCTGGGAGTTGGGTCTTGCCGAGACTCATCAGACTCTTGTTCTCAACGACCTCCGTGGTCGTGTCATTGTCCAGACTGACGGTCAATTGAGGACTGGACGCGATGTCGCCATCGCCTGTCTGCTTGGAGCTGAGGAGTGGGGCTTTGCTACCACGCCTCTCATCGCCATGGGTTGCATCATGATGCGCAAGGTAAATATCTTCCCCATGATATATCATAAAAGAAACTATTTACTAACCACCACTAGTGCCATCTCAACACTTGCCCTGTCGGTATTGCCACCCAGGACCCTGAGCTCAGGAAGAAGTTCGCTGGTACACCCGAGCACGTCATCAACTTCTTCTACTACATCGCCAACGAGCTCCGTGCAATCATGGCCAAGCTTGGTTTCCGGACCATCAACGACATGGTTGGTCACTGTGAGGTGCTTCGCATCCGTGACGATCTCCGCACTGCGAAGACTGAGAACATTGACTTGTCTCTCATCCTGACTCCCGCGCACACCCTTCGCCCAGGTGTTGCCACGTTCAACGTGCGCAAGCAGGACCACCGTCTTCATGTCCGCCTCGACAACAAGCTCATTGCTGAGTCCGAACTTGCTCTGGAGAAGGGTCTTCCTGCCCGCATTGAGTGCGATGTCGTCAACACTGACCGTGCTCTTGGTGCTACTCTCTCGTACCACATCAGCAAGCGCTACGGCGAGGCTGGTCTGCCCCAAGACACCATCCACGTCAACATCCGTGGTTCTGCTGGCCAGTCTTTCGGTGCTTACCTGGCACCTGGTGTCACTCTTGAACTTGAGGGTGATGCTAACGACTACGTTGGTAAGGGTCTGTCTGGTGGTCGTTTGATCATCTACCCTCCCCGCAACGCCGTATACCGTGCCGAGGAGAACGTTCTTATCGGTAACGTCTGCTTGTACGGTGCCACTCGCGGTACTTGCTTCTTCCGTGGTATCGCTGCTGAGCGTTTCTGTGTCCGTAACTCTGGTGCTACGGCTGTCGTTGAAGGTGTTGGTGACCACGGTTGCGAGTACATGACTGGCGGTCGTGTCCTTGTTCTTGGTTCTACTGGACGTAACTTTGCTGCCGGTATGTCTGGTGGTATTGCGTACGTCCTTGACATCCACAAGGACTTCGAACAGAAGGTTAACCAGGAGATGGTTGAGCTCTCCGGCATCGAGGAGCCAGAGGAGATTGCCTTTGTTCGCGGCCTCATTGAGGACCACCACCACTACACCGGCTCTGAGCTTGCCGCTCGCATCCTCCTCGACTTCACTCGCGCACTGCCCCGCTTTGTCAAGGTCATGCCTGTTGACTACAAGCGCGTGCTCCTGGAGGAGAAGGCAAAGGCTGCCGAGAAGAAGAAGTCTGAATACCCTCTTCCTCTGCTCGCTGGCAACGCTGTCCGCAACGCCCACGAGGAGTCTCGCAATAAGGAAGCTGAGGCGGAGGCCAAGGAGAAGAAGAAGAGCGACCTCCTCGACATTGAAGAGAGTGTTACCGACGCAAAGGCTGAGAAGAAGAAGGCGCTCGTCCTTGACAAGACTCGCGGTTTCATGAAGTACCAGCGTCGCTCTGAGAAGTACCGCAACCCCAAGACCCGTACTCGCGATTGGGCAGAGCTCAACCAGCGTCTGAACGAGGACGAACTCAAGTACCAGACTGCTCGCTGCATGGACTGTGGTGTACCCTTCTGCCAGTCTGACACTGGTTGCCCGATCTCCAACATCATCCCGAAGTGGAACGAACTGGGTAAGCGCTTAGTGTCTTCTTTTGGAGCATACATCATGCTAATCTTTTGATAGTCTTCCAAGGTCAGTGGCGCGACGCCCTCAACCGCCTCCTCATGACCAATAACTTCGTAAGTGTTCCTGTATCAGCTACATACGCGATGTGTACTAATCCCATATAGCCTGAGTTTACTGGTCGTGTTTGCCCGGCTCCTTGCGAGGGTGCCTGTGTTCTTGGCATCAACGAGGATCCCGTTGGCATCAAGTCGATTGAGTGCGCCATTATTGACCGCGGTTTTGAGAAGGGCTGGATGATTCCTTCGCCACCCCAGACCCGTTCTGGAAAGACTGTTGCCATCATCGGTTCCGGCCCTGCTGGTCTCGCTTGTGCTGATCAACTCAACAAGGCTGGTCACACTGTCACCGTCTATGAGCGTGCCGACCGTGTCGGTGGTCTCCTCATGTACGGTATCCCCAACATGAAGCTCGACAAGAAGGTCGTTCAGCGCCGTGTCGACTTCATGGCTGCTGAGGGCGTCAACTTCAAGACTGGTGTCACCGTTGGTGAGGAGGGTCAGACCAACCTCGAAGCTCTCCGCAAGGAGTACGACGCAGTTGTCTTCGCGACTGGAGCTACTGTCGCTCGTGACCTGCCCATCCCTAACCGCAACCTGGACGGCATTCACTACGCCATGCAGTTCTTGCACAAGAACACCAAGTCTCTCTTGGACTCCGAATTGGCTGACGATGCTTACATTTCGGCCAAGGACAAGCACGTTGTTGTCATCGGAGGTGGTGATACTGGTAATGACTGCATTGGTACTTCCGTTCGCCACGGTGCCAAGTCTGTCGTCAACTTCGAGCTGCTGCCCCAGCCCCCAGCTGAGCGTGCTCGCGACAACCCATGGCCGCAGTGGCCCCGTATCTTCCGAACTGACTATGGTCACAACGAAGTCAAGACTCACATGGGCAAGGATCCTCGTGAGTACTGTGTCATGTCCAAGGACTTCGTCGACGATGGTAGCGGCAAGGTCAAGGGTATCAACACTGTCCGTGTTGAGTGGACTAAGTCCGCCTCCGGTGGTTGGGACATGAAGCACGTCGAGGGTAGCGAGCAATTCTTCCCTGCCGACCTCGTCTTGCTTTCCATGGGTTTCTTGGGCCCCGAGCAGCGTGTCATGAGCGACGTTATCGAGCTTGACGGCCGCAAGAACATCAAGACCCCTCCCGGTCACTACAACACCAACCTGGCAGGTGTCTTCGCTGCTGGTGACTGCCGTCGCGGTCAGTCCCTGATCGTCTGGGGTATCAACGAGGGTCGCCAGTGCGCTCGCGACGTCGACTCCTTCCTTACCGGCTACGGTACTTCCCTGCCCGTCACTGGTGGTATCGTCAAGCGCCCACCCTACGAGGCTATGCACAAGCACCGTGCTGCTCCTGACGAGAAGCTGGTGACTGTCGCCGCTTAGATGAGTCTATGATTATGATTGTTACTGTATGAAGTAAAGGTGCATGGAAAAGATGGTCACGGCAAAAGATGGGTTTCGGGTATATCATGATTCTTTGGCGTTTTGATTTATGTACGCGCATTTTCCCTCGTTTACCTGCACGATACCTTTTCAGTATGCGGAGTCAGCTGGGCGGCACCTGCAGTGTACAATGTCTTTTAGCTCTATTCATTTCGCACCCAATTTGTATATATAGGCGAATGTTATGTTCAAATTGACGTTTTGCAACTTGCTGTGTGATGCTCATAACGCTTTCGCCTCTTTATCGCTGTAATCAATCATCCTGCCTTGTTCGCAAGATTGGAAGTCGCATGATGGAGACTACAATCATTGCGATAGCATCCAGAACACGGATGCTCTTTTTTTTTCGCCTGTGCTCTAGACATCGCGATTGGTGGCATTGATTACTTCGCTTCGCCAGGCGGCAGATGCACAAAGCCAAGATTCAAGATTAGTGACGTCACGCACCTCTAATCTCTAGATTCGCTAGTCTTGAACGGTACTCCAGGCAGCGAACATCAGTCGACTGACCTTCGTTGTATTCTGTATATCGCCATGCCCCGGTGACAATTAGGTCGTGAATATGTTACCCCGTACCGGCTGGCATCAGACGTGTCGTCGCCCTCTGCATGGGCCGACAAGGTGCGTTTACGAAGCTGGATCCTTGTTGGCGATCATCGCAAATATACTAACAGGCCATCAGGATCGTACATCCGACACTTAGAGCGACATGTAAACCAAGCAGTCTAGGTTGTCGAAGACCGTGGACCGTCCCTGCTCGCTATGTAACTGGACTACAGGCTGGTGAAGACAAAACCGGTCACATCAGCGCAGGACCTAACGAGGGCATCCTCTTCTTCAACAATGTATTTCCTATCCAGATTCGTAAGGTACTAGGTCTCCCGTTGCCAGGGATACTAGATCGCCTCATCAGTCCGAACATATCTGGTACCGACCCTAAAGCCGTCATTGAAAGAGCGAGTGCGAAACGAAACTTGCAGATTACTGGCACGGAGGTACTTCCACGGATGCGAGAAGGAGGAGCATTCGTCAAGTTCACTCACGACGGAAATGCCTCTGCTTCTGAGATTGAAAAAGTGCTTCAAGAGTACCTAAGAGACGAACCAGTCAAACCATGGTGGAGTCCATGGAAGAGGATGCGCGCGAAGATGGTTAAGGGAAAGCCATGGGTTGAAGATCTCATGCGTCTCCCAGCTTCACGTCTGCGAGTTGAGTTTGTCTCTGCCGAGGCAGGCGTGCCGGCATCTGACGCTATAGAAATGAGCCAAGAACAGCTCTTCCAGTTCTTCAGGCCATACGGCAAGCTATCAGACATCGTTATGCAGCCTCCCGACTCGAAAGTACTCCCAAAGTTCGCATATCTGGACTATTCTAGCATTGGGAAGGCTATCATGGCCAGGAACTGTATGCATGGCTATCTTGTGTCAGAAGCTGAAGGAGGTGGCAAGAAGGGCACAATCCTAAGGTTGAAGTACGAGCAGAAGATCAAGCCTCGATATATCAGAGACTGGATCTTTGGCCATCCTCGCATCATCATCCCGATTGTAGCTGCTCTTATCGCTGGTACCGTTGCCATCGTCTTTGACCCGTAAGTCCATCCTCTACATAGATAGCGTGAGCTGACAAGAGCGAAGTATCCGAACATTTTTTGTGAAAGCCCACATCACGCGCAACTTCCACATTGAAGACAACAAGTGGTACCAGTGGATCAAGGGATATGCCACAGATATCATTCACGGTGGCAATAAGCGCGACGACGATGACAGCATGGATGCTATCTGGGATGATAGGAAAGATGACATTGAACAAATCAGAACTTGGTTGATGGAGACTGCTGAAACTTTCATCATTGTCCAGGGTCCTCGGGGCTCTGGCAAGCGCGAACTTGTCGTTGACGAGGCCTTGGAGGATAAGAAGCTCAAGCTTGTGATCGACTGCAAACCTATCCAGGAGGCCCGAGGCGAGAGCGCTACCATCAATGCTGCAGCGTTGTCTGTTGGCTATAGACCTGTGTTCAGTTGGATGAACAGTATATCCGGGATGATCGACATGGCTGCCCAGGGTGCTACAGGTGTCAAGACTGGCTTCTCCGAGACTCTTGACTCTCAACTCAGCAAAATCTGGAACACTACGACCTCGGCACTACGACAAATCGCTTTGGACACACGTCATAAGAACGACAAGGATGCGCACTTGGGAGACGACGAGTGGCTTGAAGCACACCCAGAGCGCAGGCCGATCGTTGTAGTTGACAACTTCCTGCATAAAAGCCAGGAAGGCGGTATCGTCTATGACAAGATCGCAGAATGGGCCGCCCGTCTCACAACGACAAATGTGGCTCATGTTATCTTCTTGACCAACGATGTCGCGTTCAGCAAATCGCTCTCCAAGGCCATGCCGGACCGTATGTTCCGTCAAATCTCTTTGTCCGACTGCAGCCCTGAGGTAGCGAAGCGGTTTGTTATCACGCATCTTGACGCCGATGTTGAGGATGACCCAGCGCCAAAGGACGGCTCCCCTAAGAAGCTGCCCTCTGAGCACCGCAACGACCTTGATGAGCTCGACACTTGTATCGATTTGCTGGGTGGCCGCCTTACCGATCTTGAGTTCTTGTCCCGACGCATCAAGACTGGTGAGACACCCACCAAAGCTGTGCACGAGATCATCGACCAGTCAGCTTCTGAGATTCTCAAGATGTACATCTTTGGCGCAGAGGATGAAGGCGGAAACCGACACTGGAATGCCGAGCAAGCCTGGTTTCTCATCAAGGAGCTCGCTCAGAAAGAAAGTCTAAGATACAATGAAGTTCTCATCGACGACATTCTGAAGACTGGCGGCGAATCCGTCCTTCGCGCCCTCGAACAGGCTGAGCTCATTTCCATCGTCTCTGGTGCGAATGGACGTCCATCTATCATCAAGCCAGGAAAGCCTGTCTACCACCCCGCTTTCAAGCGCTTGACTGAGGACAAGGTGCTGAAGAGCCGCTTGGACCTTGCCATCCTGACGCATTTGACAAAGATTGAGAACGCGACGATTGACAAGTGCGAGAACGAGTTGTTGTTACTGAGCAAGCTAAAGAACCAGCCTGCACAGACAGCTGGGCGTATCAACTATTTGTTGACAAAGTTGATGACTAGTCAAAACAAGGTGGAGAAGTACGAGACGGAGATCAAGGGACTGAAGAAGGTGCTTGGAAATGAGTACTAGGATTTTGGAAGGCTCTGATGAGAGCAACGTATACAATGATACCATCCCCTCTGAATGCATTATCAAGGTGCTATGCGTGCAGCCGTGCCGAAATGGCATTGTGACCCCACCCGTTCACTACTACGTACGATGCATTGGCCCTTCTAGTGCCATGTCCCGACTCGTACGAAGCATAGCAGTGTCGGCAGGTAATAACAGCAGTGAATATTCCGAGAATATTCCGCTAATGGTGCGGCTAGCCTCGTGCGCTCAGGAACGTTTTGCTCTGACATCACCCTGCTAAGGCTAACGTGACCGAGGATCGGGCAGGAGGAAGCATTTTCCCGCGAAGCAGCCGAACGCAGAAGCAAGCTAGCGAACGACCGTGAGCTCCACCTCGTCCACAACGCGACCTGCCATTGCGCACTTGTCCCTTCTCCACTCCCAGCGGCCCGCGCATCTTCTTGTCCTTCTCATCGCCCTTTGCAATTCCCCCCAAAACTTTTCCTCACATTTCGGCGCAATGGCACCAATAGCAGATACCGTGGTCGATGACCTCAAGAGCACCGTCAACAGGCTCGAGAAGCGCATCGCTGAGCTGGAGAACAAGCTGTCTGGCCAGAGTGGGGGTGCATCAACGTCGGCGGAGAGCGTCAGGATGATCTTGATGGGACCACCAGGTGCTGGTGCGTAGTTCCGCTCGAGAGGGTCGAAATGTGGCATTTTGCTTACACCGGGTCTAGGCAAGGGCACACAAGCGCCGCGAATCAAGGAGAAGTTCTGCGCATGCCATCTTGTACGTTTTACCGCTATCCACGACACCAAGCTGCGGCATGGGAAGCCGGAAATGGCAGGCTGACAGATTGTAGGCTACCGGAGACATGCTACGCGCTCAAGTCGCGGCCAAGACAGCCCTCGGTCGGGAAGCGAAGAAGATTATGGATGCCGGCGGTCTGGTTAGCGACGAGATCATGATCAACATGATCAAGACTGAGCTCGAGGGCAACGCCGAGTGCGCCCAGGGGTGCGTACTCTGACGATTTGTCTCTTTTGGATATATCGGAAAGGCATGCTAACGCGGAGTCTCCCTAGATTCATCCTCGATGGCTTCCCACGAACAGTAACCCAGGCCGAGAAGCTCGACGGTATGCTTGCTGCGACCAAGAAGCCCCTTCAACACGCCATTGAACTGCAAATTGACGACGGCCTCCTCGTCTCGCGTATCACTGGCCGCCTCGTTCACCCCGCATCCGGCCGCTCCTACCACAAGATCTTCAACCCACCCAAGGCCCCCATGACCGACGACGTAACCGGTGAGCCGCTCATCCAGCGCTCCGACGACAACGAGGACACGCTCAAGAAGCGTCTCTCGACCTACCACGCCCAGACCGCGCCCGTTGTTGCATACTACCAGAAGACGGGTATCTGGAAGCCCATTGACGCAAGTCAAGAGCCAGGCCAGGTATGGAAGAGCCTGCTCAAGATCTTCGACGACAAGGCCATGGTTGCTGGACGAACAGGCAGCTTGCTCAACAAGGTTGGTCTTAAGAACTAGACTGGGCCTTTTGTGTGAGCAGGGGCGTGATCCCAGGCTGGAAAATATTGTTCAACGATACTACGAGTCACGCCTACGTGTCATACCGCCAGGCACACGCAGAATCTTACAATGTCCAAGAGTCGCTGGTCATGTTCAGAGCCACGTATGAGAAAAGTCCACTTTCACGCTTTGGAATGAAGAATGCACATATGGTTTGGATGGGTTCCTTGTACTTGTACAGATGCATACGGTGGTGTGGGTAGTCTGTGGGGACACCTGTGTGTTTCAAATGACTCTTGCAAGCTGGTTTCTGGTAGTCTACCAAGATCGGAAATGCTAGAAATGTTCATGAAGATACCCGTGGTTACAAATGTGGCCTGTACTCTGACCGCAATTCTGTGACATGTTTTAACGACGTACTCATAACTACAAGTTACCCGCATACCTCGTATTGATCTTGTGAATACACATGTGCGCTCTCATGCTAGGAGCTTCCTTTGCGCCACCAACACGTGCTCCTACCCGCCGCCGTTCCAACAACGTGTTCCTAGTCGCGCACTCGGCGTTAGCACTGCCCAACATCTTCTAACCTCCGGGCAACTTCTCACTCCCGAAAAAGTGCCCGACAACCCTCCACATATTATCCACCCCCGGAGCACAAACTAGGCTCCCGTACAAGCGCATTACCCCAGATTCGCAATTCGACCACGTATCGCCAGACTGCACGCGCCGCCCTAAGCCTCAACCACGAAACGAGACACCGAATATCAAACCCCTCGACCCTCGACCCTGAACCCAGAAAGGGGACACTAAGAAGGGAGACGTCCAACAACATAGCGTACCACACCACACGCATTCACACACATCGCAATCATGTCAAGTAGATTCAGCAGCCGCGCCGACGCGCGCGACGACCTCTTCTCCTCCTACAACCGCAGCGCCTCACCCTCGAAATCAAAAAACAAAGCTCGCGCAAGCCCTTACAATGCTGCTGGCGGCTACGGCTACACACCACCTTCCTCCGCCGACGGGCCAGGCTTTGGCGCATATCCTGGTGCTGGTGGGAGTAAGGCGAATGGGAGCTTATATCCTGGGAGCGGAGGGAGTAGTTATGGGGGTTATGGTGTAGGGGGCGGAAGGGGGAGTGATGATGGAAGGGATGGCATATATCGGGCTGCGACACCGAATTCAAGGGGACAGTACTCTGCGGCTGTGTTGGATGAGTTGGAGAGCCAGAATGATGAGCATGTTGGTGTGCTGACTAGCAAGGTCAAGATGTTGAAGGACGTATGTTGCTTTCTTTCTTCTCTTCTGCATCCTCTTCTCTACTGTTCCTCTTTCCTGTAATCGCACTACTTGGAGAGTGTTGTGTTAACATCTACTAGTTGACCCATCTCATCGGCGATGAAATCCGCGATTCCACTAGTCTCGCCGAGAAAATGAACGATCAGTTTGAGAACTCGAGACATAAGATCAAGGGTACCATGAATCGTATGTTGAGGATGGCGCAAAAGACGGGCGTAGGCTGGAAAGCCTGGGTTGGGTTCTTTGCCGCGGTTATGTTACTGTTTTGGTGGGTGTGGTTAGGTTAATGGGGGATGCCAGAACAAGAGGAAAGATAGACTGGCGTATACTTGACGTTGATGATCTATTGACTATAGAAAGAAACGTTTGGGAAAGAGGGGTTTGCATTGCATCGAGTCGCATCTGGCATGGTGTAAGGCGTTTGATTGACAAAGTATCGTCTGGACGCTTCAATTACATTGCTACCACGGTTCTCTACATGCGCTTCAACTTGCCATATACCACGTCTCCGGCTGAGGTGCGTATCAGATGACTTTCACTACAGCGTTGCGCTCAACTGCATACTCTGGTGACGCTTCCTCGAAGGGCTTGCGATTAACTCGGTCCTGTGGAATGATTTCCGTGAAGAGACCTATCCTCTCGAATTCGCCGTCGTACCTGTGGCCATTAAACTTCCACGGTCGTAGGTTTCTCTTTACCAACACCATATACCATATCATTTCTTTAGACTCAACTTCCCCCTGAGCTATTTCTAGACAAAACACAGCTTCGCCATCTTCTACCACATGACCTGACTGTGTCAGATCGAAGTCGGTGCCAAAGCGATATGAATCTTCACGTTCTCTACCTAACGGCGTGAGGAAAGCTTGGTGCCAGTCCCTGTCGTCGACTCCTACATGACTAATGAATGCCTGTATCAAGGTTCCTGATAAGACAATGTATCCGCCCTTCAACTGACCCGTAGGATCCTTGCCTATAGGCGAGACTTTGGCTTCCTTGATAAATGCTGAAACTTTTGGGCTCTGAAGACCAACGTGATATATTCCCCGGCCCACTCCAAGGTCGTCAAAGGTGATAGACGCCCATAAGAACGACGGTGCTCTCCAACGAACAGGCCGATGGCCTTTTTTGAATGTGCGCCACAACAGTCCAAGTGGCATCGTTTCTCTCCATATCCCCGCGACATATGTCCAGCCAGTAGCTTCCTCAAAGCTTTTTGCGATACCTGAGATTGCTGGGAAGATGTCGTTTGGTTTTGAAAGCTTTAGACACGCGAACTCGAAGGCGGCGATTGTCCATGGATTATCTCCTCCTAATAGTTTACCCCTGAGCAAGCGCCATCCAGCTGGATGGTAATGATTTTTGGGTGCTAGGTCCAGCTCCCATACCGCTGGCTGGCATTGATGACGCCAGTCAAGAAACCCACATTCGCAGCGCTGATGTTGCATACATTCCCATATCAGCTCATTCTCAGCGAAGTGAAGTATCCGTGGACTTAGGAGGGGTTCCTGAAAGACCCAACCTCGCTTGAGGAGCGGCGATTGACTTATTCTGTGATCAACTGGCTTTCTAGCATAAATGTGACAAGAACTGGACAGTGATTGGCTTATGTGCGCCTCAGGAGTCTTACGAAAGAGGCCCTCTTCTGAATTTGAAGCCTCTGTAGCTGCCAGAGTTACAGTGGAGTTGGAGTAGATGGCGGCCATCTTTGCAGATTGGATCTGCCAGTCCTTTTCATCATCTTGGATAATCTGTAGGCAATTTCAGCAAGGAGACGTGCAGGGACGATCGATCCGAAAATAACCTACACATAACGAATCTATCCAAATGTACTGAATCCCAATCGCCAAAATGACTGTGATCGCATCCCGGAATGTCTTCGGCAGATCTTCTTCCCGGATGTTCTCCTGATGAATCGAGAGGGTGTCTGGCTTTAGAGTCGTCCGTAAAGGCTGCTTGTCGCCCCAACAGTGGCTCAGACACGCATATCGCCCTTCTCTGTTCTTCGTATCGACGAGGCGGATCCGACGTGGCATGTTGAGGCTTACCTCAATTGCTCGATCAGGCAATGTAGCGTTCTCGCTACGCGACGCCAAGCACAAGCCTTGGTGTGTTTTAATGCATGTATCAAGCCAGTCATTGATGGTTTTGAAGCTTTGCCTTGAGCCAGTATTGCCTGGTATGTGTCTTGCCGTAGGAATGATGGGGTCGTCTTGAGCTGTGTTGTTGTTAGAACGACTCCATCCTAGGCTCTCATACTCACAATCCAAAACGAAGAATTCTCTCAGCAGCGAGCGTTTACTTCCATGATGTTCCTGGAAATATGTTGCGTTTAAGGCTGTATCGAGCAGTTCCAGATACACTTCGTCTAAACTGGCATATTCTGGCCTGGCCTCGCATAGAACACGACAGTAGTAGCACCCGCATTGGGCCAACTCATATAGAGACGCTTCATTGGTGTACAGGTAGGAGTTTTCTCTCCGCCGCTTAAGCCTTTGTATCGCGAGACACGCAGCCATCTTATAGTTAAGGATTCGAGAGTTTGGACAAGAACGCATCGACCTTGCGACTTGCGTTTGAATACCGCAGCGTAATGTGATCTCCTTAAGCGCTTGTGGCGCGAGGCTGAGTCTCAGATTTGTGAGCGGCAATACCCAATGGCGGTCCGGCACACCTTTGTGGCCGGTCATCATCACGACACATCATGAGTTCAAGCATCAACTACCCTCATGAGTGACTTCTTTACGCGATTTGCTACGGAGGCATCATAGGATGTAGTGCTTGACAGTGCATCTGGCGATCGAGCCCTGAGAGGTCACCGGAGCCATCGCCGGACCGGACCTAAACGACGTACAACTGTGAACACGATCAAAGCCCTGACAGCTACTGGATTTCACTGTTTCACGATCGCGGTTGGTGAAAGAGTGTGGTGATGAGAATGTCGGAGAAGAAGAAGACGCGTCGAAGAGCTGCCGCGTGCTCGCTTCGAGGAGGGACTGCGCGTCATCAACTAACCTTGACCCTTCTAAGGGTCACGATACCTTTTCGGGCTCCGTTCTACATCAAATCGACATGCGTGCTGATTTTAGATGGCCCAAGAACCTTTACCTAAACTTCCTAGCCTTTGCGATCGTCTTGCTATATACATGCTGTCAGTCGGTCTACCGCATATTGCAGGCTCGACAGAGAGATACTAACAGCTGTCTGCTGGTGAGTACTGGTCGCTCATTACTTTTTTGCAACCCGTACACGCGATGGGAGAACTTGGTCACTCCTTTCCAAATCGAGACAGGTACCAGGTTTGAGACCCTACCTAGGTAGAGTTCACTTCGGCCTTATCATGCGTAATGCAGTGGCTTGGCCCCAGCGCAGCCCTACGCAGCGCACGACTAGATGGAGCACAACGACTTTGGAAATCAAGGATCCCCCAGAGGTTCGCGACAACTGTCTTCCTTGATTCTTGCGACTTCGAAAGCAATTGGCTCTGTCCTGTGCCTGTTCCCAAGATACCGGGTTATTACGTGGTCGCTACATGGAAGATGGAGCGTCGTCTTTGGGCTCTAACGTCTCTTGACGACGTACGAAGACAGGAAGTAACTGCCACAGCAGGACACCCCAGGAAACGCATGGGTACGTGGCATGTGGTTGCTTTTCATCTGAGCCGATCCTGTGCTCATTTGCAATAACTTGCTGTCGCTTCAACACTTCCTAGGTCAGAGTCCAAATTTTCATCGTCATCGGTCCAGGCCATCAACAGTCAAGAAAACACCAAAACTATGCGGTTATCGGCAATCACGATGCAAGGTTTTTGCTCTTAATATCCGACAGCGTCAACAAATGGCAGCGCCACACTCGCATGCGCCACGCGTCCTGGCAGGGATAACCAAGACACGATGATCTCATACCAAAGCGAGTGCGCTAAAAGCCAGCGATCTGCACGGCTATGCGGCTCCACTGCACTAGCCACACTATTCAGAGACAGAAAACATGCGTGGCTGACGAGGCCGAGAAACCGCAAACCCTACGGTTGTGTGACTGTCGGCCGTTCTTGGATGCCAAGAATGCTACGCAATGGTCGTGGCTGACGTTTGTTGGTGGTTCCTCCGACGAAGCAAGGCACAGTCGTGGGTGCCAGATGTATATATACTGCAGTAGGCCAACACATACTATTACCACAAAGCATCAATTCAACTACCGAGTCTTGCCAGCATCACAGTATCAGTTCACCAAAGACACCGACTATCCATTCCGATCTACTCCCCTGATAAGGATGCTCTTCACACGTCTTCTCTCGATCATCCTGCGCACGGCGCAATGGATCTTTGCTGCTATCGTCTTGGGTCTGTCAGCATACTTTGTTTACCAACGGTCACGATATCATGTCGGGCCTCTAGGTCGTTTGATCTTCGCCATAATTTGGTCTTCGCTTTCCATTCTCTTCGCCGTCATCTGGGCTATCCCCACCAGCTCCAGTATCACCGGCTATACATCCGACTTTAGTGAGTGCCTCAATCCTCCACGATGATTGAAACAACTACTAACAACTGTCGCGCAGTATTTACAGCCGGTTGGGCCGCTGTCTTCGGGCTCCTTGTTAGCTGGTTCAACGGCCGCGGCTGTGGTAGCGCGTGGGCTTGGAGCGGTGTATCCTTTAGCCGCAACAACTCATGCGGTCAATGGCGCGCTGCTCAAGCCTTCTCCTTCTTGTCTATGATCCTTTGGTTGGCGACTGCTATCCTTGGAATATTGACAGTACATCGCCTTAGGGGCCGTGCTGCTGGGTAAGTCTTTCGTCGTTATCTTGTGAAGCTCTAGCTAACAACACTGCAGTCGTGGCTCGCGAGTCTAAGCGTCTCTTTATCACCCACCACAACCATCCAATCGATATCATACCCCATCATACGAGAAAAGCTTTACACAAGGGTTGTCAGAGATACCAGCCATTCTTTGGCTATGCTTGAGTTGTGCTATCGGAAACCATGCTGGAGGACTTGTTAGCAAGTTTGATCGCATCCTTGTCCAACTATGAATTGTCATGTATATCCCAGTCAGCGAGGAGTTATGCAGGGGTTTCTTTTGTCTCTTACTCGATGGTTGACATACCTCTTTCTGGAATAGTAATACAAACATCATAATATTCAAGACTGTGTACTCGACTCTTTTACAGGCTGTGTCAGTTAGTATGCTCAAACAGATTCGCCAATACACTGGGCCAGCAATCCAGCGGTTGCCGTCACCTAGCTAAGTGATTGGCAGCAGAGCCGTGCGAGGCATTGTGTACGTAGCATCTAGACTACAACCACGAGTCACAAGATGTGATACTTGTGCAGCAGCACTGAGTCGGCATACTCCAATGCCACGCGGCTGTTCCATGAGCTGTAGCGAGCGCTTTGTAAAGCTTGGCCACCTCGTTGCAAACTGAGTTGCCGTAACAGTAGAGGTTAATTCACCTACCAAACAGGAGCTTGAGATGCAGCAGACACGAAGAAAAGTGAAACTACACTGTAGCCTTTCTCCCAAGTGCACGTTCAAGCTCTTCCATACAATAAAACCGACGATCTTTCCTACATATTTCCCGAGCAATTTCTATTCCTTACTATCAACCCTGAACCGGATCGATCATCAAGATCCACTCGTACAGTCAATCAAGCCCTGCATACTCCTATTTAGTCACCATGTCTCAAGACAAAACTAAGACCAGCAAGACAGACGGAGTCTTCAAGAACATCCACCGTCGCATGTCCAACTTCGGAAAACTATCGGGGACTTCCAAATCACCTTACGAGACAATATCCTCAGTCGCGGACCAGCTTCCTTCTTCCCATAGCTCATCGCCACTGAGCTCGGTGAAGAGCAATACTAAGCGTCGAAACGACGAACGTGATACGCGACTCATATCTCTTGACAAACTGATGGACGGTGCTGCGATAGCTGACAAGGATAGGCGCTGGTTCGAGAAGATCAACATCGCCGTCCGCGCTAAGATGAACTCCTCAGCTTACGACCCTTCTCATGACTTCGAGCACGTCCAACGCGTAGTCATGAATGCACATCGCCTCTGGCATGCGGAGAAGGATCGTGAAGTGTTCCGGAACGTCGATCCCCTAGTTGTCTACGTGGCGGCTATGGTGCACGATATTGGAGATGGAAAATACCTCTCGGATGAGCTAGTCAAGATGGAAACCGACGAAGCTGATCAGGAGCAACAGCGGGATTTTATCGAGTCGTTCATTAGAGAATCCGCACCCGAGTGCCCGCCGTACATTTGGGGTCCTGCTTCGCACGTTGCGGCCCTGGTATCTTTCACACGCGAGATTCGAAATCCGATTATGGTTGCCCAACAGTGTGCCGCTTATCCTGCCCTTCAGCTCGTTCAAGACGCCGACCGTCTCGATGGCTTAGGCGCAGTGGGCATCGTACGCGGGGCAGTGTACGGAGGTGTGACTGAGCCACGTGGTACTGGTACGGTCCGACGGGTTGTACATATAGCAGACGAGCGTCATGCTCGATACCCGGAGATGATGAAGACCCGCGCTGGCAAGAAGGAGGCAGCGAAACGCTGGGAAGCCATGAAGGAGATCAGGAATCAGATTGTGCAGCAGGCGAATTGCGAGGATGTGCTCGAGGAGTATTGAGACCTACCTAGGTATACCTAGTCTGCAGAAGCGATTGAAAAGGCATGAAAGATTCTTACGCGTTCTTCTGCGAACGTATAGCCTAGCGAAATGAACAATACCCCTTGGATTGGACATAGACAGTAGTTACAGCAATATCAAAATCAAGTACTGCGCTAGTTTGTTCTGTACATAAGCCTGAAGTTAGAGACATATTATTGATCAAGCGCCAGCTAAGTGATGGTGATGGTTGTCAATGGCAAAGCAAAGCAGGTGGGGCTTATTTCGGAATGTCGGCGATGAATTGTTGTGTTCGTGTTCAACTGCGTCCATGGCGCCTTGCTGAACTTGGAGCTTACGCTAAGCGCCCAAACAAGACTAGTGCCTCGCTTGACGCCCACCTGCCGTGAGTGATTTCGTCTCTCGCAATCGACCTCGAACTTTCAGACTCCGACCAGTTCGACATCAAGCCGCCAAAATGTCCGCCAACTCTCTGAACAAGATCGCGCCCAACAGCCCGTCGAGGCAGAACCCCTCTGAGATCGAGACCAGCATCGCCAGCGCAAGTTTGCCCGTCAATTGCACATGGGCGACGCCAGCACTAACACGCACGGCAGGCGTTGACTGACCTCGAGAACAATGTCCCCGACCTGAAGGCTTCTCTGCGCCCTCTCCAGTTCGTCTCTGCTCGCGAGGTATGAAAACCCGAACACCACCATGCGCTATCGAGCGTCGCCTACACACCTACCTACACCCATACCCATACATTGAAGAGGCGGTGGGCACTGGGCAGCAACATCAAGCTGACACCAGGATTCTTAGATCGAGGTTGGCCACGGACGCAAGGCTATTGTCATCTTCGTCCCTGTTCCCCTTCTGTCCGGATGGCACAAGGCCCAGCAGCGGTATGTCCTATTTATGAAGTGAAAGAATTCCCATACTAACATCTCTCAGTCTCACCCGTGAGCTCGAGAAGAAGTTCTCTGACCGCCACGTCCTGATCGTTGCTTCCCGCCGCATTCTCCCCCGCCCCAAGCGCTCCAACCGCTCGCGCACCAACCAGACCCAGAAGCGTCCCCAGTCCCGGACTCTCACCGCTGTCCACGACGCCATCCTGACCGACCTCGTCTTCCCCGTCGAGATTGTCGGCAAGCGTCTCCGTACCCGTGAGGACGGCAGCAAGATCCTCAAGGTTGTCCTTGACGAGAAGGAGCGCGGTGGTGTTGACTACAGGCTCGACACCTACAGCGAGGTCTACAAGCGCCTCACTGGCAAGGGCGTCAACTTCGAGTTCCCCCAGAGCCAGCAGACCGACTACTAGATGTAGGCGGGTTCGTTGGGTTTGATCGATCTCGTTATATCTACATGGGTCAGGAGTACGGCAGGGCTTCGGTTATGCGTCATGTACCGGCATCAAAAAGGAATGAGAATGAGATGATATGAGCCTGTATTAGGCACCCCTTCAAGATACCACTTGCAATTGATTTCTTTTACTGTGATGGTGCCTGTGCCTTGGCATGCTCATCTGTCTACTGTCGGTCCAGCTCAGGGTAATGCCTGAAGATACCCATGCTGAACTCCTTCCGCCTCTCGCTAGCTAGGTACTCTTTGATTCCCTTGGTCTCCTTGACGCTGTCATAGAAGGTTCCAAACAAGAGTGGGTAGTCCTTCTTCCTTGCCTCCATTTCTTTGGGAAAGGCAAACTCCAATCCGCTCAGCACATGCCAGACTGTAGGGTCGGCATAGCTGAGACTATCCCCAACCAGGAACTTGCCCTGTCCCTGCGCCTCATTGCCCTTGAGCACACGCTCAAAGTACTTCAGGAACTTGGGAATGCGCTTCTCGCGGAAGTCGGTAGCCTTCTTGAGCGATTCCTCCTTCTGGTCCTCGTAGTATAAGCTCATCGAAACGGGGTGGTGCGTATCGTGGGCTTCGTTGTTGAGGTCCAGCGCCGTCAGAGTATGCGACAGGATCCACGACTTCTCTGCTTCGTCTGCGCCACTGAGACCAAGCTTGTCGCCAAGGTAAGAGAGGATCGATGGCGTCTGGTAGAGAACCAGCGCAGCACCGTTCTTGCCTTCGCCAGGAACGCGCAGGGCAGGTGGTGCGAAGACGGGAGGGTTGCCGTCGGAGCCTGTGGAGGACTGGTCGGTGAGGGTGCCGATAATTTTCATGCCTACCAAGCTGTTAGCTAGGGCAGTACAGAGTGGAGTGTGGGTTTGTGCTGCATACCGTCCTCAGACTCATTACAAACGTCTTTGTAGGAGACGCCTGCTGCTTCAAACGCCAGGCGAATGAACTCCCCACGTCCTGGAATGCCAGGCCAGTACAACAGCTCGTACGGAGGCTGGGTGCGTGCTTTCTTGTTCGCAGACATGGTGGTGGTATGATATCGAATCGCAATTGAGCCTTGGCTGTAGTGTTTAGGTAGCTTGTGGAAGCTGTAGAGGGTGCGGAGAGGTCGAGAGGAAATGCGAAGCATGCAGCTGCAATTGCTGCCCTAGGGGACGGTTATAAGTAGGGCGAGAGTACCCCATGTCAGCTTTACGTGCCATTGCAGCTGGAGGCACTCGTGCAGATTGTTTGGCGTCATTGTGGGGTTAAGGTTGGTTCAAAGGTACCGTTTATGCTGACATCAGACGCGGATCAGACGCGGAATTGCACCGAGACCGAGCGATGAGTCCGAGCAATGCGAAGATACGCGTCGGGCTACCTTCTGCTACGCGTTATTCACGCCCTTCAGCCCTTTGGTTCCACTTCCAATATAACACTATCAGTAAACACAATTCATACTGTGTATGCAACGAATGTTCCTAAAGCTTTGGTCATTTGCTGTCAAAACCCAGTCGCTTTAAAGTCCTCTCGCTCGCTCTACGCCTGCTTCAGTTCGCTTCCACCGGTCATAGTGAGCTATAGCTAGCTTCTCGTTTAGATGCGTTCAGCTGTTCGTCAGGCTCGTCCTTGATGACCGGAGAAATTCACGCTGTCTAAGAATCTTGCCGCACCCGTCGCGTTTTGTTTGTTCAAGGACGTGCCATCGTCATCTCCGCTATTCGCTGATCCAACGTTACCTAATCCTCTGAGGCACACCTGCAGTCACTCTGCAAGCTCTAGAACATTCTTCCCTCGTCGTGCCATCGGGCTGTGTGCTGTCAATAATGTTTTGTGTCACACAAGAGGGCAGACGGCGATACGCTCGCCTGTGCCTCCCATGGCCCACCGTTGCAGCTCATGCACGAAAAGAGCTGCGCCCTGTTGAGAGAAACAACACATTTACTACAAATCCACCAACGGCATATCTACCAAAACTGTTTGAGAATCTCGACGCTTTACGACATCTTTTCTCATGCAAGTACCAACCTGATTTCCTTGCAACGAAGCGCAGTGAACCTGGGTGTTTGATTCTACACAAGGTGGATGTGATCGCCCCGCTCTGCACTCTTTCAGTCTAGGCTTCCCGCCCGGACCCTCTTCCACTCTGTACGCATTATCTCGAGTGCTGCCTTCAGCTCACCTTACCCGCACTGAACCACGGCCGAACACTTCTTTAACGATACCAGGCTCTCCGTCATCATGTCTAATTACAACGACTACGAGCGGTTCGTCCATCAAATGCAAACCTTCCGCGCATCTGATGAGGCCAGAGAGCATTTCGTTAGCGTACGTGTCGCTGAGTCGCGTGTTCGACCGTGCGACAAACGTTGACAAAGGAATAGGAAATTCTAGCAAAGTATCAAGCCTTGTCCGAAGAACACGGCAATTTGAAGAATGATTATTTGAGTGAAAGGGATATCAGGCGAAACTACCAGAGAACCGTTGAAGAGAAACAGGGTTTGGTGGGGGATTACGAACGTCAGCTTGTGCGTTACTCGCTGGAAACTCAGCCTTACGGGTTTGTGTGCTGATTGAGGCTGCAGGAAGCGAGTTCGTTTGTATTGGCACTTATTGATGGTGATGGAGCTATCGTAAGTATTTCCAGGCTTCTGAGTCGAATCTTCCATCTATCCTGGCAACAGTTTATCGATTTGGGCCCGTGCATGGTCGATAACGTTCACATGATATCGCGGCACAGTCAACCCACCCATGATTCTAGTTGTTGACTATTCATCTGCAGTTTCAAGATGCGTTACTTCAAGCCGCTGGTGGCGACGGTGGGTCGGAAGCTGCATCACGATTGTACCATGCAATGCGCGACCATGTTGCTTCGCTCTACAACAATTCCGGTAACTGGCCGATTATGGTCCAAGTCTATCTAAGTCTCGATAAGCTCTCACAAAAGTTGGCATCGGTTGGCCTTCTTCGAAGTCCACAGGAATTGCGAGCCTTTGCACAGCGCTTCAGCGTCAATCAACCCTTATTTAGTGTTATCGACGTCGGTCACGGAAAGGAGAGGGCCGACCACAAGATTAAGGGTACTACATTTCTCCCGATTATAGTGACTAGCGTTGACATGTTGTCTGCAGAAATGCTTCGCACCTTTAGCGACAATCCTACCTGCCGTCACATCATCTTTGGTGGCTGCCATGACGCAGGATATCTCCTAAATTTCGAACACTTCAAACACAATGCCGCCAAAGCCGGCCGGATCACACTTCTGGAGACCACACCAGCTTACCGTGGATTCACGGATTTAGTCAACTTCAAACGCACTCGTTTCGACGACGTCTTCAGGAATGAGCCCCTGCCCGATTATACGCCTCCTACCAACGGCTTCGGTCAGTTGGCCGTGCAGTCGCCGGTGCAGCCTGTATCACAGCCGCAGCCCCTCTCTCGTTCCGTCACGAACGATAACAATACGTCGCCCACGTTCATCTCGAGGGCCCCAGTGGTGTCTCCCTCGCCTAGCGTCACTCCGGTGTCAGCCGCCACACCTAGTGAATCTAACGGCGACTCTTCGTGGGGTAAGTAACATAGCACAATCGTATCAAATACGAGACGGCGCACGGCTGACTCAAATCCCTTAGCCACTGTGGGCAAATCTGGTGCTCCTGAAAACGGCAACATTTCCGTCGTACCGACTACAACTGCTACTAAGAAAAATACTAAGAAGAGGTATGCTTATTACAACAAAGGTGGACAACGGCTTGACGAACCACTGCCACCAAAAGATCCTTCCGCTGTAGCTTCGCTTGAAGCACGCATGAAAAAAGTAGGCAAGAAGATGTGTAATCACTGGCACCTTGGCGGTCACTGCGAGAATGGAAAGTTCTGTCACTTCCAGCATGAGCCGAAGCTTACAACGGCTGAACTGAACGCTTTGCGCTACAAAACACGCAGTTTGGCTTGTAAGAACCGCTACTGTGAAAACATTGACTGCTGTAAGTACATAGTGATCAAGAGGATTTCAGAGCCCACCATCATTACGGCCACCTTGGTATACATTCACAGTGCCGCTAACATTTCGACTTCAGATCTCGGCCATCAATGCGCCCTCGAGCGCGATCAAGGCTATTGCTCATTTCCTGACAACTGTAAGCATCATCGTCGTGACAAGCATCTAAGCTTTACTAATTCCCTAGGCCACCTCCGGGCTACGCATGGTATGGACAGGGTTAAGTATGTCAGATACGACAAAGATGGTAATGAGGATTATGCTCCTTAGTCAGAGTCGTCTGGCTGTGGATAAGGGATGTAATGTTGGATCATTTTAAGGTTATGCTCACATGGAGAAGACGGTTTTGTTGTTTAGGATACTAAATTGTTGATTATATGTCTCTACGACGCTACAATTGTTAAGATTTGGGCCTTTCTTCAATTGTGTTTCGGTTAGAGTTCAATATATTTTGTTCGATGTCGAAGTTTGAGATGTATTCTTTTAGTGCACTGGAGTGTTGCAAGGCTCTCGTGGGCGATCGACCGACCAACCGATTTCGGCCATGGCACGGGCGACTAGTTTACTAGACCCTCTATCTTCCCCACACTCCACACGAAGAGTGCCCGAAATACATGCGAATACCGGTGATGAGGCTAATATTGTTGCGGGACGAGAGGAAATACTGGGTATTGCTCTGCTGCGGCTACATTCGAGCCGCGGCAGCTAAAATCGGCAGTATGTTCAAGAGCACTTTTAACGTAATTTCTCCACAAACACGCGGGAGTAGGACCGACTTGGTAGTGATTATTGTGTATCTTGCCTCTGACTGCGAGATTCTCTCTTCTTTGACTATATATCGACTCTGCATAAGTGTTTCCCAACATGCCGTTCTTGGACACGCAGCCAAAAATTCTCATCGCAGGCGCCGGTATCGGTGGATTGACCACTGCGCTAGCGCTCCATGCCGCCGGCTTCAGCGACATTCAGATTTTCGAGACAGCGTCGACGCTCACAACGCTCGGTGTTGGCATCAATGTCCAGCCGTCCGCAGTTTTGATTCTGCGGAATCTAGGTTTACTTGAAGCACTGGAGAAGACGGGCATCAAGACAAAAGAGCTGAACTTCTACAATCGCCATGGCGATTCCATTCTCAGCGAGCCTAGAGGCATGGATGCAGGATACGAGGTGCCTCAATTCTCGATCCATCGCGGAGAGTTCCAGATGTTGCTTCTGAGCGCCGTAAAGGAGCGTCTTGGCAATGATGTTCTTCACCTAAACCACGCCTTGGCTGGATTCGATCAGAACGATGAGAGCATCACAGCACGATTTTCGCACAGGAGGGACGGTGCGCCAGTGGATGAGTCAAGTGTAACAGGTGATATCCTTATCGCTGCTGATGGAATCAACTCCACGGCCAGGAGACTTCTCTACCCGGGCGAAGGACTACCACGCTTCTCAGGACGCATGCTTTGGCGTGGATGCATTGAGCGCGAGCAGTACTTGACAGGCGCAAGCATGGTATGGGCAGGCCACGCCGACCAGAAATTTATCGCATACCCCATCAGCCAAAGATCAGCTGACAAAGGCAAAAGCCTCGTAAACTGGATCGCAGAGTTGCGCATACGCGACAAAGATGACGTGGACCTGACACCACCAAAGACAGACTGGACTAAGGCTGTCAAGAAAGACATTTTCGCAGGTCCGTTTGAGACATGGAGATGCGGAGGTTTGGAGATGAAGGACTTGATCAATAGCACAGAGAAGGTCTTCGAGTTTCCCATGTCTGATCGCGACCCTGTAGAAGCCTGGTCGTTCGGTCGTCTTACGCTCATGGGCGATGCAGCGCACGCTATGTACCCCATCGGTTCCAACGGCGCATCTCAAGCCATCATCGACGCTGAAACACTTGCCAAACACCTCTCCAACAACATTTCAGATATTGCCGGTGCGCTGAAAGCATACGAGTTGGAGAGGCTGCCGCCTACCGCAAAGATCGTCATGGCAAATCGAGCGAACGGTCCTGATCACGTCTTGCAACTTGCGGAGGAAAGGGCGCCGGATGGCTTCAAGAGTGTGTATGATGTCATTCCAAAGGACGAGTTGGAGGAGATTGGAAGGGTTTACAAGAAGGTTGCTGGATTCGAGATGGAGAGTGTTAATGAAAAGGCGAGGGAGACAAAAGGAATGGAAAAGGAAAAGAACCTGAAGAGCCCAGCCGATTGGATATAACAGTGTCTTAACAGCCGTTTGTGTGAATAGCAATAGTGATGCATCATTTTCTAACCTCAGTAAACTGTCAACGTTGTGCTCATATGACCAGAAATTGCTCTTGATGGAATCGTGTTAGTTGGAGCAGCAACGACGCTATCGCCAAGTTAGTGCGGAAAACAGTCGCGGCTGAACAAACTCCTAGACACGCGACATTACGCGTTCCTACCAACCTCCTCTCTTTGCGGACTCTAACAACAGTGCTCATCATTACTTCATTATCATTGCTTGCTAAATCTAGAATGCTATTGAGAAACTTTCCTGTTGGGGGACCACGCCATCGCGGCACTACCAAGGCACCAAGAACTCTTGTTCCAGGCAGTGCATGCGACACCGCTCTCAGTGATGCCGTTGTCCAAGAGCCAACCCTACCATAATCATGCGCATCACCTTCTCGGCGCCGTCCTTGACCAATGCCTCTGTCTGGCCGATCGCTTGCTCCAGGGTTACCGGCTCTCGGAGGATACTTGTGAAGGCTTTGATGCCAGCACCGTAGCAGCCATCTGCGCCTTCTCCGATGGTGCCGGCTAGTGCAACGACTTGCGCACCGTTCTTCTTTGCGCGCCGAGCAATTTCAGTCGTCATCTGTCGTCGTCAGCAAAGTGCAAAGGGAGCGACAATAAAAGATTGACTGACCTTTCCGTTCGGTGACTGAAAATCCAGGGAGCCCTCTGCGGTAATGACAAAATCCCATTGGTTTTCGAAAACCTGATCGAATTCGAAGTACTCGTTGATGGCTTCAGCGCGGGCGCGCAGTGTAGTGCCGAACAACATCAAACCGGTTCCAAGACCACCGCTGGCACCACTGCCTGGGGTCTGAGAAATGTCCTCTCCAAGTGTCGACTGAGCAACTTCCGCCAGCCGCTCAAGGGATGCTGCAAGCATATCGATCTGCTCAGGCGTGGCCCCCTTCTGCGGGCCATACACTCGCGCGACGCCTTTGGGGCCACATAATACGTTCTTGACATTGCATATGGCCTCTATTTGGACCTTCTCAACTGGTATGGGGTTAAAACAGGTATGTAAGTTGGGCTAGGCGACTTACCAGCAGTCTCTCGTAACCGGGGGTGTACACCGTCCCAGCAGATGCTGGCTAAGTGTGCCAACGACCGACCACCACCAGCCTTGGGCAGCTCCTTGCCATCTGCATCAAGTAATCGGACACCAAGAGCCTGGAGCATCCCCGCCCCTCCATCTGAGGTCCCAGAATCTCCACAACCGATGACGATCTTTGTGGACCCTGCGTCAAGCGCCTCCCTAATCAACTCTCCGACCCCGTAAGTCGTGGTTATTGTTGGGTCGCGCTCGTCCTTTGGCACTAAACGAAGGCCTGCAGCTGCTGCCATGTCCAACACAGCCGTCTTCTTGTCTTTGCCAATAAAACCAAGGTGCGATTGGACCAATGATCCGGTAGGGCCCGTGACTGGCACGTCAACAATCGATCCGCCATGAGCCGCTACTAGAGCTCGAGCAAAGCCCTCTCCGCCATCGTGCAGAGGAAGCTTGCGCAGAATAACGGAATTGCCGTCCAGTACCTTCCGGATTCCTGCTTCGATCGCATCGGCCACGTGCTCTGGGCCTAGACTCTCCTTGAACCCTGATGGTGCGACCAGAATCCTGAGTGGGTGCCCGCCCAGGATTTCTGATGCTGGAGTCGACAGCACCGCCGATGCCGGGTTCACAAGGTCGTCTACTTGCTGTTGCGGTAAGTTGATAGTTTTCAGCGAAAGTAATCGTGGGAGTTGAGGCGGAAGTGTTGGGGACGCTTTCGGTGCACCGTGTACACCGAGCTCCATGCTTGTTGGTACGCTGGCGAGCATGCTGGCTGTTCGAAGAAATAAAGGTGGGTAGTATGCTCACGGCTGTTGCTAATAGAGTAGGACGTCGGTCGATTGATAATGAATTCGAAAAGCGAAAGTGGAAATGTGGTAATGTAGAGCGAATGTCAACCCGGTTGTGTGTGATTGGATACCATCTTTCTCTGGACATACGACATACTTATATCTTCGACCCAGACTCTGCTCGTCTGGAGTTGCACACTTTCACGATGAACAGCACACGACATAGCCCGTAGAGCTATTTCCGGTGCACCACTTGGAAGTGCCACCTAAGGTATCGCTTCCAGCCTCAGGACCATGGCAACAACGTCATTCAAGATGCAAGTATCTACACCTTTACGAAACATCAAGTCCGCATTTCTAAGCTCCTGGTCTCGCAGCATAGCCGGATATTACGACTACAACGGCACAGCCCTGCTAGTATGCGTACTACCATGTGTATAGCTCTAGTTTGTGGTTGGCTTTTCTTGAGGACTCAATCAGTCATAGTTCCGCAGAGCCAAAGTTCTTGACTTTCCTTGAGGGTCTCGGTTCGGGCCAATCGCGGCGATTGCGCGTGTCTTCACCAAGCGGTTTAGCGAAAAACCAAGTTGTACCTTCTTGGCAGAAAATTCCGAGCACAGCCAGCTAGCTGACGTCTACAAAGAAGGCTGTTATCGATGATCAATCTCCACCACAAGAAAGCTTGCGATCTCGTGGCAGCACCCGCTACATTGCTATTGGTCACGATAGATCTAAGACGCAGTGGCTACCATGTGCTCACGCGACAGTTTTCTATTCTTGAACACAACGTCGGCATATGTCTCACCGCAGCCTTATTGACCTGTGACTCGGCATCTCAAGTCCATGTTTCTTGGAGCGTGGCATTTGCGCTACACGTTTGATACTGCACCTTGAGGTCATTAGGTCGTATAGTGCTTTTCGCATCCTGAACAGCCTCCGCTTGGTGAGCGCCTCTTTGGCACTGCCTCGATTTGTGGTAGTTGGCTGAGAAGTTTTGAAATTATATGCAGGCGATCTGCGCCTGTAACACGAAAAGGTATCATCAAGCTCCGTTCACTATCGTCACGTTTCATTCGTTCTGTTTCGACACTCGTTACTCACTATGAACTTTAAAGACAGATTGATTGGCAGACCGTCGGTAGACGAGAGGAGCGCACGCGAGTCCTTGGAACTCCCAAGGTTCTCGTTCGAGGGTGACAATCATCCGCTCGTTAGCACCGAACGTCTGTTCCGACAGTGGCAGCAAGAAGAAAACTCGGGATACGAAGCTGGCCACGAAATCATGGAAGAGGGTCTTCGGAAAGGCGACGATATCATTGTAGGTGTTTCAGATCTCTTATGGCACTGCCACTAACATGACGTGTGGATTACCTGGGACGGCCCGAACGACCCTCGCAACCCGCTCAACTGGAGCAACAAACGCAAATGGGTAGCTACAATACTCGTGTCGCTCTTTACATTCATCTCACCTTTCTCGTCGACTATGGTAACACCTGCGTTGCCGGATATAGGAGATGACTTTGATATACCGGAAGGATTCATGCGCCAGCTGGTCATGACCATCTTCCTCCTTGGCTACGCTCAAGGACCTTTCGTCTTGGCACCTTTAAGCGAGATCTTCGGACGCGTTACCGTGTTGCAGTATGCCAATCTTGTGTATCTGCTTTTCAACACATGTTGTGGGTTTGCGCGGACCAAGGAGCAGATGCTTGCTTTTCGGTTCTTGAGTGGTCTTGGCGGAGCGGCGCCGCAAGCTGTATGTATAATCCCTGTTCGCTTTCAAAAATTCGTTAGGAGACAAAGAGAGCAAGACTGATATTATTGCAGTTGTGCAACGGTGTTCTCGCTGATACCTGGTCGAAAGAAGAACGCGGGAAAGGCCAAGCCATCTATGGTATCCTGACATGGCTGGCACCCTGCGTAGCTCCCATATGCGGTGCCTACATATCTGAGGGCGTAAGCTGGCGCTGGATCTTCTGGGCCACCTCTATCTTCACTGTCTTTGTTCAGGTCACCGCGTTCTTCTTCCTCTCCGAGACCTTCGCCCCGGCCATCCTCGCTAAGAAAGCTAAAGCGGTTAGAAAGGCGATGAAAGGCATAAGGAACGATGTAGTCGTGCGGACAGAGTTTGAGACAGGTGATCGCATGAGCAAGATTTTGAGAAAGAGGCTCATCCTGCCCTTCATCATGATGTTCACACATCCTGCCACCCAGGCACCCTCGATCTATCGCGCATTCTTGTACGGCGTCATGTACCTCATGCTTTCAACCTTTCCGATGGTCTTTGAGGACGTTTATGATATGGACACTGGGCATGCATCGCTCAACTACCTGTCGCTTTGCTTGGGCTTCATGATTGGGTTGCAGATTTCGCATCCGCTCATGGATGGGGTACGTTTTTCATCTCCAACTTCACTGATGCTGAAGATGCAACGCTAACATCGAAGTAGCTGTACGCACGTATGAAGACGTACTACAACCTTACCGAAGGCCTACCCGAGTTCCGCGTGCCGCCTATGCTTATAGCGGGCGTTGTTTGTCCTATCGGTCTCTTTATCTACGGCTGGAGTGCCCAGAACGAAGTTCACTTCATCGTTCCCAACCTCGGCGCCGTCATCCTCGCCATCGGCCTGATCATCGGCTTCCAGTGTTCGCAAGCCTACACCACTGACGCATACGAGGCACGTTATGCAGCATCGGCAGCAAGTGTTGGAGCCTTTATGAGGACAATGTGTGGCTTTAGCTTTCCGCTTTTTGCACCACAGATGTATGAGACATTGGGTTTGGGATGGGGAAACAGTCTATTAGCATTCTTGACAATGACATTGGGGATAGTGATGCCGATAGGGCTTTGGTTCTATGGGGCTACACTTAGGAAGATGAGTTGGAGAGGTTTGCAGTAGACGTTGTCAATAATCATGCATTGTAAACAAACTATGAGTACGCCAGAAGGTATTCGCGTAGCCTTGAACCCAAGAACTCCAACCCAACAAGTATACCAAAAAGCCCTCGCGCCGCACCTAACCATAAAAACGATTTCCCAAACTACCCCCAGGAGACACTCAGTTACTCCAGAGCTTCGAAGATGCTACGCACTGGATCTTGTCTGCTTGAGCATACTTGTCGGTCCGCTGCACATCGAGGAGCTCCTCAAGCTCAGCTGCATACGCCTCGTGCGATGCCTCACGCCTCTTGTAGCTTTCAGCTGACTCCTTGAAGTACACTTCGACCTCGGAGCGTATGTCGTCGATTGCCAAACTCTGCTCGGCGACAGTCTTGATGAGCGACTTGTTCTCCTTCTTAGCCCTCAGAGCTTCGAGAGCGGCTTCGTTGTACTTCTTCTGCCATTTTGTCTTCTCCTCGATCGCTTCCTTCTTGAGCATTTTGAGGACGCGGATCGTTGAAAGTGCCTGCTCTAAGGCGGCAGCGTTGGCGACCATCTCAGGGAACTCGGCGGTGGCCTTGAGGTTGCTCTGGCTGTCTTGTAGTTTGGTGACGTCCTTGTTGAGCTTGGTGGTGGAGGCATCGATCTTGGGGATCTTCTTCTTGGCCTTGGTGATAGAGGTGGATGCGGCCTCGAGAGAAGTGTTGGATGACGCGAGGAGGGTGGCAGACCTGATCTTGAGGACCTCAAGGTCGGTGACAGTCGTAGTGGTAGACATTTCTGATGTATGTGTGTTTTAAGGCTGATGTGTGCGAGGCGTTGTGGTATTCGACAAGGACAAGCGAAACGTATGCTCAAGATGGTGTGCGTTGGTGAGTACCGAAGTTTTTTAGCGCGCGTGTGGTAATATGCGAGACGTTTGTGGTATTTGATGAGTACTGAAGTGGTTTGAAGTACTGAAAAGTCTTGTTGCTGCGCAGTGTGTGTGTTGGAAAGTTCTGGTAGAAGTTCTTCAAGACTTTGAATTGTGAGAGAAGAGTAATGAAGATATTTGAAGGAAAGGAGGATGAGGACAGTATTTATCGTAAAACTGGACTGCTGAAGCTAGCAGTTCCCACGGTACAATAGGAAGATTCTGCTGTTGTCGAGGTGAGGGTGAACGCTGGAGATGTGGAACTGGCTGGCCACTCAGGTGAGCCGTAAATGCGGAACCAGAGTCTTCACCTACAAACAATAAGCGATAGTGGCTTCATGAATAGCTATGGGTGATGTACCGCAATAGATTATTCTCATTCTCTAGATGTATCCTTGGATCGAGGGACGGCGGTCCTGCCCGCTGACCAATGCGAAGGTTTGTGTAGTGAGGATTTCGCTGACTTTCTGGTCTGCGTGGAGCGATGATGTAGTGAGACGGCTTTCGACAGCACGAGGTCATGAGGCCACTACAAATGACATCGGATACGAATCAGAGTTTTTGGCTTGGTTAGCATCTGCCTGATACTCGTTCCATGTTCCATGGAGTTTATTGTGGGGCAAACCTCTACCAGCGTTATGTCAACCAAGTATAGCAATCGAGTTACACCGAAATAAGCAAGATATGTGTCACATTGATATGAAAGCTGCAAAATTTCTCTGGCGCTGATTCAATTGCCCCCACTCGAGATAACTCTACCCGCTGCTACCTTTACTCTATCGTCTCATCCATATTCATCTCCTCCTCCACCACCTTTTCATCGTACTTCCGCAACCTCTCCACTTCTTCCTTCAGTCTTCCTACCTCAGCTTCCAAGTCCTCGGTGAACTTTACGCATTTCTCCATCGCGGTCGAGATGTGGCTATCATTTCCCATGAAAAGGCCAGCTCTGGCCTCGGCATAGCTCACCTCGCCTTCTTTGTATGCCTTGTTCCCTTGAAGGCCCTCGAACCTTCTGTGAAAGATGTTATACAGTCTGTGCCAGTGCCGGATGCGGCTATTAGCGGAAGTGATTTCCGATTCTTTCTTTTGAATCTCCTGATTCTTCCTTAGGAAAAGGTTCTTCCAACCCTCTTTTCCATTTTCCAAGAGATCAGTGTTCTCCATCTGATAGAATTCAACTCTCTCTTGCAGCTTCTTGATTGTTGATGATTCTTGAGAATTCTTCAGATCATCAATCTCTTGTTGTCTTTCACGTCGCACCTCGTCGATTGCCTTTGCCTCCCTCTCCCTCGCCAATCTAACGTCATCCTTTCGCCCGTGTTTTTCTTTCTCAGTCTCGCGTTGCGCATGATCGACATCATTCTTGAGATCGTTTACATCGATGAGATACCTATCCTTCTCCGCCTGAAGCTCATTTCTCAATGCTCGGATAACCTGACTTTGGGTATTGTTCTCTGCCTTCAGTACCAAGAGCCGCTGCTCGAGATCGTGAATGGTTTGATTACCGGTGGCTGCGTCAGTTCGAAGCTTCTGGATCTGCCGGTCACGACTGTTGATCTCGTGCATTCCTTGTTGGCGGAGTTGATCACATTGCCCCTGGAGATCGATGTTGCTCTTCTCTAGCTTGCCCATATCCTGGTTTCTCTGCGCAGTTTCGTTATTGTTTCTCGCTACCTTGAGCTCTTGTAGCTCACCCCAAACAGCCTCGCCCTTGGACATGGCTTCCTCAAGTTGCTTCTTGACACCCGTGGTCTCTTCGACGGCGGCATCGCGCTGCTGGGTGAGTGTCGCGACCTGGCTAAACAAAACTTGCTCTTGGGCACACTTGGCTTGCAACTGTTCTCTTGACTTCGAAACCTGAGTTGAGAGCTCATCTTCCCTTACTTCCTTGGTCTGTATGTCCTTGCTCAATGAAGCGATTTGGGTGCGCAAGTTCGTCTCGACGAAGGCCATAGCTTCGTTGGCTTCCTGCAGATCCACTATCTGTTTCTCGAGCTGCGTCTTTGAAATTTCATGGGCTTTTGAACTGCTCTCTGGAATAGTGGATCCATACTGGAGCTCGTTCGTAGTAGGACCAGTAACAGTTGACGGTTGAGAACCGTGAATCTGTGCTACCTCGAGGGCTCTCTCAAGTTCAACAATTCGTCGACGCAGTAGGTTCTTTTCATTCTCGCAATGCTCCTTTTCGTTTGTGATTTGACTCTCCAATTTCTCCAGTTCCTCCACTTTCTCCTTGTACTGCTTTGCAAGTATCATGAAGTTCTGCTGCAAATCCCTGCACTCTTGATCTTTCTCGTCCAGGCTTCGTCGAAGGTAATCCTCGTTTTCTGTGAAAGTGTTCTGCTTGGAGTTCGTACCATTGAAACGCTGTCTAGGTACTTCGATAACTGGGCGGGCAGGCGACTGTGGCTGATGGGTTTTGTGAGATGAAGTTAGCGAACGCTTCGCTTTGTGCAACTGAGCATTTAGGTCAGCGATCTTATTTTTCTGGATGTTGATCTCTTCGACCCTCTCCTTCAAGCGGAACTCTAAAGCGGTGACTTTGCTGGCATGTTTGTCTTTCAAAACAGAGATTTCTTCACTCCGTCCTATGAGCAGACTAGTTCGCTCTTCGTTCCGGCGACGTTGATCTGCAACACCCTTGTCCCTTGTCTCTTCTTCGACTCGTGTAATCTCTTTTTTGGCTTCGGCCAGAGCCTGTCTTAGGATCTCAACTTCGCCACGCAAAGGTCGTAGCTCATTGAGCTCGACATCTTTCTCCTGGTGGAGTACGTGATTTGTCTTGATATCCTCGCCAAAGTTGCCCCCGCGAATCTCTTTACGCAAATTATCGATCTCCCGTTGCTTATCAAAGAGCAACGAATCAAAGCTCCGGCTGACGCCTGGTACATAGCCGTTACTCAACCGGGTTGTGATAGTTTCTTTGAGTCCGTTGATCTCCGCGATCTGATCACTGTTTTCCGTTTCTAGGCGACCCAGCCGCTGTTTCTCGTCGGCCAACACATTCATTCTGGCTTGCACTAGGTTGACAAGCATGTCTCTATCGAACTCTCGGTTGTCGGCTTCGTCACTCGGTATAGGGACGCCAAGTTTTTGGAGCATAATATCTCTTGCCTGGACCATCACAGCAGCCTCATCCGCTTTCTCACATCTTTTGATAAGATTGGCCTGATCGGTCTGGTACTTGTCTTTTAGGTCCTGGCGGCTTCTTCTCACACTTTCAAGAGTCTCTTGTGACGCCTGCACATGTCCTAAAAGCTTGATCACCCTTGGATCCCAAACCCACATAATCATATTTGCGATCAACGACATGAGAAGTAGAAGGTGCTGGATAAATGCGAAGAATCCCCATGGAACCCACGAGGAAATTTTGGGCGTTTTCGTCGGCAGGGTTACGACGTTTCGAGGGGGCGCTCGACTCTGTGTCGTAACTTCGGGGATATAAACCATAGTTGTGCAAGGCGTCGCTCGGTCGACAGAGAGATGTGTCCATTTCGTGATATAGTATCGGTCGTAGTACGTTGAGACTGACGTTATCCGTGCTGTGACCGTATCGTAGATCGTCTTCGGAACTGTGGCTGTAGTGGTGGCTGTGCGTGTTGCAGTTCGCGTCTGCACGATAGTCTGGTAGACTTTGTCGGTCAATGTCGTAGGCTTTGGAAATATGGTGGCAGTCCGAGTGACTGTAGTAGCAATTGCAGCGCCCGAAGAAAGTTGATACTGTTCTGGAGCTGAATTAGGATATAAGACAGGCAGCCAGTACGGGCTGATAACAGGAAGCGCAGCGAAAAGAGTGGCGCCCAACGCAATGAACAGCTCGTTTTGCAACAACAACTGGCCGACATCCGCCATTGTGCAATATTCCGTGTCGCCGGACCAAATACGTCAATGTTGAGGGTAAATTCGCATGCGCTGAAGCGGGGAGTCACTATGATGAGGTTGAAGGTAGCACCGTTGGTCGTTACGTGGTTGTCAGGACAGTGTCATGAAAGCTGGACGGGTGTATAGCGTTTGCAGACGCTGTCGGACAAAGGCGGTGTTCCTCGCTCGTCCCACAAAGCCCATTCACCAACACAAGTGAATGCAGAAATACCGAAATTACAACGGTACGCATAGACATGGAAACAACGCACAACAGGACGATTAATAAATAATGTCTGAAAGAGAAAAGGCTTACTGAACGTAATGACTGTGAAACTGACTCAACAATGTCTTTGATCTTCACTGGCAACATCATGGCTCCGAGAGACAGAGACGTAGCTTACCACCGCTGTAGTTGAAACCTGTATTGGATCTGTCGTCAGACTACGACGCAAGATTAGTAGAACCAGGCCAGAGTTACACATGGCTTTTCCGAGTTGGCAAGAACTTGTATAAAACCATTGACATCTTCCTCTTCTCGCAAAAAACGTTCTCTATCACTGCAGATAAGACGTAGAACGAAAGATGCAGTACTGCGCCGGGGACATAATATTGGAAAATAGCCTGCGAAGGCATGCTACTCAAAGAGTCCGCCGTGTACCTAGGTAGAGAACAGCGCGCATCAAGACTTGAGGATACGGAGAGCACAAACATCGCGCCCTCTTCTAATGCTTCGCTTTAGTGCGTTGGAGTGGGGGTGAAAGTGGAAACGAGGAAGCTGCGATCGAACGCGTCAAGCAGCCGTCGGCGAGAAGTCCATCTCTCGGCGTCCCGCTTGGCCCTCATGGGTTAGCACGCATCTGCCACGCGACCTCAAGACTACCCTTGAGTATGCAACATCATCACCAAAGTCTTTTGTAGCAACAACAGCACGCGACATGTCTTGCCTTGCCGCACGACCAGCAATGGGCTTACCGCTGGTTTACGAGCCGTGGCAACATTTACGTAATTTGCGGCTCCACATGGAGTCTGATCATCAAACTTCCACCCAACCTCGACACCGCCTTAATAGCACTCCTTCGTGCCTCAACTTCCTGGCAGTGTAGCTCAATCGTTTCTCGAGATGCTTCTTCCACTGCAGGGGTCCCGATCACCATACCTGACGCCATTTGTGTTGTCATCAGGCTCTACTATCCAGTTCCCAGCCCAGGTCGCATATTGGTTTCCTAATCTGGGCATCTTAACCCGCCCACAAAAGATGCTCCACCACGGCACATGTGTCCGCTCCGAACAAAATTGTCAAGTCTCAGATATCACACCGGATGCACGGATCTCGGGGACCCTTAATCTGGGGTAGACGAGACCTTGTCGCCGTTTTACTCCACTTCCGTCTGGTGTATCCGCGCACACGCGACAGAATGGAATGAAGGAGACGTTGGTATCTTTGCGGCTGACAGCTTATCTTAAAGGTGACTTGTCCCCATCTCTGAAAGACCGCCTGCCTAAAGGAACGTCGGATCCGCTGTAGTGTATCCGCATACCCGAGCATTGGGATCTGCTAAGACATAGGCACAAGACCACGGCTAATTCCGCCGCCTGTATTACTACCTGTCATTGTACTCTTTCTCTTTGCTTTCCATGTTACTAGAAAACACATATTTCAACATGACGCCAACAGCATCAGCCACCGCCGCTGTGCCCACCCTGACACAAAGTGGAGCACGAGTTGCTCTACAAGCCGCGGAGCAGCATGCACTTGAGAACGGTGTACCCATGTAAGTTCCCCTCCAAATTTATGGATGTAGCTCCATCGAACCGATCGTGCTAACAACAAAACAGGAGCATTGCTGTAGTCGACGCACACACGCATCTCTTAGCCTTCACACGCATGGACTCGGCGAAGATAACGTCCATCAACACCGCCATGGACATGGCCTTCACTGCCGCCGGCAATCGCATACCCACCTCCGCATACCAAGAGACACCCTGGCCAGGCAGCGCAACCTCTGGCATCGGCAACATGATCATGGGACGCTTCACCACGCTCGGGGGTGGTGTACCTATTCTGTCAGCAGCGGGCGACATACTAGGCGCCATAGGTTGCTCAACAGGCACCAGCATGCAGGACGAGGCAGCGGCGAAGGCTGGCAGGGACGCTGTCTTGGACGTTATCAAGAAAGAGAAAGAGGCCGAGGAGACGAGACTACACGAAGAGAGGCAAGCAGTGCTTACACTATGGAAAGAGAAAGAAGAGGAAGTGGGAAACTTGAGAGAAGAGCTCGAAGGAATGGATAGAAGTAGCAAGAGAATGAGGCTCGATGGTGGAAGGAGTGGAAGTGTTAGTGTTGCCGGCAGTCTAATAGGACGGAGGGCGAGTACGCAAGCAGGACTAGCACCGGATACACCGCCGGAAGAAGGCGAACTACTTCCGAGCTTTGTTGGGGAGGTATCTGTGGGGCGTTATTGAGCGATTGATCTTTCTCTTCTGCATTAGCGTTCTGGTTATCAACCTCGTGAACCAAGCATGGCGTTCATTGGTAGGGCTTTCGGCGAACAAAAGGCGTTGTTATGATGGAGGCTATCTGTGTTTGTAACGATGAACGAATATTATTCAGTCTGCTCAATGGTGATTACATCTAAAAGGCATATGAACCCTTGGGGATATATGAAGTGGAATGTGTGCGCTTTGTGACGCAAGTTCTGCGCCTGTCGCCCTTGGGAGGGGGTCAACTAGGGTAGATCCATCGCTTCTAAGAACCCAGTGAGTGAGGAAACCAACACGCGATGAGCATTGTCAGTGCTGAGGTAGGGAGAATATCACACAAAGTTGACTACTTGCTCTCATTATTGGGAAACTTGTAAGAGACTGTTGGGTAGGGGTAGGGGCTTCTAACGTTTGTCGTGTAGATGCAGGGCTTACCTAGGTAGCCTTGATAATTACTCATATTCATATGTTTCTTCATCTTTCACTCCCAGCACATTCAATACTAGCACATGTATTCGGTATCAATAAGGATATTCAATACCAATACCTTCTTGTATCGCTGTCAATTGAAAGACTGAAAAACAAGCATAGCATTTAATGTCGCAGTATCAACAGATACCTAAGTAGTATCATGCACCATCGGACAGGGAAACTTGCCATCCACAAAGACAACAAGCCTACAGTGAGCCATATCCATCGTTTCCAAGCACTTTCGAGGATTTGTAAAGAGCGGACAGTGAGGCAGTGACAGAATGTTACAGAGCATCCGACAAAGGCCGTTGCCCGAAACCACGACGATGACTCAGCAGCATGCGTCACACTTGATCTCCAGTCACAACATGCCAAAGCATGCGATAGAGAAGACTCTTCTAAAAAGTCTGTGGTAGGAGGACCATCGTCACCTCCTATGAGCAATGGCTAGCACGCGAGATACCGACGCGCTGTTTGTAGAAAGGACTACATGCGTCGGGAAGAACTCGAACAAAGGCGCAATGTGATGCACACGTAATATTGAGTCGCATGTCACGGGTATCTTACACACGACCTATTGTATACATGCTTCGAGTTCAGTCATGGCACTAAGCTGGAGAGCCTGCAAGTTCCGCGCCACGGAGCATGCACAGCAGCGACCAGCTGGCGGAAACAGTCGAAAGTGGTATGTAGTCTTTGATGTCATCGACCGCGCTACAGTCAACCTTGGAGACTGACTGCATGCAACCCGTGTTGTCGCGTAAAATGCTGTTCAGGTAGATGCCCTTGCTCTGATGATCCCCAGCTGCAAGATCCCCCAAGGAACTCGTTGAATGCGGCGGCCGATGTCTGCCGAATTACGAGATCTCTACACGAAATAAAGAAAACGGCAGAGATAGTCGTTACAACCCGTCTTCCATTTCCCAAGCCGCCCTCGTCACCAGGCATTACGTACCCCATGCACCGCCGCCGGGAATCCCTTTTGATGTCTTTGGGAACAACGCCGCAGCCAGACACCCCATGAAATGAACCACCGGGAAGCCTCAAAAGTCCAGCCACCTCTAGAACTACCCGATCGCCAGCGCAAATCACCGAACACATCACCGAACCCAACAGACATGCCATTCAAATCATAAAATGACGATGTGCAAGTGAAGACAAATTCGACCCCTGTCTGCAGTTTAACAGCGCAGTGGGCCAGCGTCTAGCCTGAGAGAAGCCAAGCTGGGGGGGAGCCGACACCCGACCTGCCGTGGCGTGGCCCATGTCGCAAGTCTGACTGCTCGTGCGACACATCGAGCTGAACATGTTTGTTTCTTCGTTTCTCGGTACGACATGGTTTTCGGTACGCCAACCTACTTTCTTAGGAGCGAAGGAAACTCTATCGCGATGAATCGCGATAACCTTCTCACCGCCACAAGTCCATGGCGCTGGCGCGCAACATTCAATATGTAGCTGAAAGCGGTTTGTTGGAAGGGGGCTATTGGAATTTAGGGCGCTGCTCCGTGGTTGAGTGATGGAAGCGGCGCGGCAAGCCCAGGAACGCGCCCCCCTTGGCAGGTACAGAACACGAAGTGTGCCTGGTGCTTACGCTGTACGGGGTCATCTCCGCAGCCGCTCGGGTTCCTGCTTGCTCGCGTCTGTGACCTTCTAACTTTGGACCCTGTGCCTTCATTCAGCTCGTGTAAAGATACGAGAATTGCAAACATGGCGAAGATCGCTGGTGGCATTTTATTGTTAGTAGGCGTGTTAAGGGCGATCGTCGCATGGGGCAAAAGTGATAGGGAGTAGGTCGTCACGAGACAAGCGAAGAAGCAAGGGATTCGGGGTCATGAATTCGTGGATCTGTAATTCGGCAACAGAGTAGAAAAAGTCGCTGATGCATCCCTAAAAAATGAACAGGGGATAAAAAAGAGGTTTAGTACCGTAAGATACAAAAGAAGTGAATATGTTTCGAACCAGCGCGGAAGCAACGCGTCGCGAGTTTGATCTCCAAGCCGCCCTGTCATCTACAGTAGAAGAATTGAAACCCCTCAACACCCTCATAACATGTACTGTGATTTGCTTATGCAAGATCGCAGCACCAGATACCCTCGTAGTTCTTGCATCCGATCTTGGAGTAGTTGTCGGAAGTGAGGATCTCAGCGTGGCCGGTCTGGCCCTCGTAGCTCCAGCCCTTGGACATGGTGCTGCAGACGCCGTCAAGACCGGGGAGAGTGGGGATCTCGCAGAGCCAGCCACCGACGAAGACGGAGAGGAAGGACTCCATGTCGGGCTTGCCGGGGGCGAGGACCTGGCCGTAAGTTCCAGGGTTGAGCTTGTGCTTCATGACACCGTTGCCCTCAACGACAACGTTCATGGCGTTGGACTCGAGCTTGGAGTCGCACTCGAGAGGCTTCATGCCCATCTTGGCGCGCCACTCAGAGACGATGTCCATGTAGCCACCGGTGGTAGCAGTGGCAGAGGGAGCAGGGGCAGCCTCAGTGGTGGTTGGCTTGGGGGCCTCGCTGGAAGGAGCAGGAGGAGCAGCCTCGTAGCTGGTGGGCTTGGGGGCAGGAGTGTAGGCAGCCTCAGTGGTGGTGGGCTTGGGGGCCTCGCTGGTGGGCGCTGGGGGAGGAGGAGCTACGTAGACAGCAGAGCTGCTGGGCTTAGCTGGGGCGTAGACCATGGTGTTCTTGGCCGGGGCCTCGTAGACAGCGCTGACGGAGGTAGGCTTGGGGACTTCGTAGCCCTCGGTGACGTAGACAGTCTTGACGACAGTTGCGACGACATCGACAACGTGCTTGACGTGCTTGTGCTCGTGGCCGTATCCACCGTAGGATGGGGCGGCGAGCGCAGAGCCCGCGAGGGCGGCGACGGAGAGAGCGATGGTGGTGCGCATTTTGATAGATATTGGTTTGGATTTGGTGATTGAAGAGACTGGACTTGAGTTGACTGGTAAGGTTCGACTGTCGAATTGTTTTTTGTTTAGGGATGCGAAGTGAGCGTGTTAGTGCCGAAGGGCGGTAGAGAACGTGGTGTCAAAGATTGACGGTGTAGAGAGTGAATGACTGGATGTCGATACCTGGAAGTCGCAGACCTGGGGTAGAAGAGGAAGGCAGAGGGGATAAACTACATTTATACGAAGTAACGCTAAGTAGGAAACGGGCGTTGTGCAGCTGACATGGGCCAGGAAATTAAACGCGAGCGCCATTACACGTCCGCCCACGGCGCCCCGTCCTCCGCAGATTTACCTGTGCCTGGAGCTAGAGCCTCTGAAGCCAATTCTCGTCCCAACCAAGCCCTTGGTAGACTGCTCGGATCCTTTCATTTCGTTCCCTGCACAGCGACCGTCACCGTAGGCCAGGGTTTTGGAGTCCGAGAGGCCTACACATGTGCATTGGCTGGGGGGCGGGGAATGCGATATCTACGTCTGCCGCTATCCTGCGTTCAAACTCTTTGTGCTTCAATCTAATCTCGCGCGGCAAAGAATGTTCCTTTGTGTCTGGTTTGTTTGTCGACGTCGAGCACTCTGGCGCTTCGATGCGGATTTGGTTGGTACGGTCCAGACGTGACAAGTGTCAGGGGTAACCACAGACGATCATTGGGCTTGCGCAGGGGACAGGTCATCAAACGCCCACTTCGGAAAATTAAGCGGAGGGCTAACTTGAGAGCGGCAAAACGTAGAGATATCTCAAAGTGCGCGCTTGTCCTATTGGCTGTTATTGTCGTTCGGACATGGCAGCGTTTCAGATGTTTTTCTTAGTCTGTGGGACATTTTGGGCAGACCCGGCCCTGGAGCAAACCTTTTGTGAACGTAGCTGCACAAACTTCAGCCCGCCGTAGTTTCAGCCCAGGTGCCGCACAGCACCTGCTTGATCCGTTCCTTCGTACCGCAGACGGCGATTTCGTCTTCGCGTCCGTGCGGTAATCATCGCTGTATGATTGAAGAGTCGAGACTCTGTAAGGCGGTTCGTACAAGTGGAGCCTTGGAAGGATTTCTCAACGGGAGAGCCTCATCGTGAAACGGCGAATCGAGGGATATTTGGAGATCCCGTTTGTGTCGCGCCAGCGCGATGAGTGAGGCAGAGGGGAAGCCTGCATTCTTCCCGCCATCGCGACATCCTTCCGCTGCTGCAGTCGATCGTGTAACGGTCAGAGTCAGCGCCTCGTGACACTCTCGCTCCACTTCACCTCTGGCGTCACCATCGATCTTCCGCGTGGATGCCGTGGATGCTCGCCACGTGTTAGCGCACTTGACAACGAGTGACCGAGATCTGTCGACGTGGATCCGACACCGCAAGGTACAGCGAGTCCGAAGACGGTGCCTGAGCCGCGCACCAGGTAATCACCTATGTGCCGAGATGTGATGAGATGGAAATTCAACGTCATCTCTCGACCTCAGGCATGCGACACCGCTGGGATGTCGTAAAATTAATCGTTGTAGTAATGAGGGGTCGTGGCAGGGAGTCCCAGTGCTGTTTAATCTTCGTCCCGCTGTGGCACCAGATCGTTTCTTTGAACCTCATCTCACTCAAGATGAAGCACCGAGTGCCTGCCGTGCCTCAGGCTTCCAGAGGAAGTGAAACGTGAGTGTTTGGTCTGGATGCGCTCGAGGTTTGTCATGTCGTGTCGAAATGTGCCCGGCGGCAAGTACATGTCTTGCGTGGCCACATAGCAATCTCGCGGAGTCGGCTCACTTCCTGATTGCTGATTACTACCGCAGACCCACAGCATCTGCAGCGTCTGTTATACCCGACCCGCCCGCCATCAAGTTTTCATGACCAACGGCTGAAGTGCGGTAGGTGGTTTCTTTTCGGCACTCAACCGCATGCTAGTCTGCAGAACTCTTCAACCATACCTCAAACTACCTCATTAGTCCGCCGCGACGCCCTTCAACGACACTGCTGATAGGCCGAGATCCAGCGAGGTGTTCTCTCGCGCGTATGCACGATGCTGACGCATGCGTCGGTGATCATCGAACTCCTTCTTCGTACCTGAAACGTGGAGATAATGTTCCTATCGATTAGATAGCTGGCCGCGTGGCGCGAGCTTGTCGATTCGACTGAGCGGAAGCAGAGTCCGCGGCCGCAGTCTATCGGAACTTCCTCGTGGCTTCTGTCAACTGGGGCTGGCCGTTGGAGCAGGATTCTTTAGTTCGGTGCCGTTGTAACCGTCAGGTACCATCGCGCCGACTCTCACATGCAGCCCGTAGCCCCGATGGCAGACTGCATCAACCATGAAAAACCTGCAGTAGCTTATAACAGGCACGTGAAAACTTCTTCCCACCATCTGTCTGGGCTGTCTTAGTGTTTGACAGCCACCAGTCGGCGGTTCGGTAGTTTGCAGGACAGTCACGACGTCATCTGACAGCTCCTTCACCTTGCTCATGCTTCTCTGCCAAGTGGGAAGTTGGCAAGAGGTCCATATGACTGGTGAGGCAAAAGCACACGGCACAGATAACGAAGAAGAAAAAGCGATAGGTCTCCTTTGGATAAGTGATGACTTGGCATTGCAAGTCAGCCCTCGCCTCAGAAACGTAGGCGATGCCCAATCCAGTTGGCGGCTCGGCAAGAACCATAAAGAATGTTCACTGAGTCCTTCACAGCCTGCCCGAGTGACGAATGACATTAAACCTGATGCGCCGTGGCATCGAGCTCGAAACACTGGGTGTTTATGTCGAAAATCGCAGGCGGCTTTACACGAACACCTCTGGATGGCCTTCACTTCCAAGGTTGGGTGTATCGCAGTCTGCTTCTTCCATGCAGGTGGTTACTCGATGATCGATCACTTCATCGTCATCGTACTTCACAATCCTACACTAACACCTGCGCACACTCTAGTCTATGTCACTACTAGCGGTCGGCTTCGAGGCTTTGCTGTCTGGTAATTAGCCGATGACCGATTGGTGCGCATATGTTGTACCTTGCAGTCACATCGACTATTCTAAGCTCTACCAAATCCGTCCATATGACTGCATACTGGCGTAGATGCGAGATAACAGCAAAAGCCATTGATAGCAATTATGCGTGTAAGCATAGCCACGACGCATTCTGACGGACATTTGCGAAGGGTGAACCCTGGAGTAGGGCAGCCTTTCGCGACACCAAAAGCCTTGGAGCTTACACCAAGCACCTATCTCAAAGGAACCGCTAAGGAAAAAGCAAAGACCGAAACTGTGTTCCATTCGAGCCTAGACATCTCCTTACATCATTTCTAGGGCGCTGAGTTATGCGCCGCCCAATTAGGCAATCCGACCAACCAGAACCCATACCCCCGTCTCCACAGACAGCGTTGAAAACACACAGCAAAGCGAAAAATCTGCAGTTACCGCCGGAAGTCTCGGGAGGGCTTTCGTTCTGCCCTGAATGTCTCAGTGTATGATTGGTGTACCTGTGTAGGCCTGTTGCGCTTGGGAGGCCATCCTTTGTTCGGTAACCTACGTTGCAGTCAGACTGAGCTGGACTACGCTGTGGGGCCCACTCCGTATCCCTACACTCTTAAAGTCAACGTCCACGCTCTTTTTTGTGAATCTTGAACTACACACTCTCTTTGTCACATCACAGCGAGGCTTCGACAGCTTCATCACATTCCTTCCAAAACTTCCCTCTCTTGTTCAATTGACGGTCTGGACCTACACTCTTTCTTCCTCAATCAACACACGGTCTCTTTAAAAGCAGCTTCGCCACGCTCCTGTGTCGTCATCATACATTATCACAAATCTTTGTTACAGACCCTCTCAACGAACAATATGCTTTCCAAGCTTACCTTTGCCATCGTGGCACTTCAAGCCAGCCTTGCCCTAGCTGGCAAAGCCGTCATCACCAACCGCTGCGACTACGACGTCTGGGTCTGGTCAATCTCTACTGGCCATGCCTCCTCATCCTTCATGGTCCCTGCAGGAAGCTCCCACAGCGAGGCCTACACTGGAAGTAGCACTTCCCTCAAAGTCAGCAAGTCCGACGCTTTGGTCGCCGGCAAGCACACACAGTTTGAGTACTCCATCGCGGCTGGCCAGCTCTGGTACGACATCTCCTTTGTCGACTGTGCCAATGGCGAGTCTGCGTCAAACTGCCCTGGACACGACGAAGGCCTGGCCATGAACGCCAGCAACGACAGCTGCGGCAAGATCGATTGCCCCGCTGGAGACTACTGCCCTACGCAGGCCTACTACGTCGACACGCCTCTGCAAAAGCTGGGTATCGCCGAGCCAGTTTTCATGTGCCCCTTGTCTCTGGGCACCAGCGTTGATCTGTCCATGACAGTCTGCTCCGGAAACCCCAAGATCAAGAGGAGCATCGCTGGCCGTATCCAGATCGATGGCGAGGCTTAGAGAGTCTCGATGGTGCGCATTTGCGATTACTTCTCCAGCTCTCTTACCATTACTTCTTTCGTTCTTTATACATACACTAGGGTGGATTACGGTTGGGATATACCTGGGTTACGATTTGGTTACGATTTTGGATGATTCAATGAAACGTTATGCTTTTCCAACTCTTGAATTCGTGTGCTGTTACCGATTGTGACTACGTAGGCACCCTGTCGGTCCTCTGACCAAAGCCTGCCGCCATACTCCTCGGCGTGATGGAAGGAATTCGGCGTTGCTGAGACGCTGTCGCAATCGTGGCAGGCTTACGTCGCACGACACGAGGTGCGATTTTGGCCGGATTCTGCCAGGTGGTGCGTTGCCTCTAGGCCATCGCCATTTGGGTAAGCGCATCCCAAAGTCTGTTAGCGCGGAGCACACGTCATCCTGACCACGTCCTCCTGTGCAGTCACACCGATACTCCAAGCATGCGAAGGATAAAAATGCACAGAGCAGCTAAACTGACGATTGTAGCGAGGTATGAAGTTAGGGCAGAACGGAATGTCTGTCCCGCCGTGGATCTGCAGTACGCGCCGCCCGGCGACGGACCCGCATGTTTGGGTGTGGAGGAAGACTGGTACCCATGCGCTTCGCCAAACATTCCTAGACTCGGTCTGCCACTCAACTCCAGAAGATGATCTTGCAGTACAGTACCTGATACACCCGCGCAGCCCTGTGCGACTCGTCTGCGCTTAGTCGACGATCCATTCCGAGCTACCCCACACCTGTCCCGAGCGGGTAGATCTATCCAAATTCGTCTTCATCATACAATTGCTTACTATTCAGGCGACAAAGGGGGCTCTATAAAACCAACGGGTGAATTCTTCCGGCACCCACCTGACATCTAGAGTCAACAGCAGGTATTGCGGGGTGTAGTCTACTCAGCTGGGATCGAGTAATCATGTCGTGAATCTACTCAAGTGACTGTGGGGTGGGGAAGCCTTGTGTGAGGGGTTGCCGCGGCTAGATCAACATGATTATTCTTCAAGTCCTACTATACGATTGCCCATTCCTCAAATCTCCTGGGTAATCCAGAAGCTTGGTTTAGAGCCACAGCACCTTACTTCGACCAAATATAAGCATAATGACAACTCAAGGACCCATCGCTGCAGCTCCGATAGCTGAGGTACCTCTCCCAGACCCAGATGTTGCCAAGTCAACCGTCGACATCAAGACTGGAGAGTTAGCTCACGAGAACGACTTGACCTTTGATCCGGCAGCACTCCAAGCGAAGTATCTCCAGGAGCGTGACCGACGTTTAGCACGAGATGAAGGCGTAGAGCAATACACACTCCTTGATGGTAGCTTGGCACACTATCTAGAAGATCCATGGGTCGAGCCAGGATTCAAACGTGACCCCATCGAAGAAGAGACCGAGGTGGTGATCATCGGCGGCGGGTATGGCGCTCAGGTCTGCGCTGTGAGACTAATTGAGGCTGGTATAAACGACTTCAAGATTATCGAAAAAGCTGGTGACTTTGGGGGAACATGGTGAGTTTCGCTGTTCCACATATAGGACTTATGTGCTGACATCCACGCAGGTATTGGAACAGGTATCCTGGAGCGCAGTGCGATATCGAATCCTACATCTACATGCCCCTGCTCGAGGAAGTCGGATACATGCCGACAGAGAAATACGCGCGTGCCAAAGAGTTGCTTAAACATTCACGCATGATTGGCGAGAAATACGATCTCTACTCGCGTGCCTTATTCCAGACCGAAAGCAAAGAGATGCGATGGAACGAAGAAGAGGGGAAATGGACTACTCACACGGCGCGAGGCGATAAGATCAAATCGAGATTTGTGATTCCTGCTGCGGGCCCTCTTCATCGGCCAAAGTTTCCTGGCTTAAAAGGTATCGAAGATTTCAAGGGCCATTCTTTCCACTCTTCGCGATGGGATTATAATTACACGGGGGGCGATTCCTCGGGTAACTTGCACAAGCTAAAAGACAAGCGCGTAGCTATCATCGGTACAGGTGCGACAGCCGTTCAGATAGTGCCTCATTTGGGAGAGTGGTCAAAGAAACTTTACGTCTTCCAGCGCACCCCTTCGTCGATTGACGTTCGTGGCAATCGCCCGACTGACGAGGCATGGGCACAGTCGCTCCAGAAGGGATGGCAGAAGAAGCGCATGGACAATTTCGACAACATCGTCAACGGTGGTTACGAAGAAGTGGATATGGTATCAGATCGTTGGACAGATATCATTCGGTCCTTGCTGACCGCTGGCATCGACCCGAACAACCCGGTGGAAGCTGCAGCCAAACGTCAGATCGCTGACTTCAAGAAAATGAATGCTATCCGCGCTCGAACGGATGAGATCGTGAAGAACAAGGAGACGGCTGATGCGTTAAAGCCATGGTACAACCAATTCTGCAAGCGTCCCTGCTTCCATGACGAATACCTACCCACCTTCAATCGCCCCAACGTCGAACTCGTTGACACCAAAGGTCAAGGTGTTGACCGCATTACTCCTAACGGCATTGTGGCAAACGGGCAAGAATACGAAATCGATTGCCTAGTGTACGCCACTGGCTTCGAACTCGCAAACGAATGGTCGCACAAGACCGGCATCGAGATCTACGGCCGCGACAACACAACCATCACCGAGAAGTGGGCCGAAGGCGCTCAAACACTTCATGCTTGGGGAACACGGAACTTCCCAAACTGCTTGTTCGTTCAGATCGTCCAAGGGGCCCTGACACCGAACTTCATGCACGTCACCAACGAACAAGCGATCCACTATGCGTACATCATATCTGAATGTAAGAAACGTGGGTTCAGGACTATAGAGCCGACAAAGGAAGCGGAGGAAGGGTGGACACAGACGATCGTTGATGGAACTGCTATCCGGGGCGACTTTCTGAAGGAGTGCACGCCAGGGTATTACAACAATGAGGGCAAGGCGAGCGAGAATGCTAAGAGGAATGCGACCTATGGGTATGGAAGCCCGGCCTTCATCAAAATCTTGACTGATTGGAGGGAGGAGGGCGGGATGAAGGGCGTGGATGCTACGTACGCCAAGGAGTAGGCGGTACTTGCACTCATCGGGATTCGTATATAAATCGTTCTTCTGGATATGTTCTGATACTCATCAATCTTACCCTTTCATATTCAAAAACAACTGATACGATGGGATGAGACCACGACCTTTAAAATCACAACCATGATCTAGTTCTCAGAATCTTTCGCCCGTTGATTGAAAAGCGAGATCAAACGAGGCATGATCAGCCTGCTGGCGACGCAGGACAATTCCTGGAGTCTATGAACCTTCAAAACACAATTCATTCTCCTCACTCGACATCAAAATAGCCGTCATCCACCCCGATGGCATGAGAGAGCGTGCGAAAAGTCAAACGAACATCGTCGTGCCGTAAGAGATACACCAGACTTTCTATGGCATGCTATTACGACTTCTTCTAAACATCACCCCAACGGACTTATGGTTTCGAGAGAGACCAAAATCACTACGCCTTATAGCCGCTACGCCGACCAGTATAAAGACAACCTCGATCGCTTTGGTCAAACTCTTTCATCCCCACGTTTCCCATAGTTATCCACAAAAGTTTGCTCAAAGAGTGTATATGGAAGTGCCCTGCTCGATACAAACTCTACCCTCGATGAAAACACCGATGCTTAAGCTAGCCAGCAATGTTGTTCGGCATGCGGATGTTCTGTCACGCTCAGCTTGACTTTTTATTAACCCTCAAAATCACCGAAAACGAACGAAAACGAAACGCTACGCCATCCTGCCCATGTGTGCCTGTCTCTCTTCGGCACCTCTCGCCGACATAAAAGCTACCTTCTGAGCGCTCTTAGTCCTCACTTCTTCACAAATGTACTCACATTTACTTCAAAATCAAAGTACAAAGACTTTATGTGTGGGCCCTCCGAAACAGACCCTTTTGTCGTAAATGGTCGTCCGTCCGCCCTGTACCCAAAACTTGGCGTACATCTTACCGAAATGGACATGGAGATGAAATATGACCGTTGCGCTCATTTGAATCGTTCATTTAATTGGAAGGCACCATCTAAAATCGACGTAAAAGCCACGCCACGAGTTTTGTTTTCGAACGGTCTGGTATTGGAATGCGATGGTCGTCGTGTATGAGCAAGTGTTTCTACCGAAAAATGACAATTTCCGGCGCATGTCGTTGTCTTCTCGCCCTGCCCACCTAAGAAGAAAGGACATCCTCTCTATGTCCGCTTCGGGAAAGCGGCGTGAACGAGGGTGTATAAAAAAACCTCGGTTGGCTTACCAACCTTCATCATTCTTCACACCTCTGATCCTTGTATCTTGCAAAAAGGCCAGCAATTCTTGCTATGAGAAGGATCTGCTCTCTTCCAAAAATGCCAATATTCCCGAAAGTATTACACACTATCGATCAAAATCAACACAACCGGTAGCCATGTTCTCTGCTGTTTGGAAATACTCCCACATTACCGTCTTATCTACGAAACCTGCATAAAAGGCCCAGCATGAAGTATCAGTCTATTATACGAAAAATAATACCGTTGGCTCGATTCGCTGTGCCTCGATGAGAACTACCAACCCAGGGTTGCTATGACGAGCTGTCGTTCGAGAGTGGATTGTTGCGACTTAGTCTGGTCACTGGCAAGATTTCTGTACGATGATCAAAACGACGACATGCTTCATGACCGCACCATCATGACGGTGTATTAGCAAGCAACAATCGGAAAAGCTTTCGTTTTGACAAGATAACATGGGGTATCATTCGTCACCAGCATCGCCTAGTACATGTGCCCGCTTCTTCCCACCATTCTCCATTTCCACCATGTGATATACACACATCAACATCCGTCTTTTCAGAATGCTCCAACAACGGCCAACGCTCGTCTGTTTTGACATCTTATTTGCCAAATTCTACAACGGTGGGCTCTCCGGTCGATCAATAGCCAGAGAAAGATAGTAGTCTGTAAGCGCATTCATCTCATCACCGTGTGTTGTATCGAAATCGTCCTCCATGTCCGCATGGGTTTCTTCGCCCCACGTCTCCAAAACTGGGACATCTGGCTCCATGTGATTGTTGTGCAGATGCGGCTGCGGCTGCTGAATGCACTCGTATCCGAGGACGCCAATGTCCCAGACGCCCGCACAAGCTTCGCAAATCAGTGTTGTCGTAGCAGGGGCGATGGGGTTCACGGAACCGCAACGGAAGCAGGCGAAAGAGCAGCGCTCGCATAGAACCAAGTCGCTGGCATCAACGGGCGGGCGGGCAGGACGACCGCAATGTACGCACTTCGACTTGCCTGGTACAATGCTTTTCGTATCGATAGCCATCCACTGTCGACGCAGCTCATCAGGAATACGATCTGCACTTCGCCCGGAATCACCAACGTCCTCGCTGGTGACTTTGTTAAGATTCTCCTTGCAGGCAGCAATATTGCACTGAGGCCCTAGCGGTGTTGTAAGACTGAGTTGGAACTGCAATGCTTGCTCACGAAGGAATGACGCGTCCACGCTTTCATCGAAGGGACCGGCGTAGTTCTGGCCCTGAACGACTTGGCGAACCGGTAAACTTCCTACAGGTGCGGTCTGCAATTGCTGGGTTTCGAGCAAATATTTGCCTTCCGCGATACCAGATTCCGGTGCTAGGGGGTTGATGTTGCCAGTCTTGTGGTCCTGGATCTCATCTTGCTCATCATCCTGGTATGGCATGTAGCGTAACCTGTCTGCGTCTTTGATCGTAGTGTCATCCCTGCCAATCTCGAGAACGTCGACGGAACCGTTGACTTCGCCGACGACCAGCTTGCTGTAGTCCGCACTGAATGCAGCTGACATGATACCGGAATCACACGTGATTAAGTCTTTGATAAACGTGTTCTCTTCAGCGCGTGTAACATCCCAGACCTTGACTACCCCATCCGATGAACCGGAGTAAAGCCTCGTCGCGTTTTCACCCCAAGACAAGAAACGAACGCCGGTATCTGTGATTTCATGCTTGATACCCTCCTGTAGAGGCATCAGAGACCGGCTATGAGAGAGTATTCGGAGCGGATCATCGGGCCAACGCGCATCCCAGACGTAGGCACGTCCATCTGTACAACCAACTGCGATGAGGTCTTCATCATGTGGGCACCAGATAAGGTCATTTATATCTAGAGCTGCGCACTCGAATTCCAAAGGACATGTAAATTTGTCAGCTCTTACATCGTAGAGACGGACTGTCGAACGTGTGCCGCGGTTGACATTGGATCCCACTGCGACACATCCCGCTGCGAACATCGGTTTGCCAGAACGAATTGGGTTGAAGGCGACATCAAAAACATTCCTGTTAGACCCATGGATATAATAAGGAGCCTCAGTCTCGACGTCCCACAAGCATAAATCGCCGGTCATGTCAAAGCCCGTCTCCTTCATATTGGCGCCGAAACCTGCAAGCAGTTGCTCACCACATATCGGTTCGAACTGCAAAGCGGTAGGAAGAATCTTGAGATCCATGCGATCGACAGCCTTGTTTGAATGGAAGCTCGATTTCTCAAACTGGCAAGGCTCTTCCTCATCGATCCTGAGCACTCTGATTGCCTTCTGACTGGATGCCTTCGCCGCTGTTGCTATCATACCAGGCTGCATCTGATTGACTGATAAGATGTCGATCTTGTCTTTGATGTTAAGCTTAGCAGCTAGAAGAGGCTGAACAGAGTCGGCGTTGGCGTCGGTTCTCCAAATACCAATATGTCCGTCGTAGCCTGACGAATACATGACGTGGCTGCTGTTCGAGAAGGCTACCGAGGTGACTGTTGTGTATAACTTCGGATCCTGGGATGCGAACATGGCGTGACTTGAGTTGGCACCGCTCTCAGTCTTCTTGCGTATCTTATAGTGCTCTGCTAGCTCGTGTATTGTACCATGCATAAGGCTTCCGAAGAGTAGGTTGTTAGGTCGGTTATACTGCATAGAGTCCGGATCGTCAACAGCGACAGCACCGGCCGCAAAGTGTTCACCATCTGGTGCCCAGGCTACAGTATGAATATCACTTGAAGCGCCCGTCCAACATGCTGCTGGACCCATTGTGTCCATATACTTGTTCGTCACTTGATATGTGATAGGTTTAGACGCCGTGTGCCAGCCTCTTCTCGACTGACGACCGAGCTCTCGTTGACGTATGATACATGTGGTCGACGGTTTCTGAATCGATTGCATATCCGTGTTCGGCCGTGCGGCTGCAAATCGTTGTATCTGCGGTATCTCTGCGATGTTGCCGGCCATGGCATCTTGTAAGAATGCTTCAATACTGCTCCGGTCTCGGCAAGGCAGGCGTGAACGAAGACTCTCAATGAGCCGGGAAATCTGTGTATCCGTGCAGCCTTTTAAGAGTTCGCGAAGTCGCCTTGTTTTCGTACTATGCCGCGACCTTGTATTCTTGATCGATGTCAAAGTTTTCTCTACTAGCTTGATCTCAACAGGGCTGAAGTCGACATGGAGGAGGCTACCTTGCCAGTCCCGACTTGATAGCTGATCCCAGTCTGAGCCGGTAGATGGGCTCTGCATCGCTAAGCGTTGCCCTGAACTCAAATATGGCACATGCGTAGCGGGAGTGCCATTCCGGCGCGATTTTGTATATAGGCTCAATCCAAGTGCTGCATCATCTGTATTGAATTGTACCTCCACCGGCTCGTTGTCGACAGCGACAGCCTCGTTAGGTAAAGGCGCTTCATGGTCTTGCGGTGTCTCTGAACGAGTAGGAGCAGAGTCGTCCGCCATAGATCCAAGGACATCGTCGGTGTAGTCATCTACTTCATCTACAGCAACACCCCGCTGTTTCGGCCATGTGTAATTGACTCTTTGTGCACGACGCGATCGCTCTCGACGAGGCGCAGAGTCGCCTCCTGAGGAGTAATCTCGTTCTATCGTCTGTTGAACGGGTAGATGCCGGGGAGGTTTCGCAGCAGGTTGATGGGGAGCAGTGAGCTGGTTGTTTCTTGGTCCTCTTGAGACACTAGTACCATGGATCTGATTCCAATCAACAGTCGCTTCTGCAGCCCACCGAGGGGGAAGGATCAAGGTAGATGGATCCTTTGACCTGTCTCTCTTGTTCAAGAAGGTGGAATAACGGGATTGCAGCGCAGAGTACTGACGTGTGGGCAAATCTACGTTGTACTCGGCCGTGATTTGGGCCCACGAAAACTGCTTTACCTCCTTTAGAAAGATGAGATATTGGTCCTGTTCGGCATCGAATGGGTTGACCTGCCTCTTTCGACCAGTGGATGGTGGAGGTGTAGGTACCTCCGAACCCCTCGGAAGAGCGGATGAATGGAATGGGGCTACTGCAGGCCCAAGTCCAGGAGGGGCATTTGCAGTCTTTGCTTTCTTATCCGATGCGTGTTGCAATGCAGGTTCTGTAGGCGACGAAACATCGGACATGACACTATCTTTGTCCTCGTCCGAAGGCTCCTCGGCAGTTCCCACGAAGTAATTCGGTCTCGCGGCTGGCGAAGGGCGACTGCGCGATCGTCCTGGAACTCTATCTGATGTCACTGCACTTGCCTGCCGTGTTTCTTTGTGCGTAGCTGCGTGGCGGGGCTGTTCTCGTTGACTTGGTACATTCAGGACTGGGCTCGCACTGTTACCTGCCGACTGGCGACCGATATGCAGCGTGCGTGGGGTGCTCACCCGAACATTTTGCAGTATGGTCGCAGGCTCGGTGTTCTTCAAGGCTTGGTTGATGTCTTGTACCGACGGAGGCTTGTTGGCTGCACTAGGTTCTGACATCTTCATCCTCTTGGCTGGCCTTTCGTGGTGAGTTCCATTATGCGCATGCGCATGCGCAGGCACCGACATATAGCTATTTGGTGTGGCACCATGGCGTCCCATATTTGCTACATTTGTCGCCGTCGACGCGCTTCCGGTAGATGGGGGGTGTGGATGTGCGTATGTGGGTCGCGTCGTGGAAGTAGGTGGCCGTGATGATGGGGGAGGTACGGGCAGATGTGGTGTCATGGAGGGGTCGTGCGTCCCCAAAGGCAGCGAGGACAACGGGCCCTCGTCGCTTTCTTGCGCATCGTCATGGTAGGTGAGGCCGACTATGGAGGGTCGCCAGTCGCTGCCGTTGCGCTTGTTAGACATGTTACTCATGGTACGTTGCGAGAGGACATGGTAGGCTAGGAAATACGAGGGGGTCAATACCGAGGGAAGTACTCACTTCATTGCCGTCGGTCTGAGAGGCAAGCAACACGTCCATGAGAGTCACCGTGATTGTCGCGTTAGGTGGTTGCGAACAACCGCGTAACCGTGGACCGCGTACCCCTGCTAGCCGTGGCTTTAGCGCTGTGTGGCGTCACCCCCTTCAGAAGAGAGCGGAAAGCTACCGTCTTTATGACAGCAACCTCAAATAGGATAGTATGCACATCAGACAATGCAAGCTGCGATAGAATCTCTCGATTACATAGGTAATGTAACGACCCATCTTACAACATGTCGTATGTCCAGGAAATATCACACTCCCTCGCATCCACGCCCTAATAGACCTTACTACTATCTGGACTGCCATCCACAACCTTATCTTTATCACCCCTGCCCTCAATATCCTGCCTGCTGTCTTGCACCGCCAACCCTGCAACAACAGTTTCCTCACCAGGCTCCGCGTCTGTCGGCACGGGCGGTCCGGAAAACTCCTTCCTGCCGCGGATGAAATACCACCCCACGCTAATTGCCGCGAAACCTGCAAACACTACACTCGCGTAGTTCATAGTAGCCGCCTCAACTGGCAGACTGACCGGCATACAGAACAATACAACTGCGAGGCAGATCCAAGCGATCATGGCAATGTTGATGGCGTAACCGAAACGGCCGAGCGAGTAGGACGAATGGCGTACAGCCTTACGACCGCGTAGCACGGAGATAAGAATGGGCATGCCGTAGGATGTGGAAAGACAAATTGTCGCGACACCAGTGAAGGAGTTGAAGGCGGCTGAGGAGCCAAAGTAGATGAGGCCGAGGAGACAGTCGACGACTGTAGAGAGGACGAGTGCCATGAGAGGGATATCGAAGCGCTTGTCTACCTTGGCCCACAGTCGCGAACCGGGGATTGCGCCATCGCGAGCGAAGGCGTAGGTGCAGCGCGAGGCTGCGGTCAATGCACCGGTGCCAGCGAAGAAGAGAATACCGAGGATGAGGAAGAGGAGTCCGAAGCCACCGCCTGCACTGCCAGTGACAGTCTTGAAGAGCAGGCCAATAGGTTGTCCATTGGCGACATCGAGAAGCAGTTGTACGTCGGGGAGAACGAAGAGGATAGGGATCAGGTAGATGATACCCGTGACACCGGCCGCAGCGACAGAGAGAACGATGGCCTTGGGAACTTCGCGGGATGGGTTGGAAACCTCTTCACACATGGCGGCGACCATGCCGTAACCAGTCAACGTGTAAGCAGCCTGTAGGAGACCGACGAAGAAAGCCCATCCGGATGGCCTAAAACTAGAGTCAGTATAACTGGTCCAAGATTCGGTTCGAGATAGAAGGGACAACGTACCATCCACTCTGGCTGGCATCGTAATGCGCAAACACGAACTCGGCATCCCTCTTGTTATCCGCCATACTCAACAGCACAACCATAATAACCACAACGCTGGTTGCCGTCCAGTAGATACAAATCTTGTTGATCAGATCCAGATACTTGGCCCCAAAAATGTTAATACTCATGCAAATAAGCATAACAGCCCAAAACGCAAGCACAGTCTGCCATTCGTTCGGCACAAAATCCTCGTCCCAAAGCGTAATGGCGGACAAGATGAGTTGGCCACCTGAGAAATTGATCGAAAGTGTAACAGTCCAGTTTCCAACCAGAGTCAACCAACCGGTGACCCACGAGGCGATGGGCGCCCATTCGCGCGTCGAAAGCATGGCCGACCAGTAGTACACGCCGCCAGCTGTAGGATATACTGCACAGATCTCCGCGAGCGAAGCAGCGATAGCCAGGGAGATGAGAGAAACGAGGATCCAGCCATACAGCACGGTAACGGATTGACCATCGGTAAGCGTGATGTAGAGTGTTGTGGAAAGACCGAAAGGAACAGCCATGATGGCGAACGACATGCCGAGAACGCTCAACATGGATAGATTTCGAGGAAGCTCAGATTGGTAACCCATCTTCGCGAGAGCAGCGTCGGCGCCAGGGTCGTTGACCGACGCTCTTCTTCGAACGCCATCGTCTCCTCCTCCTTCGCTGATGGAAACACTCTTCGCCATGATTGTTTCGCTTTCCTAACGACCAATATTGTAGTGCCAAACCCGACTCTTACTGCGCGACGAATTGCGCTGCGATAAAATGGCGAAAACGACTCCAAAGTCCGGGTGTGGCAACCGACCAGTCCAGTCCAACGTTTATAAGGGCGCAACGACCGTTGATAACAGAAACGACGACGAAGGTGTGCTATTAGGGATAAGAACACGAGAAACCCAAGATAAAAGACGACAACACGCGAGTGACCCGACAAATTCCCCGCAGCTGGCAACCGCCGGCGTCAAGCCCGTCAAAGTCTAGACTAGGGTCTTGGGAGCTGGGAAACGCGCGAAATGCGACGCTGCAATCGTTCGCTCCACACCATGAGTCGGAGCGCGCCAGGAAGATAGGCGTTTGATTCGATATAGAAATCACCGACAACATCAGACATCAAGTAAGCGCGATAAGCAACCCTTGGTGTCTGCCCACCCATCATCATTGTCCCCCATCGAACGCCTGCAGGAGTCGTGATAGCAGATTGGCGTGTACAATCAACCCTGCCAGGCGCGCATGTCACCGATCGAAGCCGCATGCGTCATCTCCGTTGTCGGGTGTGTTTGCCGGACTGGGACGGAATCGGTCGCGTGCGTTCATGTGGGGTCAAGCCCGACCAGTGCCCGACTGTCGGCAGCGCCCAGCCAGCAACAGCCCCGAGCAAAAGGCCGTTCTTCGTATCTTTTGTGGAGGGTCGAGTGGAAAGCTGGGGCCGCCCCCAGGTGGACACGTTTATCGCATCACAGCAAGTTATCACGTTTTCAAAGGATACTACGATAATGCTGCAACATGGGATAGAGTCAAGGAGAAATCTGAGATGATAATATTATAGTACAAATGTGTCCCGGAAAACGGGCTCGACTAATTGCTTAATGCTCCATCTAATGCAGGAACCAAAGCATGCCACGTCTATCTTCGTACCGAATCCCGTCATGACACTATCCCATACATGTCGTGATCTGGTCCGGCTGATAACGGCAGTCATCCATCTACCTCTGCGTAATTTCCGTTTCCATGTCTTCATCATTCTTCATAGCGTTTCTACTTCGCCATGACATCGACATAGCGACCAGCCTTCTTCTTCTTATTTGCTGGTCCCTTTCTGGCTTGAGGTGCACCCAGCAAATCATCAATACTACTGGCATTGCTCATACCAGTGCCCGGTCGTGACGGCGGTCCTGATGCAGCACCAAAGCTCGGTCTGGCTAGCACAGGTGGTTTAGGTCCAGCAGCGAAGCCTTCTTCATCAGACTCTGGGATACCTGGTGTAGAGGCACGGGACGCAGCACCGCCCATTGGTGGTGGCATAGATGAGGAGCGAGGGTTGGATGTAGGTGGACGCAGGCCGCCGGGAGGACCCATAGGCGGGGTGGGCGCGCCGCCTGAGGCACTTCGAGCTGCGCCGCCGGGAGGACCAGCGCGTGGAGGCGGTGGTGTTGCAGCGGGTTTACCCGTATCTGCCGCACCGCCCTTCTTGTTTACCCACTTGCCAAGATCCGTATCGTAGTAGAAACTGCTCTCTTCTCCCAGCTTAGCCTTAATAGGACCGGGAGCGGCGTTGGGATCTTTCTTAAACCACCCAGACAGCCATCCTCCCTTCTTCGCTGCCGCGGCTTCCTTGTCACGCTGAGCATCTGCTTCGGCCGCTTTGCGGAATGCCTCGTCTGCCTTCTTGTCTGCTTCTGACTTGGAGCTGCCGCCTCCGCTGATCTTCAGAGCTGAGGCGCGAGCAGCAAGATCGTCATCGTCGTCGAGATCCATGAAAGATTTCTTCTTGGTTACTTGCTTCTCTTCCTCTTTCTTCTTATCGTCCTCATCGTCCTCATCGGGGTTGTAGGGCTGGTACGCGGGAGGCTCGAAGGTAGTTGAGGAAGGTCCATATCGATCGTATGTTAACTCATTGTCTGTAGGCTGACTCGGCTCATCGTAGCTCGCTTGCGGCTGGTAACCACCAAACGCAGGGGCCGAGGAAGAATCTTGGATTGGGGGAGTGGGCATGTAAGGACTGCCCAAGGATGGCTGGGCCGGACTGTACTCAGGACGAAGTGGAGAGTACGATTGTGCTTTGGCTTGCGTGCGTGCACTCGGTGGACTCAGTTGGGTCTGCGTAGGGCTGTAGATATTGGATGTCGGTGTCATAGGCGTATAATTGTCGGATGCTGCTCGCATGCCATAGCTATCGTTTGACTCCATTGACGGTCGACCACCGGGCTCGTAACGAGACCGCTGCTGTTCCGAGGAAGACCTTGGTGCGTATGCATTTGATGGTGCATACCTTGAGTTGCCTGGTGCTGGCGGCTGTGCAGGCACACCATAACCAGACATTGCGCCATAGAGATCCGCATTCGAATGTGAAGGCGTAAGGGAAGGGCTATCGCCGGTAATCTTAGCGAAAGGTCCAACCTCGGACCCACCAGATTTGTTGGCCGTGTTATCCTCGTCATCCCCTGCAATGAAGCTGTTAAACTTTGACAGAAGCGAGCTTCCAACCTTGTCCATACTAGGCTTTGAAATCCACGACGAAGAACCATCCTTGGGAGACTGCGACAATCGCTTGCCCAAGTCGTCGAGATTGGCAATGAAAGCAGCGTTGTAGTAGAGAGAAGGTGCTGTTGTAGCCTTCATAGCCGCTGCAATAGCGTCGCAGTATGCCTGCGCATCGGTTCTGTACCCATTCTCGGCTAACTGATACGCATGTGCAAGTTTATAGTTTTGCAAATGCGGCATGACGAACGAGCCGGTCGGCGATGCCAACGACATTGCAAATTCGTACACTTCAGTCAGCATTATCGGCTCCAGCTCGACACCCATCTCCAAAGGATTCAGGCGGTGATCAGCGCCGATCAGTACGAGATCAGCCTGAGGATCATCGACTCCGCTGACCTTCAAAACCGAACGAGCAAAGATGAAGCAAACATGCGCAGCTTCAACACGACCGTATTGGACCAAAAGCCTTCCAAGCGAGAGTAGAGCTGATGCATCACCTTCACTGCGATTGTTCAGGATCAGCGCAACCGTCTCGCGCCACTTGTCGAGGCCTTGCAGTGCGTTCTGTGTTGCACCAGCACCGTCAGCGCTCACCATCTGGAAGCCGGCACGAGCCGAAGCTGGAACCAGTTCGTCGATGCAGTCCTCATGGTTGCCAGCAAAGACTTCGTACAGTACAGCCAATGCTTGGTTGCTGCGTCCGGCTTTCTTGACTTCCTTTCGGACGAACTCTTGGACAACCTGCTTCCATATGTCTTTACTGAGAGTAGAAGACAACAACATAGCGTGGCCCCATAGTCGCTGGTCGACAGCGTGCCAGACAGCCTTCTCGCGATCACCCTTGACCAGCATGCTTTGCAAGTCCTCGACGGCACGGGGGTCAACAGGTTCTGCTTGGAGGTTGGAGGTGTTAGATCTTGACCGTCCGACAATATCGGCTGCTGTGGAGTATGAACCCGCTTCATCTGATGACTCGTCACCAGCTGGTGAAAGTAGCTTCTTGACGGCAGCTTCTGCTGCAGGAATACCCTCCAGTTTCCCATCATTGTCAATGAGAACCTGCATGAGTTTCCAGAGAAGGGTGCGATCTTCCAGGCGCTTGAGCTCGTCTTCACTCATAGTGTGTTCGAGTCCTGGTTCTTTCAACTGACTGTCTAGTGCTTCGATCTTGCGGCCTAGCCATGCTGATACGTCCTTCTTCTTGCCCTTGGCCTTGAGAGGGCCTGGGAACTTGGCGATGTCTTCCGGTAGAGGGAATACCTCTTTGATGCTCTGAATACGGACCTCACCAGGGTTGCTCTTCATCATCGGCGCGGACCCGCCACCTCCATACCTAGGAATTTGCTTAGGGAAGCTCGTCACAACATTACCCCCTAGACCCCAGGTGAACACAGGATGACCCTTCCACCGTTCGAGTGGATCTGCCGAACGCTCGTCTTCAGGAACGATAAAATCGTAGGTTGTGGACGCTTGCCGGCGATGAGGAATCTTGTTGACAGCACTGGAAGCGGTAGACTGGTTACCATAGATCGCAGATGGCATCATGCCATAAGGAGTCCCTGTGGACTCCAAGCTACCATAGCCGCGTACCGGCTGTTTCATGGTCTGTGTTGGAGATTGGGAGTGGGAGCGTTGCGGAACTGCTGGCTGGGCTGGCTGATATCTCGGTGCATAGCTGTCAGTCTTACGTGGTGAGCCGACTACTGATGAAGGTGTACTTCTTAGAGGCGGAGTCTCCGATCTTCCAGATGTAGGTGGCCTTGAACTAAGCATTGGCTCTGGCTCTTGCTCTTCAATCTCACTGACTTCTCCTAGCGGGCTTCTGATAGGTGGGCGGGGCATACCATCAGCCGATTGCGAAAGTTGATGGTTTGGAGCATATTGCGCATGATTGTCTGTAACCTGCTCCTGCTGAGGCATGCTGTGGAAGGCTAGCGGACTGGAAGTACGGGGCGCAAAAGGCTGCGAGGGAGTTCGCGTTAAGTTGTTATGTGGCTCGGATTGGTAACGAGCATGCGGTGCTTGCGATGGAGCAGGCGAGTATCGCTGGTTTGCCGCTGGTGCGCTTGGGGGTGCGGGAGAATATCGTGAGTTGGCAGCGGGTCCCGATGGAGGCGGCGCTGGAGAATATCTGCTCGTAGAAGGGGGCGCCGGTGCCGGCTGAGGAACGGGAAGACTGTTTGTTCGTGTAGGTACCGATGGATGACTGGGGAACATGGGTAACTGCTCTGGTTGTCTGAACGGAGGAGGTGTAGCGACTTTAGCAGCATCTGGAATGAACTCGTTCCTCAGGGACGACGTGGAAGCCGTACGCTCCTTTGATGGAAGCTGCGGGGGTGGATGGCTAACTGGAGGTGAAGGTTGGACAGGGACATTCGGCTGCGGGGTGTAGCGTCCAGACGGGCGTGGCTTGGATGTGACAGGCAGCTCAGCGAAGAAGTCACTCGAAGGTGACTTTGCTACGACGGCAGGCTTTGGTGGTGCTGCCGGTGGTGGCATGCCAGTCATCTGAGAACGCATAGAGTGGCCCGAGGATGGTGGAGACAGACTAGACACTGACATGCTCGATGCCATGGGCGGCCGTGGAGGCCCAGGAGGCGCAGTGTTGGAAGACGCACTGCTGGTCCGCGGTGGTGGTGGAGTTGGCTGTACAGCTGAGACTGTCGTTCGCGGAGCAGGTCGCTTTCGGGTAGTCACGATGTCTTCTGGCAAATCATAAGGCGAAGCGTAGCCTCCTTTGGACTTGTCTACGAAACTTTGTGCTGAG